CTGGCTTCTTTGGTGTGGTTTTCTTGGGCCTATGTACTGTCAGTTTTGACGTCGCCAGAACAGTGGGGGTTGTTCACTTCGCGTCTTCCTCGTCGTCATCGTCAGAGTCTTCTACAACTCGACTTGCGCGTCCCTTCTTCTTGGGTGCGGCCTTCTTCGGCGCAGGCTCATCCTTCTTCTTTGCGTCCTGGCTGCCCTTCGGGGGTCCGCCGCCAAAGAAGCTGCGAATGTCGGCAGGCATATTTTTTGATACAAAACGCGTGCTGTTAGTGCCGAGAAGGGTGTCGCGTTTGCAGACAGTTGTTGAGCCCAGCAATGGGTGGGGATGGGATTTGGGTGGATTGATGAACGCCAGGCCTCCGTTGACGTGCACGACGCGACTTCGCGAATCGCGCGGTCATTAGGCAATTAGGCAGGCGCATCGACGCACTTTCCCCGCCCGCATGCGCCACAGCAGCCACATTTAGGCCTTGGCATCAGAACTTCAACACCAAAGTTACCAAACAGCCCTAGTCCGACATCACATCACAACGCCATGCCGCCGCCAAGGATACCACAAAGCCTGATGGCTCAATTCAGTCGATTGAACATCTCTGCATCGCGGCCAACACGTATGAATGTCATAATTCTCTCATCGCCTCCGCTAACGGCCCAAAGTACTACAACAGACATGCCTCGTTAAACCCCAAACCATAGCACCTAGTGTTCTTTCCTCCGCCCGCCTCTTCTCTACAACTCCCACCCGCCTCAACTACCTCGCCCCCAAAGCCGGAGAGTCACGCAAATCACGCAAAGGCCGCTGTCACGTCCCCACCGGCGGCTCCATGCGCGGCACAACTGTCGTCTGGGGCGACTACGGCCTGCGCATGCGTGACCACGACCGACGCATATCCGCCCATCAACTCCGCATCGCCGAGGAAACCATCCGCAAGCGTCTCCGTGGCATGAAGTTCCGCCTCTATATGCGCATCGCTGCCAACATTGGTGTGTACACGTCTGGCAACGACGTGCGAATGGGAAAGGGCAAAGGAAGCTTTGACCGCTGGACGGCGAGGGTGGCGGTGAGCAAGATTATCTTTGAGATTCAAGGAGACTTGCACGAGCAGGTGGTGAGGGATGCGTTTAGGCTTGCGGGCAACAAATTGCCGGGACTGTATGAGTTTGTTAAAAAAGGTGATGCGCCAGTCATGGGTCTTACAAAGGTGGGCTTGAACGGTATTACGGCAGAAGATCTCAAGAGACCGAGGAGGAAGGAGCCGCTTGAGCAGACGGCCGCGAGGATTCCTGATGCTTCTTCATCTGCACCGGCGAATGGACCAAGGGTGGAGATGTAAATGGAGTGGAGAAGCGTATGTATCACACTGTACAACAACGACGTTGATAATCGAGAGACATTGACAAGGTCGAACGCGAGGAATGTTTTATTCTGATGCTCTTGTAGCCACGATGACGTAAAGTAGGAGGATGTGAAAATGTGTCGTATAAGCGGCATGTATTAAACTGCACAATCAGAACTGTTCAACATGGAGAAAACGACTAATCTGGAACCTGTGGTTCTTTCGCGAGCATGTGACACGTATTACTTGATTACTGAATCTAAGGGTGAAGTGTAGCCTCTGCATGTCTCTTTTAAATTCGGAATTACGAAGCATTCTCAAGCGATTTCTCAACTACACGTGCTCATGCCACCGATAATGTGCACCCAACGCAAATATTGGCATGACTGCTCCACATTCTTCGCACCGAAACGCATCCTCCGCATCCATCATATCATCGTCGTCTTCTGCCTCCCAGACATCACTCACAGTAGCTTCCACGTCTTGCGACGCTGTGGGGAAGTCTTCAGAGCCATGTCTTTGTAGAACGGCGTTGTCTTCTGCGAGTTCGCGTTTCCATTCCGCTAGCCATGGCTCTTGGGACAATTGTTCTCCTTCCCCTTCGTCTTCCTCTTCTTCTTGTTCTGAAGCTGGAGTCGAAGAAGGTGATTGCATCAACAAGATCTGTTGCTCGCCTTGATCCGAGTCTTCTCCCTGAAGCTGCTTCTCCAATTGCATCAGGAGAAAGCGTGGTTCACGATGAGCAAGCTCATCTTCCTCCAGCCATTCATATTCATCATCATATTCATTATCTTCCTCCTTCTGGTTGTGGACTTCAGGTTCCTCGATGGTCCCGCCTTCTTCTCTACTACTCCCATCACACTCGTCCATCATCACATCTCCTCGCTCAAACGAGACGTCTGACATTACTAGTTCTTCTTGTTCAGCTTGAGTTTGCTTGGGCTCCTCTATTTCCAGACGCTCTTCTTCAGATCGATCTGGTTCTTCCTCCACTCTCCATTGTTTGAGCACCTCATCCTGGCGCTTGAACATTTTGCTTATGTCCCGTCCGATGCCGCCCCTCTCGCTCGCCGCATCTGCCATGTTGGTCGCAGCGACGTTGACGAGGCTCAAGTTCCACCCTCGTTTCTCTGGGTGGAGTTTGCGGAACAAAGGCAGCAATGCCTCGGTAAGTAGCTTGTCAACGATAGCATCGGTGGTTGTAGCTGCTTTGAGGTTGAAGACAAATGTGGGCATGGGCGTGGACTTTGATATCCGAGCAAAAGACCGGTTGCGGCTTCCATCTGGATTCTGGGGTGGGCGTGGCCGTGTCGACAAGCGGAGGGTTTTAGGATGGGCTAGCCACCGCTTTATTGGTTTCAAAGTGTATGAGCCTGTATCTTGATCGTCTGCGTCGTCGTCTTCCTCCAACAGATCCACATGCATCCTCTCAAGTAATCTCTTCGCAAGCACCCTCAGCTCCTTGGTCACCTGCTCCAAAGTATCCAAACGCATATAACTATCCTCGATACTAATCTGACGGGGTATCTCTCTCGCCTGTCCAACTTGCTTATCATCACATCCATTCAGTAGACCCCAGATGCGTGAGCCGGTACCATGTGGTACACCTGGACCGCCAAGCAAACGTTCAAGCGACTCAGGACCCATACCAGGAAGTGTTCTCACATCACGGACAAGAACAGATTCTTTGGTGCCGCCATAAATAAGTCCAGCATCAAAGTCTGCAGGTCGTTGTAAGACGTGAGCACGCAGTTTCTGTGCTAGTTTGAAGCCAATACCAGGGATTTTGCCAACTTCGTGGTCGTCGATGAAGGTGGTCACGTTATCGACATCCACACCCACATTCCCGTCCTCGGTATACGACGGGAGGAGTGTGGTTTGAGCATCAGGCTTGTGTGTATTGCCTACAAGCTTAGCTAGAAGCTTGTTGGTAGAAATGCCAACAGTAGCTGTATAGCCCGTGTCTTGGTGGAGTTTGGCACGAAGATAATGTGCAAAATGACTTCCCAGCGCCAATCGAAGTTGCAGCAGATTCGGTGGGGTTCCTGGAGACGCATCAGTTCTTTGGACTAACGATCAAGTAAAGCACCCTATAGTGCACAAGATGTGATCTCGCATCGTCAAACTGCGCACTGTTGGTGGCAGTACCACAGCCGCCATCGCTGGTCTCGGTAGCCGCAGGGATTCAGCAAGGAGACTGTCAGCCTTGCATTCCGCCTAATTCAGGTCGATGAACATTTGCCAACCACGCCACATCTTGTACGTCATACGGCCTTATTCCGCTTACCTAAGTCATAATTCGCCGCTTTGGGATACAAATGGCCCGTAAGCCTTGTCGCATCGTAAGGAAAGCCCCTTGTGGGATCTTCCTTTGCGAGACAGAAGAAGGCGTTTGTCAGATCGTTGTGGTTGAGGATGCTGATGTTGTAATCGATTATGTCGGTCACGTCCAGGAAGACCTAGGACAACGAGACTTAGCATGCTATGACTCGCGTCGTGTATACCGCATATAGAGACGGTGAGGAAATTTTTGATGAGGACAGTGGCGGTGTTGAGACACGACGGGGACACGACAAAACTACCTCATCAAAACCTAGTCGCTCTACACGCGAGTTCCAGGAAAAGGATCGCAAAAACGTGTATAACTGTTTGGAAGCATTTCGGAAACGAGTAAGATCCTCGCCGAGGACGATGACTACATCTGGACAGACTTTCTTGGCCTGGTGGATCAGCTGCAACTTGTGCAAGCCCTGTGAGAAGGTTCAGTCAACTGCTGCGGGGAATGATAAGACACGGTCAGATTCGTACTCGTCGGCGGGCCTCATAATTGCATGTGACGATAATCTGTTTTTGCTGCACAGCCAGTGGCAAGCTTCGTAATGCCGGGTTCTCATGTTCAAATACGCTGGCGTAAAAGCAGTCCTGTCGAGATTGATATTACTCAATTGCGCAAGCGTGGGCGCACGTGGTAAAGAAAGTACGTACGTAGTCCTGTTGCGATACGAGACAAGAGTTAGGGCGACCAAGGCGTCAAGGCTGTGCGTGGTGCTTACGAACAAAGTGGACTATGACGGAGTCGGACTGCCGTTTCAGCTTCTTCATGGATTTGGTGCGAGGAAGGAGAAGCGCCGATGCACGTGTTGAGATGTGAAGCAGCAGCAGAAATGTTTCGGCGGCGTGCAGCAGATGAAGCGCGCGTGAAGCCGCGACATGTGGTGGACGGACGGTAGCCTATCACGACACGGGGTGGGCGGGCTGCAGATCGAGTGCGCTAGTCGTCTGAACCCGGAACCCTGCACGACCACGCCTTTGCCACCCTGCATCTATCTTTGGATCGGACTAGTGTGTATTTTGGGAGCAGCGCCCCAGCCAGGCGCTTCGTGTTCAAGTGCACCTCCGCGCGTTGGGATGCGCGCCGCTGCGGATCCACAAGGACGGTTGGTGGCATGCAGCAGACGAGTTTGGTTAATAGGGACATGCCCCTCGTCGACCATGTAATAATCGGCTCCCCTCGCCCAAATCATCTGCCTCGTACCTAACCTACCCGGCACACGCCTATTCCGCCCACGCGAACCCAAACACATGATGCTGTCCACTTTGCAGCCATCACCCCCCTCCCTCTCGATAACGCCGTCGTACTCGCAATCATCTGCCATGTCCAGTATGACTCCCCAGCTGCCTATAATCCCCCCGCCGCGACAGGCCCCGCTGCGCCCCAAACTCTCCATCAACACTGAGCAACCACGTATCCTGGGCAAAGGTGCCAGTCTGCGTCTCGAGACTCTTTCTGCTGTATCGCCAACAGTTCGCAACACATTTTCCAACGCCTATGAACGCCCGGCCCCAGCACCCACCACCCCCAACTCAGCATCTACCCTCTCATCAACACTCACGTCCGCCTCCACCGACTCAGCCACCAGCTCAATACCCTACAAGCAGCCTCACAACCTCACTTCCATCCTCTCCAACAGTCCCGCCCGCGCAATAATACCACGCAAAATGGGCTCCTCAACCCGCCCCATGTTCCCCGCCGAGAAACGTGTTTCCTTCCGCACACCACTCGAGGAGGAAATCACAACCACCAAATACACTCTCGCACACTCCGATCTCGAGTCGAGTAGTTCGACGCTGTCGTCACTGACTTCGAGTGTCGAGACGACGTCAAGCGAGTCGGAAGCCGAGACGGGCAAACCGAGTCTGAGCCTGAAGCCGGCGATCAACATCTCGAACACTAGCATATCGCCTCTTCAGCTCTCCATTAGCAGTACTGCTTCTTCGGTAGAGAGCTCACCAAGAAAGTCACCGCGTGCGGGTGACAAGAGGGATTCTTCCAGCAGCGAAGATGACAGCGATTCTGCACCTGAAACGCCCGTTGCTGGTCGACGGAAGCGGACGAGGGATTGGAGATGGACACTTGGTCCCTTGCCTTCTGACAGCAAATCATCCGTGTCGTCAGCGAGCGAGGGCACGATTAGTGAGGATAGTTCATGAAGACATTTGGAACGCGACCAGGAACTACGACTACGAACTGTACAGAAGGGGGTGGGGGATTCAGGCGTTCACACATCATCATGGGCATTTCTCGGTGTTTTCTTTTCTATGATACCACTTGCATACCATACCATCATCATTGTCCTGGGCGACAATACTAGCATAGCATCGCATGCCATTTACTATTACAACTATTATTACTCATACCAATACAACCTTCAACACATCCATCATACCTACGCTTTGTACACTTACACACCGCTCGCACATGCAAATCCTACCTTGTGGGCGCATATGTGGACATTGCCTCGCGATCACCGTTGTGACATGACCACATGACAAGATCGTCTGCCGATCGATTCCATCTAGCAGCCGCGGGACGAACCCACAGCCACATACTCACACATGACAAAGCACTTGGGCATGTTGATCTTGCTGTCTTTTTGCAAGTCCATGCGAGCCATGCACGTCAGGAAGAAGAAAAAAAACAAGAATAACTTGCAAAAGCCACAGCCGTCGTTTTTTTGCCTCCACTTCACGCAGGCGGTTTCTTGCATCTGCATGCTGTGTTCGGTAGGCGGGCGTTGAGTATGACATCATCGCCATAGTTTAACAAAACGCAGTCGACTTTAGCCGTAAACGTTGCCTCTGGCGGGGGATAAAGGACCCAATCCGTAAAAGGACATGGGACCCGAATACGAGCTTTTTTATCCTTTACCATCCTTGAGCCAGATCCCCAGGATTTCACCGTCACAATACGGAACAGAAAGCAGGGTATGACGTGGCGCGGCGGGAGGCTGGAAAAACCACCGAGAGATCTTGAAGACGCAGCGATACGAACGATACAGTAAGCACCGTATCGGGCAGCGGAGACAATTGCAGTATGGGGAAATTTTACATGTAATGAGTACTGCCGGCTGACGTACGCAGGTTGTAAGTTCGGATCGATAAGTGAGTAATCCCCAAGGTGAATATTCGGAGGTTGGAAAACTGTAACAAAACCGTTCCCTGTTCAAACACATGTTTGTCACATGTTGTTTTTCGTTTCGAGTTTCAACCCCCGCCTAACCCACCTATAGTCCGCCCCGGTGTTATCTCGTATCATCGATAGGTTACTTGTCGCATCTTGTCTTTTTCGTTTCGTGTTTCATGTCGTAACCCCCCCGCTTTCGCGCCTACGTTTGTGACTCGAGACTGTTGGTGGATCTTTGTGGAATCCATCGCCTTAAAAAAAGCCACAGTGGAAACATCTTTGGCAAAATGCGAGCATTTGACAGCTGTCATATTCGATGATTATAACCGTAGTGCGAGTTTTGCGACTCGAACAACTCGTGTAACAAAAGCGATGTATGGGCGAAAGAACGATAGTACATCTCCACACAGACAACCAGGCTCGTGTTCGTGTTCGTGTTTTCTTGCTACTCAACACACCGACACTTCCCCAGCATAGAACACATGTCTTTCTTGACCCCAGTTGCCTTCGTACCTGCAGCCCTTGTGTGTTGAGAAGAGAAGAAAAAAACTGCTATCTTCTCTACACGAACAAATCCGTTCGTGTTCGTGTCTCCCCAACTCTAGCGCAATCTTTCCTGCATGCCCAGTAAAACACGTTGTTCTCCAAATTCGTACCTGCAGGGCTACAGTACAGGGCTTGCTCTACCCCTACCTTTTACCTTGCCGAAACCACTCTCCGACAACACTTTGAGCGCGAACGACGAAGAGAAATCAACATCAACCCGCCACCTTGTGCGTCGTCATCGTACATGAAATCGCATTTGCGGCAGATTGCACATCAACTAGTCAAGAACGCTTTCGTGCTGGCGTGCAAGTTTCCTCGGGAGTGCTAATGAAAACGCGGCTTGCAAAGGGTATGGGCGCTTTCGTTTGAGCGTTCTGGACTTTTGCAAAAGGAATGCAAGGAGAGCTAAGAATAGGTAAAAGTCCGCTAACCATCCCCAATTTCTATCGCTCGCTACATCGTGTTCATCGCCATTGCTCTCAAACGGCATGTTTGCTGCAAGCTGGGAGATTGGCAAGCTACCATGTTCTCTTTTTTCGCGGAGATTATGGTCAAGATGTAGTAAGTACGAGCGAGAGAGATGGTGTGCGTTGTTCGCATCCCGACGATGAACCGTCAGCTTGGTTTGTTCCCAGGGACACACCCATCTGCGCAGAGGACAAATTCTTCTTCTTCCGTGTTCATCGCGGATAGTCATCGCATCGCCTTCCCATCTTCCTAGTCCCGCCGTCATACCGTAGCCGTTAGCGAAATGAAGATCTTCAGGTGTGCAACACCAACAGAACCACAATAACCCTTGCCCAAAACCACGCGAAAAGGGTCTGGAATGGACTGGTTTGCGTATGCTATAATAGCGTCGAGTGCTAAGGGACGGAGCGGAGCGGAAAGCACGGTACGCCGGAGATGAGCAATTACACGAAAGATTTATTCGGTAAGTTTAGTGCCTTCAAAGGATTCGGACATACGATATCACAGTCAGCCCTAGAGGAGCAGTCAAGCGAACGACAAGGATACCTGGGTAGAGCTTGATGTAGGTTGTTGAGATGCGGTGCTATTGTTCGTTACGTTAGTAAGGGATATTGGTGAATGCTAGTTCCACGACATCAAGGGCCGTTGACCTAGCGGTTGTTGAGCATGTCCACGTGATTGGTGCACAGGTTCGTGTTCACCAAGTAGAGTCTTGAAAGCCAAGGGACTATCACTGCCAATATTGCATGTTCCATGTGAAAAGTCTGGGCATAACTTTATCATTGCCAGCCCTGCACATCAGCAACCAAGAGGACGAACCTTGGTGCCGGATGCGTCACATACGACGCACGCCGTTCTGTCTGACAACTACTTGGGACATTGTGTCAGCAAGACCGGAGAGTTCAACATGGTCGCCTTATAGAATTTCAAGGACATGTAGATGAATTGAGTGTCTAACAGCTACCGAGAAGGGAAAAGCTACTACGAAGTATACGTTGGGTTTTTCAGGCCCAGCATCTTCATGTAAGTTCTTTCTCGCCATCCCCCCGTTTCCCAATATCAGCGATGCAATTATCACAAAGACCAAAGTCTCACCACCACCACCACCACCACCACCACCACTGTCAGTTTTCCAAATCACTATTCGTCTACCCTCCCATCTAATACCCCTCCCCTGCCCCCGGCGTCCAATCAAACTTGTGCATAGCCATAGCCCAGAGCAGCGCGCCAACCAACGGCCCCAAAAAGAAGGTAATGAAGAGAACAAAGAGAATTGTATTTCTCTTCTTCCTGTTGGCCCATCCCCTAGCCATACCTCGCATCACGCCTCCCTGCTTGTCAATTCTTTCTTTCCTTTGTGTCTCGAGAGCGGCTGCCGTAGCTGCAGTGAAAGCGCGGACTGCTTTCCCGGCGCGTCGCTGTGCTTTCTCGTCGTCGTCGTCGGAGACCAGGGATCTGGGGCGCCCGAGGGTGTGCTGGTGGTGGTGGTGCTCGTGTGCGAAGCGTTTGGCGTAGAGTCCGTCTAGTAAAGGAAAAAGGAAATCAGTGTAACTGTTATATGTCCCCTATTCAGAGTAGTGAAGCCGTTGAAGATATCGTACCTGTGCGAGTGTCCTTTTCCTTCCTACTAACTGATGCAACAGTATGCTGGGTCCCGGTAACCTTGGTTTTTCTCTCCTTCGTTCCCTCAACATACTTGCACCAAACTGCATACCGTTGATCCAGATGCCCCGTCCTGCTCCACCTCGCAATCTCAGCGATCCGGCGTCGGAGCGCCTCGCCCTCGAGTACCGTCGTAAGCTCGTAGTAGAGTTTCGTATCAATTTTGCTGATATCAACGTTTTGCTTGCGCAGGCCTGTGGTGATGTCTATCCAGGAGTTGATGGCGTGAGGCGGATCCCCAGACTTGTTGGACGGGTTGCGGAGGAGCAGCCATGTTTGCGCCATGTCGTGGAATTTGGCGGCTGAAACAAGGGTTTGTTCCGGACCGGTGGCCGCAGTATGCTCGTACAGGATCAGGCTGTCTTTGCGCGTGGCGAGGCCTTGGGTGTACCTGGATGGACGTGTTACGAGGTCAGTGTATGTCTCAAATGTACTGAGAGGGAGAGAGAGATAGCACATACCAATTCCCAACAGCCTGGCGGGGGGAGGAGGCGTTGCGGAGGGAGTGGAGGATGGCCATGAGAGAGAGGTCGAGAGAGCTGTATGCGTCCGGGCTACCGCGCGATATCTTGCCCGGGGGGATGTTGGGGGTGTGGGATAAATTGTCTTCAGTGATGGACGCGAGACGGGTGCGTATGTTGCGGGTACCAAGTACTGGACAATCTTGTCAGTGATTCGGAGATGCTCTATAAGGACATATGATGTTCTAGTCGCAACTCAACCCATCTATTGTAAGAAAGAAGTACTCACAATAAGGCACGGCGTCACTGATGCGAAACAACTCCAATCCGTGATACTCAGCAACAACATCAAACACCGGCTTGACCTTCGGAGCCGGCACCTGGAGGCAAATCTCTCGACCTCCATTTGGCCCATTCGCCTTGGGGTTATCTCTGCGTGTGGAGGAGTTGGCAACAGACAGGTACATCTTGTGCTGAGTCGGGCGCTCAGTACACACAGACGAGGTCTCAGAAGTACAACCTCCGTTGCCCTCAAATTCGGAACGATGTCCGCGAGTCGGGACGGGAGCGGAGTCGCTCTGTGAGATGGTGACACCAGTTTCTGGAACACTGACCTGGGCGGTGCTAGTTGTTGGGGTTGGAAAGAACAGGATTGGTGTAGACCTAGGAGGGACTGGTTTGGAGCTAGAAGGGCCTGGTGCGTACATGTCGGTTGACAAGTGGGAGAGATCAGTTTGCTCAGTAGATGCTGATTCTATAGAAGACATGGAAGACGTGGAGCATCTCTGAGACTTGAAAGCTTCGGACATGAATTCATCGGCGATAGGTGTACGTGAACCGTAATCAACAGCCTTGCCTTTGCCCTTGGAGTCTGCAGTGACCTCGATAGTAGGGATTCGTTGCTGTGCCCATTTCGTTGGGCCTGGGACTGCTGGGATTAATTGTTTCTGGTCAGAAAAAGGTCAATTGATGTAGCCATGCAATCTGATGAGTTTTTCCGCGTACCTTGATGTTGCGGCCTTGGAGACTGTCGCTTCGACATCGTGGTCTTGTCGCCATTGTGGAGAAATGGCTCGTTAGCGATATGGTGAGTGGAGAGAAGGGAGGTGCTCAGCCCATTCACGGGCTGGACGATTGATAGGATGGATTGAGAGAATGAAAGCCACGGACGCAGGAGCAAGATTCGCAACGAGAAAGGTATATATTGATCTGGCTCGTTGGCCACTGTACGGTAGAATTATACCTTCATGGACCCGGAATATGTCGCTATCAAAGCCCCTCCCACCTTCTCATCGTCTTTGATGATCTGATTTGGATGTTGTTGTGGATCGCGACCCTGGAATCGTCATGATATCGCCCAACAACCGTTGCTTGCAAGACCCTTTGCAACCTCTAGCGTTGATGATGCCTGATACAGCTCAGGAACCTTGATTCCCACCCATGCTCTTTCTGTTGTCTGTTGGCCGGGATGTATTGGGACAGTCTGTTAGCCGAAATGCGATACTGAATGCGTGTGTAAGGACACATGATGGTGGTCAGTTTCTGTGACCCGATCTAGCCATGGTCCAATGGCATTCGTCGTAATGCATAATCCGAATACTATCACAGTGATGATGCATTCGAGCTGCCATTTTGTGATGTTGTCTCCCAAAGTAGCAATGCCCCGCTTCTAAACCGTTAAGGCGGTCGGCAACGGGTGTCTTGGCACTCCGAGACATGACATGTGATAGACGACGCTTGACGTAGCAGGCAAGCCCTCTGGCAATGCTTAATCAATGCGCGTGCCGGCTTCGCATTCCTGCTTCCACAGTATGCTTCTGGCGCCGACCTAGAGTGTACTCCCCACTAAGCCCACGATGCCTGGCTCCTCGCGATTGCCCGTCAGTCTACGCGATACATTCAATGCGCGGAAGAGCTCCGCTAATGGCCAGCTCGTCGCCCTAAACATCGATGTGTATGCGCGCTTGCAATAGCGATAAGGAAACACAGTGTACTGACATGGGGTATACAGTCTGCGCAACATCATCTTCGTTCTCTTCGTCCTCCGATGGACACGCATCACCTTCTACCAACTCAAAGGTCGCGGCATCTTCGGCTCCATCAGCGATGCCTACATCAGCATCCGCCGCTACCTCTACGGCATCTTCCTCCGACTGCCCGGTGTGCGCGACAAAGTACAAGCCCAAGTCTCTGAATCTCTCCTGAAGCTCGAACGTAAGCTTGTTCCGAGCGGGCCCGGCGTCGAGCGCATCACCAGTCTACCCGCTCAAGGATGGAGCGAAGAAGAGGTGCGCAAGAAGCTGGGTGAACTGGCCGACATGGAGCACACGCGATGGGAAGACGGACGAGTCAGCGGCGCGGTATACCACGGCGGGGACGAGCTGATCAGACTGCAAACCGAGGCGTTTGGCAAGTTCACCGTTGCGAACCCCATCCACCCTGATGTGTTCCCTGGTGTGAGGAAGATGGAAGCCGAGATCGTAGCCATGGTGCTCTCCCTCTTCAACGCACCCGAAGACGCGGCCGGCGTGACTACCTCCGGCGGCACAGAATCCATCCTCATGGCATGTCTCTCTGCCCGCAACAAAGCCTACCACGAGCGCGGCGTCACATCTCCCGAGATGATCTTGCCAGAAACCGCACACACAGCCTTCCGCAAGGCATGCGAATACTTCAAGATCAAAATGCATCTCGTGTCCTGCAAAGCCCCGTCTTACAAAGTCCACTTGCCCTCCGTCTCCCGGCTTATCAATCCGAATACTGTGCTATTGGTTGGCTCTGCCCCCAACTTCCCCCACGGCATCATCGACGACATCTCCGGGCTGAGCAAGCTCGCTGTCAAGAAGAAGATCCCGCTACACGTAGACTGTTGCTTGGGTTCCTTCATCATCCCCATGCTACCCAAGGCAGGTTTCGACTTTGACCCTTTTGACTTCCGTCTCCCAGGCGTAACAAGCATATCCTGCGACACACACAAATACGGGTTTGCGCCAAAGGGCAACTCGACGGTGTTGTACCGCTCCGACGTCTACCGCAAATACCAATACTTCATCTCGCCTGACTGGTCCGGCGGCGTTTACGCATCGCCTTCCATTGCCGGTTCTCGCCCTGGCGCTCTCATTGCAGGGTGCTGGGCTTCCCTCGTCAAGCAAGGCAGCAACGGCTATCTCGACGCCTGCCACAAGATTGTCGGCGGCATGAAGAAGATTGAATCGGCTATCCGCGAGAACCCGCAACTATCCCCTGATTTAAAAATCATCGGACAGCCCAAAGTCTCCGTCGTGGCTTTCTTGTCCAACACGCTGGATATCTACGACATTGCTGATGGTATGTCGAACAAGGGCTGGCATTTGAATGCCTTGCAGAGTCCGCCGGCTATCCATGTCGCTGTTACCCTGCCCATTGTCGCCGTTGTGGACAAGTTGATTGAGGATCTTGTCGAGGTTACAGAGGAGGTTAGGGATGCGGAGCGCAAGCGTATCGCTGAAGGAAAAGGCGCAAAGGGTGCTGTCAAGGGCGACACCGCGGCGCTGTACGGTGTGGCGGGAAGCTTGCCAAATAAGAGTGTCGTTGTGGACCTGGCCAAGGGCTTTTTGGATACGCTTTACAAGGCGTGAGGAGGGGGTGTGCAGCTGGGAAACTATGCAAAGGTCTCGGGTTGGACGGGAGGAAAGGAAGCTAACATACCCATCGAGTATCAGATTGTTATATTGTTCAAATGGTGAAGTCAACACATACACAAGTCCGCTTCCCCGACGGTGCAACGACTTTTTTCCTTCTTTTTTTGCTTGAATTAATTACTCAACTATCGTCCACTACTCGCCACCTAATCCCCTAGCATCCTCCACAACAACCCTGGCAATCTTCTTCAACGTTGACTTGTGGTCGGCCTCACGAAACTTGTCCCACCGGTCCAATCCCTCACTCGCGTCAATATTCAATGTCTCATACCCTTGCTTGATAACCGCGTGCACCTCTTGCGGACTAAGATGCTTCCTCGCCTTGCCCTTGTCATTCAACAAGGCCTGATAGTGATTCGACACGTTAATCAGCGTCTGCATGGACCCCTGTTTTCCCAAGGCAAACGCGTCTCGGAACTTGACGAGGGTATCGCCACTCTCGACGAGCTTGTAGAAGAGGTCGTCGTACGCGGCTGGATCCGGTAAGAAGTTTTCGCCGCTCGACAGCGCGAAAGCGAGGAGGTTGACGAGCAGGTCAATCATCTTGTTGGATTTGTAGTTGCTCTTGATGTCGCTTTCGTACGTGGTGAGGAAGCGGACAAAGGAGAGGAGAGTTCGCCAGAGTTCTGCCCAATGGTACGTGATGCGCGTTTTTGTTCGACTGAGGTGGGAGAGCAGACGCAATAGGACGCCGAGACAGAGGCTGTAAAAAGAAAAAGTGTTAATCGTTTTCCTTTCATATCTTCCTCTTCCCGCCTTTCCCGGATAGCAGATTGTAGAATAGACTCACATGTAAAAATCCACATCCAACCGTCTCCTTAGATTATGACTGATAGCATCATTCATCATATCCAACACAACAGCACCTGGTACTCTCTCCCCCCTCACAACCGGCAGATAAGGTTGTCGCTGCCGACACAACCTTACGTCCAGTTTACTTTCCTCACTGCACAGACGCTTCGCGAGCGTCTGGTCCTCGACAAGTATTTGCAGCACGAAGAGACTGAGGTATGTGTACAGCGCCGCCCTCGCACTCCTGTGTGCATGCTGGAACATGTAGCTCGTCAAAGAGAGGTACGCGCTGAGGGGGGATGGTGAGGCTGCTGCGGCATCGGACGAGGCGTTGGGGGTAGATTTGACGAGGTTGAAGCAGAAGACTTTGTTCGCGTTTGCGAAGTCGTAGACAGAGAGGAGGATGCCGATTTCCGGACCGGGTCTGGCAAAATGGGGGGAGCGATGTTAGTAATGGGCATAGCAAGCAGAAGAAGAGGATATGTTACTCACAATGCAGCAAAGAGGCTCTTTGCCTCTTCAGGGGCCGCCGGTGTTGGTGTCGTTGGCCTACTCCCACTCCCCGCCAGCGCCCCCAAGCCAATATAACTAAGCGTAGATCCCAGACTCCAACCTTCGGGCATATCATCTTGCACAGCTACATAGCTATCTCTCAGCTTCCTACACGTGTCGCCGAAACAGCTCACCATGTCCTGTATGATGGCGTCGTTGACAAAGTCGTCGAGACGCAGGCGATACGGGTTTTGAAATTCGAATTTGTTGTAGTTCGTGAGGAGGCCAAGGAGGTAGAGGGCGGGGACGACTTGAGGAGTCGAGGGACAGTCGGAGATGTACTGTGTGGATTGCTGAGTTAATTTGTCCATACATATATATACATAACAACCTAACATACCTTCATGAGACTCGGGAACAGATCGCGATGCGTAAAGTAACTCGGCAGCGCAGTCTGAAAGCCAGCGGCGGTTATACTCAGCGTCGCTCGAACGGCCCTCAGGCGCAAAGCAACTGCCATGTCGATGTCAGTATCGATAATCCTCGGGGTCTTGACGAATAAAACATACCATCACGTCCACCCCGTATAGCCGTATCCAGCGTGGCTACAAAATCCGTCATGACGGCATCCGCATCGTTGAGCCCCGTAAGAACAGATATGATGTCGGAGCTAGGATTCGTGTATTTCTTGGTAAGAGCGGCATCGAGGAAGACTGTCAAGGTCTAAGCGGTAAGCGCATGGAGAATTGGGTGTGGACGTTAAGGGCAAAGAGCGGCATGGTACCTCGAGGGCGATTTCGTCGGCGGGTGCTTTTGCTTGCTTGACGCGGAGGAGGGCGTGGCGGAAGAGTTGCTGTGAACGCGCTTGCTGGTGGAGCATCTCGTCTGGCGCAATCGAGGCCAGTGTGCGCTTCAGGCCGGCTGTATCGGGGCGGTGGAGAAAGAATTCTTGCCAGAATCCCTCGGACAGTTCGACATCTTCGTCATCTTCCTGGGGCGCCCCTTTGCATTAGCACACACTGCTGGCGCAAGTGGGCGGGAGAGGGAGAGAGAGGACACACTTTGAATAGGGTTTCGTAGAGGGATATGATTTTGGGCTGGAATATTTCAGGCCGCGAGTCCTGGGTTAGAGGGGATGGCTCCATGGTAGGACGCTTCCGCGCTCTCTGCAGCTTATGTCGGGGTGGGATGCTGCAGGGTCAAGCTTCAATCGCAGTAGTTGCAGAGGTGTCGCGTCGCGCAATATGGGGAACTAGCGGGCCGTTGGGCGATCGGACGCCGATAAGCCCCACCATTGCACGTGTGAAGACTTGATAGTCATAGTCGTTGTATGTCGCGCGTGATTTAAATAGACAGTGTGCTACAGAGCTTGCCATTGGAGAGACTCGTCAGAAGCACGGCGGAAAAGAAAAGTTGTAAACATGCCGTCCCCCCTTCTCATCGGCATCTCAGGCCCCTCTTCGTCTGGCAAGACAACACTCTCTCGCCTACTCCGCGACATATTCCCGCCGTCAAAGCTATTCATCCTACATCTCGATGACTTTTACCTCACCGACGCCGAGATTCCCGTCAAGAATGGCGTCCAGGATTGGGACTGCATAGAGTCGCTCAACCTACCTGCACTCCAACAAGCCCTCCAACACATCAAAGAACATGGAAACAGCCCAGACTGGTTAGTCAGTCAGGAAGATCAAAACAGCGTCGGAGAACACGGTGTACCCGAAGCTGAGATTCAGAAACTGAGACAGGATGTATCGACGTGGCTGGGTAGTAGTACGCCGGGGTGGGAAGAAAGACGCATCTGCATCGTCGATGGCTTCCTCCTCTTCTCAGAAGACATGAAAGATATACGCTCCCTATTTGACGTCAAACTCTTCCTCCGCACTTCCTACGAGACTGCGAAGCGTAGGCGCGAAGCGCGGAGTGGGTATGTAACTATTGAAGGGTTCTGGACAGATCCACCGGGGTATGTCGATGATATCGTATGGCCGAATTACGTCAAAGATCACAGATTTCTGTTCAGGGGCGGAGACGTGGACGGGGAGCTGGATGAAAGTGTTTGTGAGAGTGTTGGAATATGTGGCATGCCGAGGGAAGCAGAGGGGGATATGACGCAGTGTTTGCGCTGGGCAGCCGGGGTATTGGGGCGGGTGGTCAAGGGAACATGAAGGCAGTTTTGAAGATTGTATTATTATGCCTGTATGCATATGGCTTTGGAGCTCTTTTGACCGCAAAACACGACATGCTCCAATTCCGAACCAGATTGTTAATATCCGTCAACGCCAGTGCGCCGTACGACCATGCGTCCAGACCTACCAGCCATGCAGAAGTGATGATACACAGATGACAAAGCGAAAAGGCTGACCTGTTAAAGCTCGAAATCACTCATTCCTCTAGGTGCTGGACTTGACCTTGTCAATATAGGCTTGTCCCGGACTCTCATAAGTAGGCACAAAGAAGGTGTTAATCTGAGCTTCTTTGGAGAGCCACGTAGTCATTTGACTAAGCTCCTCACGCAAGCGCGTGACAGCCTGGTGATCCATGTTGGTCTGCGCGATGAGTTCGGGCATAGTAACTGCGTCACCCTCGTTAGCTGAAGATCAAGCTTCTCCTAGTCGTAAAAACACATACCCAGAAGACGCAAGAGGTGCTCGCCGCCGTAGATGTCCGCCAATGGTTTCCCAGCAAGCTCATCAGTTGGTTGTTGAATGCGAGACCAGATGTCGTAGAATTGCTCACGCTCAAAGCGGTACAGAAGAAGACGACCAACACTCTTGTTGAAATACTCTTTTAGTCCTGCTATGACTTCTTCGAGAATGTCGCGCTCGATACTGGTGCGGTTGCTGTTGTCATTGACGTGCTTCATGTATTCGTCTAATATGACGCCTGCGGGATAATTCGCAGGAAGCTGCACTAGCTGTAGGTTCTTAGTGATGTTCTCCCAGTCGTCGACTAGGAGACTCTTGAGCCTGTCTGGCATGTAGATCCTGACTGCTAGCTTATTCTGGAATGCTTCTTCCTGAAAAGGGTTAGGACTTCACTCCAAGTCGCTTTGTGCGCAAAGTTGCTGAGATACATACCTTCTCTAGGTCGTTGTCGCGAACCCTCTTCTGACCGCGAGGGGCGGCAGAGACGGAGGTTTGGCGCTCTTCGCTACCGCGTGCCGAACCTTGCGCCTTCTTCTTTGCTGGTGCGGGCTGGGCCCTTGCAGCACGCTGGGCAGCTAGCATCTCGTGCCTGAGGTTGTTGGCCAACTCTCTGTTCTCAGGCGACAGTTTGCGAAGCCGGTCCTCAGGAACCCAGTCATCCCAGCTGCGAGGTGTTAGCAACTGGACCCAACGCCAATCCACGACTCATTGGATGCTTAAACTAGGACTTTGAGATGGAGTAGAGATAGATAAATGGCAGTGGTGTTGTACATGGATTGAGAGAGTGAAGTGTACACGCGGGCAAACGTGACTTCCGCAGTGAGGAGCGGAACGATGGGCGAGTGGAGAAAATCTCAAACAAAGTGAAGATACGTACGTGTTCTTCCAGCCCTTGTAGTGCACCCTATATTCGAAGCCATTCTTCTTGTCTTCCTCTACTGGTCGCGCTTCAAGGATCTTGGCCTCGTACAGCAACTCATGATGAAAACAGAAGACTTTCTCGTCCTTCTTGAACGCAGCCTCTGGAGCGGCTGCAGGCGCCATGATTGCGATGAAATGCGATGGATCTGGTGTTGGTGTGTTTGGTAGTCAGAAAAGAAAGCGGTCAGGGTGCTGGAGATTGCACGTCCAGGTAGCGCGTCCCTATGGGAGTGATGACAGCCAGACAGAGATGCTCAGCAGCGCAAAACACCAGTTCCCGTTGCCTGATTAATGTAAGCAAGTCGATGAGCCTGCTAATAGATGGTCCAGTCGATGTTTGCTTAGAGTCGTCGAAGGCACGTCTCACGGGAGTTTTCTGGGCACGGGCCAGCACGCGTCGCGCTTTCCGATGAGCCTCCTTCGTTGGGCGATCCCACCACGATCACTGCCTCACCAATCAAACGTATGAGTTGCATTTCATCTGAACATAACGTCTCCCACCATAATCATGCCGTCGCAAGAGGCCAAGATTCTCGGTGACTTCCTCCTCGCCCCTGCTCCCCTGCGCGACTTCATCACCCTACGCGACTTTACCGACATCTTTCCCCGCGCCCACCGGTCCAACCCCGCTGTACAAGAGATTTATCGCGAGCTTCAGAGGATACGCGACAAGGATGTTGAGCTCGTCCGTCAAGACATCATCGACGAGGTCAAACGGTCCAAGCAGCTGAGGCGGGAGTATGCACGAGAGAAACGCCAGATAGACGATGCTACCGTCGCTGGACTGGACCCCGTTGCGCTTCAAATGGAGGAGGAGGTAGCTCGTTATACCAAAGAGACTACTGCGACCCGTGCTGACCTCATCGCCAGATTTCCGGCCAAGTTCGTAAGAAACCGCACACCCTACAGACGGTCCACTCCGACATCGACGAAGCGTGCCAAAGCCTTGAGGCTCGGATTGCAGAGATAGAGCAAGAGAACAGAATAGCCTTGACAGAAGTTCAAGACGTTGTGGGCGCGCTCAGTGAATTGCGCCATGGCCGGTTTGCCCCATCGTCCAGCGGCGAGAGCATTGGGGAAGAGGTCATGGCAACGCTCAAGCGACTTGAGGCCGTATGCGACAGACCCGGGGGATGATAATGCGACACTCCTGCATATCGTGTCTTACGTACAATGCGTTGTGCAGATGCAAGCAGTGTGCTGATGGCTAGGCACTTTGGTCCTTGACTGAATCACAGACATCGCGTGCGTAGACCGGCAATTTCGCACATCCGTCGCGCAAGTTATAGGTGACGTCGCGCCCTGGATAAACGTTGCACGTCGAACGGCTTTCCGTTCGAACCAAGGTCACGACCGACGTACCCAGGACGCATATCGGCGCGCATGAGGCAGGAAGGCAGCTTTGCTACACTCTTCGCCGTTTGAGAATCTGCGCTCCTCATACCATCTTCCCTTGGATGCATGTCGGAACATACGCTGCATGATGACATGTTGCCAGTTGTGAGTTTTGGACCGTTCATTCCTTGGCGTATCGACTATGCAACCCGCCGTCCGAGAACGTGACGAGCACTACAACAGCATGATAGACCTAATCACGGCTTTAGGAGAATCACCTCGCTAAATAGCATCATTCCGCCGTCCAGGCTAGCAGCCCCGCGTGTATAGAACTTGAGCGACCCGTGATTGGCTACACGAACGACCGCAATTAATATATGTATATGAACAGCTTCAATCCCGCAACCCGTGGCAACTAGTTTCCGCAACAGAGATCTGTCTATACTACGACCTCTACACGTGTCCAGTTGAAGATGGGTGACTTATACCGCGTTGTAGTCCGGTCCTTTGCAGTTCCTCCGTCGCCTTCCATGTATTTGTCGCAAACATGATGCTTCACTCACTTCTAGCAGTACTTGTCTCTCTAACCTCCTGGACACCGCCGGTATCCGCCTCGCTCAGGATAACAGCTAACCACCATTCCTTCGGTGGTGTCAACTACCCACAACTCCAATTCTTCGCCCCCCAACACCGCGATGACAGCATCCGTGAAATCGTCAAAAGCGGCGCGCGAGTAATCCGCCCATTCATCCGTCCAGATGCCCAACACCCGGACCCAGAAGGCGAGCTAGGGGGCTTCGACAAATCTCTCTTGGACCAATTCGACGACACACTAGCCGCCATCCACCATCTGTCAAAGGGGCAGGTTAAAGTCATCATCGCACCCCATGACGCACATGCGCTTCGTGGCTCAAATGACGTTCCTTGTGATGCCTACTGTCAGAAACTCGACGGTGCCTTTTTGGATTTTTACAGCAGCGAAGAGTACCGCAATCTCTACAAAACACGCCTCGAAGTCTTCTTCAAACACTACCCTTCCAGGAACTTTGATGGGCGGCCCTGGGGCTCCCTCTCTGAAGTCATCTTGGGTGTTGATCTGCAGAACCAGCCATTTTCTGGCATCAGCCCGATACCGTCCGGCGAATCCTGGCTGTGTGATATGGCCTCGTATCTGAAATTTAGCATCGGACTTGATAGTGCCGGTATTGCGGTTATCAGTGGTGGGGTCTCTGGACCACAAAGTGTGGATGGGAACGAGAATTTCCCAGACAGCGTCTTCGACTGCAAGGCTATTGACGTCATTGGCATCCATGGGTATTTTGACAAGACGGCGGAGAGAACGGCGGGGACGCCGTGGGCGGAGATGTTCTTACCGGGGGACACGCTGACAGGGAGGGCAATGGGCAAAGGGAAGAAAGGAAAAGAGGGCAAATTATTGTTGGTGGAGGAATGGACGTATGTGCACAACTCCGACTTTGGCTTGTTCTACAAGAAAGAAGCGGTTTTTGATCAGGGGAATGCGCTGAATTATCGGGGAATTCCTTGGGTACGTGGCCCAATTTTCTTACTGACGACCGCCTTTTCAAGAAGAAAAACATGCATCGTGATGCTAACGAAAAGGAATTCTAGATATACTCTCACCTAACCACCCTTTCCGAGGGAAAGACCTCGCGTATCAACCCCATCCATCCCACCTACACCACCTGGACCGCCCTCACGGACGTCCTCAAACGCTCGGTAACAGCCCGTAGTAATTTCAACTGGACTAAGTACCTCTCCCCACCCGTTTCCATCATCCCGCCTTCTGCCGACGAAAAAACAGCGCAGCACCTCCAAGCCATGCTCACAGGCTCCAACAATCAAGAATGGAAACTGCAGCCCCTGGGTCTTTCCAACGTCTCAAGCGTAGTCTTGAACCCTTACATCATCGAGCAGAGCGATTGCACCTTCGGCTGTCTCGGCCACTTGTGCGACGCAGCGGATTCATGCTCACCGGACCTTTTGTGCAAGAACAGTGTGTGTCAGCCGTATTCCGAGACACAGCCTGGTAGAGTGGGGCAGCGGTGCAATAGCAAAGCAGTTTGCCAATCGCATCTGAGGTGTGATGAGAAGCAAGGCACGTGTCAAGCGTGTTCTGCGCGTAGCACGATACAACCAGCGAGAGAGAAACGCAAAAGGACAATCGAGGGCGACGAGATTGAGATACAGCGGGGACTGGTGCAGCCAAATGACCCAAACGGGTCGTGCTACACAGACTCTCTAGAGCATCTTTTCCACATTACCCGCCTCCTCGAGTCTACAACCACAAGCGCCACCACTTCATCCTCCCCCTCCTCGCCCTCTCTAAACACATGCCTTTCACCATCCCACCATGCCTCCCCGTGTACATCGCCACTGCACTGTTCAGCCGACGAATACTGCTCCTGGGGCTCCTGCGTCCCCTGTCTATCCACAGACACGTGTCTCGGCGCCCCGTGTCGGAGCAACAATGTATGTAAAACAAGGTATTGCAACGACTACGGCCGGTGTGACTATGTTCCCGACGCGTCGAAGAAGAAGAGTAGTGGACCGGGGGGTGCGAGGGGAAAACGGTGAGTAGTTTGCCAAACCCCCCTCACCTTCTTTTTCAACTTAGAACCGGGTTATCGTTTTTTTTTCCCCAAAAGACAATAAAAGGATAGCATAAGGTCGAGATGAAAATGGGGACTGGACTGGCAATGCGTAATCATTTCAACGGCTAATGATACGTAGGAATTCGAGGATCGCTGGCGTGCCAAAGGGACATGAACGCGGACCGGCGAGAGTGAGGGATGAGGCAATGAGGATCAATATACCAAAAGAGAAGGTTGCTGAGACTGGGGGCCCTGCTGCTACTGCTACAGCATAACGTTAGTATTGCTGTGGGAAGACTTTGACATTTGAACGTGTGTGTGTGTGTGTGTGTGTGTGTCTGTGTAAGCATCATCAAGACAGAGAGAGAGAGAGACGTCCACCACCGGTCCCCACTTACACAACAACTTGCATTGTAGACAAGTAGATTTGGTTATAAAGTATGAAACAAGAAGATTATCTACTTTGGTTGGGGTATCGTAGCCTCCATAACTCCGTTTTGTGTATGTAGCAGGTTACCTGCTCCAAATCCTCCTTCCTCCTTGGTGTCAGATGATTCGATACGACGGAATTGTCTTCGTAACTCGTAGATGCATGCACAGTATGATGATACTGCCATGAGCCGTGCCGTCACCTAGCATCGAGCGAGAAAACATGCACCGCCTCCACCCCATCATGGCCAATTACTCTCGTCGTAATTCGTGAATGTGCATGCACAACATGTTTCTTACGTAACGGACCATCTCCTCAGAACTCTTTGACCTCGAACGCGATGTTGGTTCGAGTCTCTCACTCAAGGACACATCACCTCGCAACCACTTGCACGTATTAGCCAATCACCCCCCGATATCTCTCATTCCCCTCAATCAAGCCTTCCAAAAAGTTGGCAGCCTCGACAAGAATCTGGCTCTTACTCAACCCCCCACCCCTCACGGCAGGCACAACCTCATTCAAGTCCTTGTACCCCTGCTTAATCAGATCCCTTCGCTTCTGCTCCGACAAGATGTGATTATTGCGTTTCTGTTCTTCAGTCAAGTTCTCGCGATGAGTCTTTTGCGTCGTAGTGGCAGGTGCCCGCTTCTTCTTGTTGTTCGTGTTGTTATTGATGCTGGTGTCGTCGGCCATGGTCGCCATTTTCCGCGCCTTGCCGTTCCGCACGGCTTTTTTGGGCGTGACGTTGCTATTCCGTGCTTGGCTCTTTTTCCGCTTCTTCGCTGGGTGGTCAGAGGATTCATCTTCGGATGTTGCTTCGTCCGATCGTTCGTCATCGTCGTCGCCGCCACCGCGCTGTCCCAGTTTGTATGCAGTAGGAGTCGTGGTCGGCCCTTGGATACCTGCGACGGCTCGTAGTATGTGATGTGAAGTCTCCTCGAGATCTTGTATCGACGCCCTTGCCGCACTCTCTTCGCTCGGATGACCGTTCGGCCCCGAGTAGCCGGATGGGCTGCCGAAGGAGTTGTCTGTGCCAAAGGCGTATGACCTCTTCAAGTCCAGCTTCTGCAGCGGCGGACCGAATTCAGCTTGGTGTTGTTGCAGTGCTTTGCTCGATGACCATTGCGGCGCAAAGTGGGCATCCATGGCTGGCGTGCTGTGGTTGGGAACTAGAGCGCCCAAGCGTTCGTGTAAGAGCCCATGCTGCGGACCCAAGGGCAGAGTGCCGGCATTCAGATCGTGGACAGGATTTGTGGGGAAGGTGTTGGACGTGCTCGGCAAGTCATGGAAGCTGTGCGAGCGGCCGTTGGCATAGGATGGCTGTGCCTGGTTGAAGAGAGCCGTGGCTGCCTGGAGCTCATCTTCGGTATTGCCCAGAAAGTTTGCATGTCGGTATTGTTGGTCTTGGTGGAAGCTGTTCTGGGGACGGGCTTGGTCTGGTATGGTGCTAGTCACTCGATGTACTGTCGGCGGGGCTATAAAGTCCTCCCAGTTGTTGTAGTCGTGGGCGCTCGCTTTGGCGTCGAGGGCGGGTGGTAGTTGGTGCGAGTCGAGCGAGTCGAAGGGGTTGGTCAGAGAGAAGAAGTTGTCGAGCTGCTGGTTCTCCATGTCGCTGAGAATGGACTGGCCATTGTTGTCGTATTGCGAGGGGGGGTTGTCGAAGAAGTCGTTTGTGAAGGTGTCTGCTCGGTCAGCCAGTGACATGTGATTAGTAGCAGTGCAACGTACAGCCAAATGGCGGCGGGTCTTTGTCGTTCATGGCGGGACGTGGGAGGCCTCTGGCCGTAGCACCCGCGAGTCCCGCGAACGACTGATGCGACAACGCCTCCAGCTTGAGTCGTTGCTGTGGTGGTGAATAAGGCCGAGCGACAGGCGACCGTCTACCGTGTGTCGGCTTGGCCGGGCCCAGGAGTGGCTGGATCGAGACTGGCGACCGGGCTCTCGAGTGCTTATGCGTCTAGAAGCGTCGAGATTGGTGTTGTGCAAAGCTGTTGGGAGAGTCGCGCGCGATATGACGTGAGGAACGAGCATTCGCAAAGGGCCGCTTGTTGCGCAGCCGGCTTCAAATACGCCGTGTCGATGAGCAGTCGCATTCCCGGAAGGCGCCGACCATGAAGCCAGGTGATGTAGGCAGGAGTGAGAGACTCGGGTGAGAGAATTCAAGTGGTTGCATGCGTCTTGTTGCGCGTGAGAAGTTCACCTTCACATGCCAGCGGATCTCTTGCGCCCACCTGCCCACTAGCGCCGAACGGCTCGCTTGCTCCTTCCCTGCCACCCATCTGCCAAGTCCTCCGAGATGACATGCATTCACTCTCCACATCTCGGAATGCGTTCCTGGCCTACTCTGTATTGGCAGGCACGCATTCGAGTCTAAACAGCCTTCAACTTCTCATGTAACAAGGCCCTCTACACGCATGCTCTTCCATGTTCATTCTGCTCCTCTTCATCTCGGACAAACCTTCTCACCGTCTCTCCGCGATCCGAGTGCGCCTAAAGGCCAAGAAGGGCAGCTCCTCCGTAAGTATTTTGACTGGCGCCCATTAGTTTGCTGCGGTCCGAAATGCTGCAGTGGCGTCAAACGACTTTCTTCTCCTTGGCCGAACCTACCGTAGTTCCCGTCCGATCACCTCTAGGTTTGGCTATCCCAGGGGTCAATCTGGGGAAATCATGGCTGTTTCTACAACCTATCCCCTTGCATCCCACAGCCTAGAGTCATGGACAACAGCGTCTCCGATTTGACCCGTAACTTCTCCTCACCCTACATCGATGCAGTGATCGTCTTGTTCTCTGCCTCGGCTGCCTCGCAGCATCGATCTACAGTGGTCATATCGGAGAGCCCGAGGCTCGTACGACACTAGACTTGCTTCGGTTTCGGAAGAGCAGCTGTTCTCCCCATACTTTGTCGGTGGTTATGCATTCTTCTCATATTCTCCAGCTCGATTGTTGTCTTACGTCAAGGTTGAAGCCTTGCTCACGCGACAGTAATTTAGACCCAACGTCCCGACTTCACCACTGGCGTTCAGCTTACCAGCCAGGCATTGCCTTGGGATTCTTAAGGGTATGAATAATCGCGGTTCTTGCATCTGACCGCTCAGTATTCCTAACTCGTCGGTATGCAAGGTGCACACCATATTCGCCTACTAAAAGAAGCAAACCATGCTTTCAGGATGTGTCAAAAACCTTGAGCAGCAACAAACATCCAGCGTCCTCTCTAGTACTAGCTTTATACTAGCTTTACCTTCATATGCGTCGAACCGAACGCATTCCCCTAGGCACAGGTTGCTGCTATAACGTGTAAGCTGGCATGCATGGACAGCCAATCTACATCACCTCCGCCTAGCCCGATCGGGTCCATGGCGCGAATTCGCCATAAATTTACCAAGTTTGAACCAAGCCAGCACCAAGATACACAGCCATCACCAAGATACTTGTGCAAAGCAGACTTTACGATACGACCGAACATAACCGAAATAGGCTGCTGTGCTAACCTGCTCATGATGCCTCGCAACATAAGTATGACGCCGCGCCCGCGACAATGACCGCGATCTCTCCACTCTCTGCTCCCTACTGAATCGAAAGTCATCAACCCGCCTTACTTTCAGCGAGCAACCATGGACTGCTACACTTTCATCGTCATTCTCTTGGTTCTGTTCACATTGGCATTATGTCTTTGCTTGAACCCATTACCGCCCCAACGATGATGGTAATTTTCGCCCTCATCTTCATCCTCTCAAAAACCACAACCAAACGACATGGCCTGAGAACACATCACTCTCAAATTTATTTTGGAAATTCATGTGTATGGTATCGAGAAATACCCGACGACGATAGCGAAAGTGCAGTACATGATCAGGCCTGCCATCCACAGAATCCTACGTTAAGCCCATTCGAGTCAAAAGCGCGAGTCCCACTCACAAACCCACGTACCAACTTTCGATACTGCGTACTTGCGCAGCAGACCTGTGGGGCCGACGATCGATGATGGTCTACAACGCAAGAGGACGGACTAGACTCTGAGCAGTCAGTTGAACTGCTCCCAAAGAAACTGGAGCTATTCTCGGCCTCACCAACGGCCTCCAGAGGTTTCCCCAAAAACACGATTCTGTTGCTCGTAGTGCGCTGCTGGCAATGGCGGTATTATGCGACAAGGTTTTGGCCCTATAGTGCTTAATGGTGCAACAAAAGAATCCCATACGTGCTGCTCTTCAAGCTCCTCTCGCAATGCAGCCACCTGCTCTTTCGACGCGCTAGGAGCTAATTGATCAACATGTCGCCGTCTTAGTGTATGCATCCCAGTCTGTTTCTCAGAAGTATAATAGAAGCGCTCGTAAATTGAGCAGACCTGAACTGCTGGTAGCAATAGAGCTTGATCTAATCGCGGCCCCGTAAACATGGCTAGGAACGCCCGTAAGCTTACGGAGCCAGTGCCTATAGACTTTCTCTCTCGTTGGCCACTCAGCACCACGGCAATCTTTGTCTCGCGATCTGGAGAGCTGTCATATGCAGTAATGTCGCCCTTTTGGTCTAGACATGTATGTAGAAGACGGATGACAGTTTGGGTTAGGTGATCGAAGGTGAAACGGAGCTCCACTGCCATATCAACAGAATCTGTGCAGCGAAAGACGTATCCCGGCACGAAAACGATCAGATGGAACCGAACGATGAAACCCCATGTCGGACTGGCTATAGCATGATATGAGCCACTCCATCCGTGAAGTAAACTCTTTTGGTGCGTCAGCTCAATGGCGACCTTGATAATGTCTTGCGCATTAGACCATGACATAGGGCTGATACGAAGGGGACTGTCGAACCACAAGAAAGCATTTCCAGATGGCCGAACTTCAGACATACTCAATGTATTGGCGACAGTATCCGTAACAGTTTCTCCAGGAATCGAAGTCCAAGTTTCGCCAACTTCGCTGCTGATGATCGTGAAATTTGTGCGATTCCTATAGGCCCGGTATGCGGCAGCTACCCAAAGGACCAACATGATGCTAAAAGATACCCACCATGGGTTTCCTCTCAAGCCAAGATAAAAAACTACGAATGAGGCGATAAGAACAAGAGTGCATATCGTCGTTCTCAAGTGCCTCGATTTTAATTCTGTTGGGACGGCCTTGGATGAAGCGGCAGCGACCAGTGCTTCAAGATTATCAGATTCAATCGCAGTCCAGCGGCTGTGTGAAGAGTTGCTAATTGTCCATCGAGAACCCTTCGCAAGTTCCCCTAACGTGAAAGACTCGAGAACAACGTTTTGCAAGAGCACAGACAACAGCGCCATAGTGCCGAGGAAGATGCCTGCGTATCCGATGATGCCCATTACGAGGGCTTGTTCGCCGGATACCGGATTATTGTTACTGATGTAGCCCGCTATCTGGATACTGACAATTGTAATACCCAAGGCACCCCCGGCGACGACATCCAAGAGCTTACTAGTCCAGTGTCCTTTCGTACGAAGCGTGGCTGCAGGAGAGATACCGGTCAGGCGGAAGGATATCGTGGTATCGCCTACAACAGTCCCTTTGAGACTTTCAAGATCCTCTGGCTTACTGCTTGAGTTGAGAGTTTCTATAAGTGCAGCACCATCGGCAAGCGACATTTCCTGCACATTGCGCAAGACAACAATAGTTTCGTAGTCCAATGCCTTCGATAGTCTGGAACATCTTCGTTGTATAGAGAGGAGGGAAGTAAGAGCCGGCGCCGCTGCTTGCGGTGTGACTGCACGATAGTGGCAGCAGAAGAATGCGGTCTCTTTGACCTGGCCAGGCTCAATCTCGATCTTGCCGTCGACATACACTGGAGTAGTTTCCAGCACACTGACGGGAGTTATTTCCACCATTGCTTCACAGCGTCTTTCTGACTCTCGCCCAATCAAACGACGAAGGTAGAGCGGGCCAGAGATGCGGATTGTGCTGATAAGTATGGACAGAATACCAACAGGAGCCACGGAGAGGTTGAATATCTGCTCTGATGATGTCATCGATCGGAGGTATTCCTTCGCGTGGCGTTCCCCCACAAGAGCCATCAATGGTGCTATGTTTGCCACTACTGTCGCCCACAGATCTGAAGAGCTTACTATAGCGGTAGCTACCGGCTCTGGTGAAATGATGCCGCCTGTAGGATACCCTGAAGTGAGTGAAAACATCATGAACACCGTGATTGGGCCGATGTAGGTCATTATGAGCGGCTTGACCGGAAGGTGCGCTAAGAAACGGGCGTCGTGGGCTGTGGATAATAGCGTTTGAGGTCAAGATATTCAATACATGATCATGGCAAGCGTAGTACATATCCCAGAAAAAGAAACCCAGTTCATTGAGTGGTATTTAGACAAGACTAGCGTTGGCTGGTTGGTACTATTCCCGACATGATTGGACTTCGATTCCGGTGAAGGGTACGTTGATAAGCCTGACCTTGGTATCCGGTGAACGTTGTCTGTTACATGGTCGATCCTTAACCGGTGAGCTTTCCGCTTAGTTTCTTGTGATAAGGATGTAAGCATTCAGCAAGATAAGCGATCAAGCCACTCAGCTTACCGGTCATCGATTGACAAGGCTGAAGGAACATGACCAATCCGGTTGCTTAATACACAGCTAGTTTCTATCTAGGCTAGACCGGAGATTAGGCAAGGCATACCTAGGCAGTACACGTATCGCAGACTCAGGTACGAACAATTGCTATCGGCCTATGCCTAAGTGCTTTGTATGTTCGACACGGTACATAGGCAACCGGGGTAAGACATGAGTATCTCAAAAGTTCCTGTTCTATTTCTCTTCCATGCCTTCACACGAAAATAGCGAGGTGCTCATTCGTGCTGTTCAGTATCGTCACGTCATCTTCTTAATATCCTTCATTACTCTGCTTTTCATTCACAATTGGGTCAATCCGGAGAATTTCAATATTCATTTGGTCGATGATGTTGGAATCTATACGCAGACAATATTCTTCCTACTTATATTCGTGCCTGGGCGGATACTAGGATGGTATAGCATGGGCTGCGCTATGCTGCCACTCGGAATGCGAAGTCTCAGTTGTCGAGAACAGACACGAGATTTCAAACGCTTTATACTATGTTATGTTACCAAAGGCGAAAACACCGAAGTAAGAAAAGGGATATCCGTGCGTAACAGGACTAACGTGTAGTAGGCCATGCGCCGCAGCGTTGAAGCACTGCCCATCCTCAGCCTTATAGACCGCCGCTTAGAAGTCCATATCGTCACAGAAGCAAAGTCGCTCTCTGCTGTGCAGCACCTCGAGCAATCTGCAATAGTCCATGGGGTCCCGACAGACTTCGTAACAAGGAGAGCCAAGTACAAAGCAAGGGCGTTGGAATGGTTCAGGAAAACCCAAAACTTTTCAAACCAAGATTGGATTCTGCACCTCGACGAGGAGACCTGTCTCGACGAACACGCAATACGTTCGGCCATCGATGCTGTCGAGAGAGATTCTACCATGCACGTTGCCCAGGGGATAATCTTGTACAACGCACATAATTATTGGGCTCACAAAATTGTTGCATATGCTGACGTCAACCGCGTTCTAGATGACTTTGGTCGTTATCAGTTCCAGTTCAACTATTGTCGACGTCCCGTCTTTGGCATGCATGGCTCATTCGCACTGATCAATGGCGAGGTGGAGAACACGGTGACATGGGAGACTGACTGCCTGACGGAGGACTATTGGTTTGCGCTTCAGGTAAGCAGAAATATTTAGACTGTTTCACTGCCGCTGAATCGAATCAGGCAGCAAAGCGAGGCTATGAATTTGGCTGGATACCTGCCTTCGCTCGGGAACAATCGCCTTGCAGCCTTTGGGATTACTGGCAGCAACGGCGACGGTGGGCTGCAGGCATCTGGCAGATGAGGGATACGGCAGCCAGTGCGCTTGTTCTTCTCTGGTCGTGGCAGACTCTAGATCTCTTGGTGTAAGTCAATGCATCGTGCAGGAAGCGCAAGTTCCATTTCTAACGTATAACTGACTCGAGACAGTTGGCTATTAATCTTGCTACCGTCAGGGGTGAACATCCCACGTTGGCTTTGGCGAGTCTATTGTTTTGATAGCAGTGTATCTCTGGCGTCGATGGGTCTCTCGCTTGCTTTCCAGGACTTCGATGCAAGAAGACAGATGAAGGTCGTGGAGTTCATTCTGCACGTCCTACTCCTGCCAGTTGTCCTTCCCTTTGTGAGTCTACTGGAGTCAATAACGATTGTTTCAATCTTTGTTTGGCCTGTCGAACAGTGGTTCCACGTAGTGAAAAAGTGAAAAGCCAAGCAGAAAGGTGAAACCAAGAAATCTAGATCGATTTCCCCGATGAGTAAAGAACTATTTGGTCAGGATAATAGAATGCAAGGATTACGGATAAGCTGTTGAATCCGGCGAGCCAATATCATGTGAGACTTTGACACCTTTCCTTTCGTGTGTGAACATGCCACTTGATGCATTCCGGTCAGTGAATACCGGTCAAGACTGACTGTGGCGTTGCATACTGCATATGCAGACCGCCATTAACACACCAACAATATACTTAGGTACTGTTGAACATTTATATGCTCCATCAAGGACCTCGCCGTCGTCCGCCTGCTAGAAACCTCTAGACAAGAGTAACCAATGTCGAAGCACGATTTTCCGCAAATAGTGTGGCAAATATGGCTCACTACGCCCAATGGACCCGATGCAGCTACCGTCAAGGACGAACATAAACACCTGATACAGACTTGGACAGAGTTTAATCCCCACTGGACTCACATCATGATTGATGAAGAATACGCCAACGATCTCATCGCCGAGCACTTTACTGCGTACCCTCAGATACGGCGAGTTTTCGATAGGCTCCAGATCCCCATCTTCAAAGCCGATTTGCTGCGGTTGCTCGTTTTGTACGTTCATGGAGGTCTTTACAGCGACCTCGACACAGAGTGCATCCGTCCGGTAGAATCTTGGGATCTTGAAGAGCTATCCAATTCCACTGAGCTTGTGGTTGGACTCGAATACGACAACTTCGATAAGGTAGAACGTCAAGGTTGGTCTGACGACATCCAGATTGCAACATGGACCATCATGGCACGAGCAAAGAGCAAAAGGTTACTTGAAACTCTTCTATTGATGATAGAATTGGTATCACACACTATGGACGTCTACGTCATGGCTGAGCAGTTGTTCGGAGAGAAGGACGATGATGTCCTGGATACAATAGGACCGCGAGGGTTCACGCGAGCGCTGTTGAAGGTTGTGAGTAAATCAGAAGGCTACCAGGTAGCGCATGCTCAGCTCTCGATGCTTGATGTGCCTAAGAACTTCGGTGGGGTTCGGTTCCTCCCAGTAACTGCTTTTGCGTGCGAACAGCCGCACTCGAGAAGCGGTCGATGGAACGACCCTGCAGTGCTTGTTACACACCATTACCATCACAGCTGGAAGAAAAACGTCGTACATGCGTCATGTCAACATGGTCGGTGTAAGTCTTAGAGACTCGACAGTCCCAATCTGAAAAGTATATGGCCGAACCAACATCTCGATTGGACATTTTCTCCAATCTTACGACGTCTCTTCTGTCTTGAGCCAGTATAGTCGCGATATTGGGACAGTACTCCTGCCTGGAAAGGACCCAATTCTTTGACTGGAGCTAGCTGGTCCTTTGATTGCTACTGGCGTGATGGTGTTGATCGGCAATGGTGGCTTTTCGGTAGCCACAGTGATTTGTGTGTCAGGCGGACTAGTTGGATGCTGGGTGGGTCTTGTAGATGCCGTGGCTGAGTAGGCCCTCCTCTTACGAAGCTGAGTCCTTGTCGTAATGGCGGTGAACCCTGATTATATCACTTCGTGGTTGATATAGGTTGTTTGGTAGAAGCTCGTGAGCTTCAAACAGCCTCCACCCACCTCATCCAAAGGGTAACAATAGCAAGGTCGCGCCAATACCCGCGGCAATAACCATACCCGGCACCGCTCCAAACATCTTGCCCGACCCCGCTGACGGAAGCGGCGCCCCCTTCAACTCCATACCCGTTGGCCTTGCTACCACGTCCGCCGCATCAAAATACGCATACTTGACCCTCTCCCCATCCTGCAAGTTCTCATTCGTAAGCACACTCGCCTCGTTTGGAAAGTCCATGATGGGGACACTCGGATAAAAGCCTTCATTCTTGATAATGTACTGCGCCAACGCATACAAGGCGTAATTCTCCGCGTTGTTGGCCGCGTCGTAGCTCATCTGCGTGGAGAGAATTGCGAGGAGTTTGGAGCGCGTGGCGCCGTATGCGTACTTGAGCGTCTGGAAGTCGGTCGGGGTTTCGGGCTGTTCGTTGAGGACGCCGGCGAGGACGGACGTGTTCATTGCGCCTTGGGAGGTGACGAGGAGCCATTCGCTGGTCGAGTTGGGAGGTGCGGGGACGGGGCGCTCGACGACTGCGGTGCCGATGGAAGAGAAGTGCATGACCATGCGTGCCCAGAGGGAGGCGCGGTTGTAGTACTCCATCAGACGATCCTTTTCCATCTGGTTGTCGGCTTTCTTGTTTATGCGGCCGGTGAGGGAATCCATGCGGAAGTAGTCCCGGCAGAAGACGATGTGAGGTTCGTTGCCGATGTTGTAGGCTGCGTGGTCGCCTTCGCGCTTGTTTCCTTTGTCGCAGAGCTTCATGGGATCGTCGCAGCGTATGTGGATGTCCGAGTTTACGGCCCCAATTCCTCCTTCTAGGACGCCGTAGTTTGCCGCTCGCTGGAGGTTCGTGGCTATCATGTCCGTGTAGTTGGCCGTTATCGAGGGGCTGAAAAACTCTCGTGCAGGCTGCGATGTAGGATCGAAGGGCGTTGCAGCGGCGAATAGACTTGTCATCTCCGAGAAGCCGTCGCGAATGTCTTCGATGTCGGAGAAGTCACAGCCCTCGCCGCCAGTGAGAGCGGTTGCATAGGTAGGCCTGCCAGCGCCTTTGTCGTCGCCAATAACGCCATCTGGGCTTGCGTATGCGCGTGTCACGAGGGCGGCGACGAGTATGGGAGGGAGACGTAAGAGTGTGTGGAGCGTGAGCATGTCGACGAAGCCGCCGGGGACAGTTCGGTCGATCGAAATGTTAACGCGAGATGTTGGGAATTGCAAGCATGGAGGCCGTGCCGATCTTTCTCGAAGCTGGAGGGAGATGGTGTTCCTGTGGCAGTGGACCGGGGCGTTCGTCACACGCGAACTGGGCGAAACGGGGGTGTAGAAGCTTCAAGGATAGCCGCACAAGAGGCCGTGACGTTGGATAGGAAAAGTAAAGCGCATGAAGGAGCGCCGGCCGCCGGCACGCATTGCGAGGCTGGCCCCTAGCTTTCCGACCGTGCTTAGACGCGCTGTAACGGTTAGATCTTCCGACACGAGGTACTGAGACGGTAGCCCGGATATGTGACCGACGCTGAATCATGGTGTTGAGCATCAGCCTCTAGGTTGACAACCACGGCATTTCTGGTCCTCGCTAGGGAGGAGTCGGGCTTGAGCGACATGTTCATGAGCGCTTGTGTCGTGCAAAGTTGCTCTTTGATTGATGTGTTCCTTTGCTGAGGTCGTGTCGCAGGTCACTGAATGAGGCAAGTATCGGCTCGCATGTGAAACACCAAGCATAATGCCAAGACCTGGTCATGACCACCTCGCCGCGAAACCATCATCACGATCCTATGAGTTGCGACTGACCTACGTAACAAAGCAGCTTTTACGTAGCCTGCATTTCATTCTTAGTGGTATAGTCATAGTACGCCAAAGTTGAAGGGTCGTTGATGGTCAAATGGTTTGGTGGGTCGGACAGCGGGGGATCCTTCCGCCAACGCCAACATCGCCTACTCTTTCTATTCTACGAATTACTAACTACTAACACCACACTCTTATCAGGGTGCCACAGCTATGTCTGCTCTACGGGACGCAGGGTGATCGCCGTTCTTCCGTCGATCGAGACTGACAGCTTAGCCTCACCTTTGTGGTCCGCCACCGCAGTCTGTAAGCCCAGCCTGTAAGCTCTACCTGCCTTCATGTTCTTGAAGCCTAGAGTGTAGTTTCCCGCCTTTCTTCCATTATAAAGCACTAGTTCGACCGATTCTCCGTCATGCGAATACGCCTTTCCAACGAGGACCTCAGGGAAGGGCACCTCATCCAGAATTGGAGCGCGAAAGCAGTGTTCTGGCGGCCCATCCTTAAGAAGACTATTCCAATCGCCATGAGCACCTAATCTGCTCCTCAAGGTATTGATCTGGCCAAGAGTGGATAGACCTTTATTCTTCAGTGCGCCAGTGCGCGTTTCGTACACCGGAAACTGCTCTTCATCCGTCTGCCGTATCAACTCGTCGCGAATCTTTTCATCCCCAAATTCGGTCGCGACGCTGGCCATGGCGACTCGGACATAGCCACGACCACTCCTGTAGTTGCCGGGATCAAGATTGTCAGCGCCAACAAGATTTGTCAACTCGAGATGTCCGTCGTTCGTCCAACACAAGTTTTCCTGCTTCATGATCGCCCAATGGCGATGCGCAACGTGCGGAAGATATGGTCCGCAGAATACACTGGGAGCTACGTCGGAGATTGCGCCTGCAAGTCCAGGAATCGTGAAGCCCGTTAATTCACTTCGAATTGGCAAGATCGTACCGTCGGCGTTGGAAAACTCGCTGGCTAGGGCCGCTTCGAACCGACCTTTGAGCCTATCGCCGTAGTCGTTGCCCAGAACCTTGTCAGAGGCGACTATGCCACTTATGCCTGCAGATGTGGGAATACGAAGTCAGTGTATGTCTATGTCTCGCATACATTTCGTACAGGCACCACCTACCCACCAAATTACATAGCGAGTATATCCAGTTGGGCTCGCATGGATAGAGATTGTACGGATTTTGATCCATATTGCGGAAGACGGCATCAGCGATCGAGCCCAAGTCGTATTTGTACCGGGCGCCATCTGTAACAACAAACTCCATTGAGTTCTCCTTGGCATATCGATCATCACGAGTCACGATCTGGTACAGTGCAGCTCCGAGCAGGATGTACCCAGATACCATCTGCGGGCTGTTAGTCTCTACCGGAACAGCTGAGGCTTCACTCACAATGTTGTCTTCCTTCACAGGATCCCAGTCTAGCGTGAACTTACCCATGAGCGACTCCCATTTCCAGAAATTCATCACCCTTTTCGACATGGACTTTTCGATCAAGCCCCTCTCTGCTTTGGAAAGATAGCCGTGGAAGTTCGGACAGTAATGATTTTGGTAGGCTGTAAGTTCATATATGCCCTGGTAGAGCTGATATCGAATTGCCGAAGTCTGGAACTGATCTATCACATCATGGTAGGAGAAGTCATCTATGGGCGAAAGACCTAATTCAAGTACCCACTGAAGGAATCGGAGCGTTCGCTCGTCGGCCTCTCGTGATCCTGGAGGTGGAGCTGGCTGGGCCTTGGCCTGGTTCTCTTGGACTGCGTTTACCAGGTATGCATTGCGTTGCTCGCGCCTCTTTTCGGCTTCTTGGTTTGCAGTCTGGGTCTGCCATGTTACATATGTTATGCCGAGGATACATGCCACTGTAACGATGGGTCCCGCAGCTTCCAGTACCGTGTCCCTCGCAAGCGCAACAGCAAGCAGATCAGATCCTACCCACAACAGAATCGGAAAAACAAGTCCACCGCAACCGAACCACATAAAAAGGATAAGTGGAACAGCGCCTAGTGTTAAGAAAAGTGCCAAGATTGAGGGGATGGTGCAGACTGCAACGAAGCCTGCTCCTGGGAAGAGAAGACCGATTCCAGCTACACGCGCTTGTGGATCATCGATCTTGTAGAACACGGCTAGGCCTATGAATGTGAGAAAGGCATACTGTACAAGCGTACGCGTTTGATAGTATCTCTTCGCCTTTCCTTTGCCGCATTGCTGTGGTATCAAGACGTCTATATCAGTTAGTCTATTGCTACAGCATTCTCAACAGAGGTGACGGCGAACCCTGAAAGCGAAAACTTTGCGCAGGTGCATGATTGCTTCGAATGGTAGGCAAATCTGACTTCAAATCTTGCGATGTAGGTGCAGTATCCGTGAATTCGGCCGTGGTTGTCGTCGTCGTCGTCATTGTAGACAGCGTTGCGTCTCAAGGCTGGACAAACGCGATCGTGATAGCTTCGTCTAGTAGCCCTGCGGATTTGAACGCTCGATCTATCAGAACCCCCTTTAAATTGTTAATGCTCCTCATAGCTGCAACTTCTCGATCGCTCGGATATCCTAGTGCGACTCGAATGCAGCGACTCAGCACAAACCAATGGCGTTGCGAGTGTGTCGCTACAAACCAGGTCTTACAATTAGTGAACATTCATCGGCCCTTCCCCGGCCTCTTCTTTCCAGCTTGTATTCGTACATTGGCCTGCGTCATCTGAGGGGTGAGTGGCCCCAAGATGTGGGGTACAGAGCCGATACAAGCGGGGAGGCAAAGCCGCAACACATCGTGAGGTTAGGATGCGACCCGTCCGGCTCGGGAACTGACAGTATCCGATGCAAGCAAAGGCGCTTACAGACTCTTGGTGGGCGACAGTAGCGTTGCTACTCCAAGCGAACTGCGAGACATACTGCAAGACCCGATTGATCTGTAGTTTCGAAAGTTACCAAAACCGGATTTTTGCTTCAGTCCAGCCAGCCAAACATGGCATGTTGTATCTTGACGGCTTTTGTCATGAACAGAATCATCAGAATCTGCGATACTTTTGATATACGCTTCCTCGAAATCAAATACAGCGATGCAGAAGACAGCTGCGCTCCGGCAGAGTCGGTGAAGAAGAGGACAGAGTCAAAGACATGCCGCATCAGCATTGGTGGTATGACATGTGGTGCTTGCGTTGCAGCTGTCACAAAAGAGCTGGACAATGTTGTTGGTGTTCTCAGAGCGAATGTCTCGCTGCCTCTTGGGCGTGCCAGCATATTCTATGATCCCGCCTCGACTACCTCTGAGAGATTGGTGGAGGCAATCCGTGCTGCGGGTTACGAGGCTACACTCGGGGAAAGAAGTTCAGAGGAGGTTATGCAGAGGCTGCGACAGTCCAAGGAGCTGCAATCACTTCGAGATGCTATATCCTCAGCGAGTGTATGTTCTACACTTATCCTTGGCCTGGAATATGTCCCTATATTCTTGGGAAAGTTCTTCTTGGCGTCTGCAAAGCGTGGAGTGATTCCCTGGCTACTGCTTATGATGGCATTCAGAGTTCAAGCTTGGGATGCGCGGACAATCCATTTCCGAGCATGGTCAAGAAAGAGCAAACTGGCTGTCACTATGGACACACTATTGAGTCTGTCGCTAATTCTCGGCCTTGGTTCATCCGTATTGCAAACGGTATCTGGGAGGTTGGTGATGAGCTCACAGCCATATGCATCCTCGGGTTCTTTTCTGACTGTTGTCATCCTCGCTGGTAGATATCTCGAAGCAGTCCTACGTAAGGAGAGTAATGCACATTTAATAGCGCTTTACGGAATGAAGGCAGAGAAGGAACTCTACCAGATTTCCGGAACTGATGTTGCGCTGCCAGCATCGCTGCTGAAGAAGAGCGACGATGTTGTCATTATGCCGCAAGCTACCATACCATGCGATTGTTATATCGTTGAGGGTAGCTCAGCCATCGACGAATCGACCATCACAGGAGAAGCGTTGCCCGTAACAAAAGAGATGGGAGATTTTCTGCTTGCAGGAACGAAGAATCTATCCCGCCGGGTGAGGGTCATCATATGTCAGGATCAGAGCGAGTCATCCCTTGCCAGGGTGATCGAAGGTGTGTCTACCGCCAGCGAGCAGCGACGCGAGGGCATGGAGCCACTCGACATGATCATGAAGGTTTTTGTGTCTGGGGTCATGCTGCTAGCTCTCATATCATTTGCGACTACTCTCATTTATCACTGGGGCTCACCGGGCTTGGATGTCATCACAGCCGCATGTGAGCGGACCATGACTGTATTGTCTGCTGCATGTCCTTGTGGGATAGGTCTGGCGACCCCGTCCGCAGCCATGGCTGGTGTTGATGCTGCATATTCCCAGGGTGTCCTTTTGAGTGGCGGTATCAGAACTATGCGAGCCCTATGCAAAGCCACACATGTCGTTATGGACAAGACGGGAACTCTTACAAGAGGCAATCTTGATGTCGTGAGCCACCGTTTCGATGGAGAAGGTAGGTTCAATGAAGATGCATGTTTTCGGCTGTTGGCGGCCGCGGAAGCAGAAGACGCTCGTGTTCATCCCGTTGCGAAAGCAGTCTTCAAGTGGGCGCTGACCATGAGCAATTCATGCGGTATGGCGCGCTTCTCAGAACACGTGAACAAAACACGCAATCTCAGATCTGTCCCTGGTAAAGGAACGAGCTGCCAAGTCCAGACTTTCGCCAACGTCTGGACAGAAGTTAGCATAGGATCGGCGGCATACCTGAAAGAAAGCGGCATCGAGGTCGCACTGGAAAGCATCGAAGCCTCCAGTGTGTACTTTGCTTTTAACGGGCGGTATAGCGGTTACATATGTGTTCAAGACACCGTCCGCCCGGAAGCTTCTTCAGTCATCCAATCTCTCCTGTCAGACGGCTTGCGAATTACTATGTTGACTGGCGATACCGAGCCCGAGGCCTCGCGCATATCATCAGTCCTTGACATTCCCGTCCTCGCATCACGCGCGTCTCCTTTTGACAAGATGCGGCACGTTCAAGACTTACAACAAGAGGGTCATTGCGTCGTCATGGTTGGCGATGGCGTCAACGACTTTCTCGCGCAGTCAACAGCGGATGTAGGCGTTTCTGTATCGTTGGTACAAGGCTATCTGGCTCGCGCAGGGAGCGTAGTCATATTATCAGGCAACTTGCAATGTCTTGCTGCTGCGTTCTCCATCTCAAGACGAGTGGTGGCTCAAGCAAGGACAAATGTAAGATGGGCTTTGATTTATAATTTCATTGCTCTGAGTCTGGCCTTGGGCTTGTTCGAGAGCTGGGGCATTGTTGTTACACCGTAAGTCAAGTTGTCCAGTAGAGTTTTTCAAGAAGCTACTGACCATCGTTTAGTCCTGTGGCTGCCAGTATGATGGCAACGTCAAGCGTTAGCGTGCTCTCTATGAGTCTTTGGCTGAGGTATCGGCTCCGAGTCCACAGGAGTTGATATTGCCAAGAATAGGCTACTCCTCTAAAGGTAGCAGTGAACGAGTTTCCCCACGTAGTTCGAAGGCTTCAGTTGCTCCGGTCTAGTACAATGTTACGCCCTGCATATACGACCTCGTATCATTAGCCCATCGGTATTTTAGCCTATAGACAAATGATCCTACGGAAGAATTCGCTTGGGCTTATAATTGATTAACTAAAAAACAAGCGTATCTAGCCCGTATGACTATAAAGTTCAAGCCCTGAGTGCTTTCTTCCATTATGCACTTCCCCTTGTGCTCTACCACCACTTAATACTCATACCTGCCTACTTCCTCCTATCTGTCCTCGTCAACTACAGAAACACGCCCACCACTCACTATTTGTAGCCTTCACACACCTACACCCAAACTATCACCATGCATCTAAGCACTTACGCTACACTCCTCATCCCAACGCTTGCAGCTGCCGGCCGCCTCGGTGGTATTGACATGAACCGCGCTTGCAGAGACCAGTATGGAGGCAGCTGGTCCGCATACGTGTCGCTCCAAGGAGGCGGGTGCAACGCCTGGAGGTGTGCTTATAATGGAGGGGAAGCCACACCGCGGAGTATAGATACGCCGAGGGCATGTGTGAATCAGTATGGTGGTGGAGCATATGCGCTGTGCTATAACGGCGAGTATGATTGGAGTTGTTTTAGAGATTGAGTTGGGGAAGTGTGAAGTCTATATTCGTGTACGTTGGGGTCAAGTCGAGGGTCATGAGGACTCTTACGATCATGTCTGCGTAAACGAGGGCAAATTTGTCTTGCGAGAAGTTGATACGATCTGGGAGAAGGATGTTAAAAAGTCTTTGGCGGACAGGTAGATGAATGACACGATCCCTTTGCCCACAGTTAGAAACACGTCGCAGCGGCTAACAAGGTTGACGACTGTTTGTACGTTGCCAAACTGATCTCTAGGAAAGCCTGCAGTTGTGGCGAACTCTTTAAGCTACAGCAGCTAGAAGGCAGGCGTGATTAACTAAAGAATATTTCTATAGTACTCTGTAGTTTCAGTATTTTAAGCCGCTATCTGCGAAGTCGTCCGCTCGTGCAGCGAATTTGTTCCTGCCAACAGTGTCCGCAGCGACTTCCAACTACCTCTATATTGCGGCGTGGTCTAGCACTACTCATCTCTGAAATCATCATAGGCTAGCAGCCTTCTCCAACCCTCCCCATATTGCGGCGTAGTTCAACGTCGTGCATCTCTAGAATGTTCTAGTCCTTCCTACATTGCGGCGTAATTCAGTACTGCGCATTTCTAGAACCACTGCACTGTAAGTAGACTGATCTTGACCTTTTTAAGCTTTTGAAGTAAGCATCAGTTAAGTCGATCAGAAAGCTTGCTTGCGAGCAGCCTATGACTGTCAATACAACTTCCCTACCTGTGCGACAAGAATCCTCATGGGCCCAAATGAGCTAATAAGATACGTTGTGTCACGGAAATGGTTGCTGACCTTGCGCTCTTATCGGCTATTTCTGGCCTACTGGGTTTTCTGCTATACGGGGAGGGTGTAGCTTCTATCTGAGGGAGCGGAAGGTTGATCTTTTGTTCCGCAACACCTCTGCTTGGGAAGCATGCTTCGAACATAAAAGGACGGTCTTAGCCCTCTCGTTAGTTGAGCCATCATCTGCTTGTTGTCTGCAGCTCCTCATTCGTCCGTCTTTAGTGTCACGCGCCACCTCTAGGCAGCATGCTCCTCCCCAACGTAGCTGCCTTGATAACTCTTCTCACAATCACTACTGCTTCTCCTACCCCTCTAGAGAACAAGAGCGCCGATAACGGGACGTTTTCCGCGCTCGTTAAATACACAGTCTATTGTCGCAGCGGAGGTAACACCCTGCCACGCTGCTACGAGGGAGGCTCGGCTGGCTGTCGCTGCACTAGCTACGGTATCTACAACTGCCAGGATGCAGAGTGCAACGAATACTGCAGATGCGACCAGTATGTGCTCCTCAACCTCCACACGCCCACTATTGCTACTCGCGATACTAACGGTGGTTATAGCGACTACCCCCAATGCCCCCACTGCCCTTAGGTCAGAATCACCAAATGGCGGCTTCACGCCGCATGAGGACTTTGACATCTCCATTATCTGGCAAAACTTGGATGTTCGGAGCGACTTTTCCATAATTCGCAAGAAGTCGCGGGGACCGATTGAGAGGATCATGGTCGACTTTGCAAAAGTGCTGGAGAGTGGCCTGTTTGAGGTGGTGAGTGTGAATGCGAGTAAGCATCTTTTCTGTGTAACGGTGTACTGTGAAAAGAACAAAGATGAGGGGGTGTCGGATGAGATTTGGAAAGTACTATAGGGCTGTGCTAGAATGACGGGTATGATTGGACTTGTTTTGGGGATTGAGTGAGGGTGTCATGACAGGGCGCTTGGAGATGTCAGGCCAGGCGCTTGGCCCCGTCGGGTAAAGTGTCGCCCCGCCATTGTGCCCTGCAGCCGGCGCATGGGCTCGACGTCAACGATGCAGTTTGTGCAAATGGAATTCAAGCTTTTGTCCCACTCTCTTTGCGTCTGACTCTTTCAACACGCTGCCCAGACGTGAAGCTTCTACCCACCAGACCTGATCATCGCGTACGTCATCGCGCGCCAGCCCGGGCACGGTTGTAGTCATCCAGTCAGGCTGCAGTCATCCAGTCGTTGTAGTCATCCCCGCTGTCTCCACTGTTGCACGCACCTCTTGTTCAACCATGGAGAACAACCTTTCTGCCGCCCGAGCATCTCGGCGCCACCTCGAAGAGCGCCTTCGCAACGACTGGGAGTACCCCGACGTGCCCGCAGTATGGTCCGCCTCAGACGAGGAAGTGCGCGACGCTGCCGATTTCCGCGAGCGCTACTATGGCGAGTCTGAATCTGGCGACTCGGATCACGACGACGAGGAGGGCACCGGCCCATACAGATTCGACAACCCAGAGAGCATTGGCGATGCAGTAGCAAGCACCAGAGAGGCGCGCAGGAGGCGTCGCAAAGAGAGGCTCGAGCGCGAAATGAAAGACAACGAGGGCCTGCGCATCTGGGTGCAGCGACGAGATGTGTGGACAGGCGCAGCGAGCGTCAAGAAGTACGGCACGAATCGACACACGGGCTACTCGTCTGAAGAGCACGCCGTCACCCCCACGGGCTCCGAGGCGCATTCCATCTCCAGCGCCACGCCCGACACGTTTGACCTCGTCCCCGTCGCCGCGCCCCTCCTCGCCGACAACCCAATCCGCGCATCCATCACGCCCAAAGCCTACAAGGACATCTTCCAGAAAATCGTAGTCTCGTCGCGCACGCCCTCGGTCCCCATCAACCTCGCAGACATGACTAAGGCGCTGGTGCAAGGCTGGAAGGACACGGACGAATGGCCTCCGCGGGTTGGACCGCCCGAGCCTCTTGCTGGTAAGAAGCGTTCTGTCACTGGCGCTGCATCGAATGGACACCACGGTGGCTTCATTGCGCGACATCCTCATCTAGAGAAGAGCGTCGACGGCATGAAACGCATTCTACATCTCAACGGGCATCATGAGCACGGGCATGGGGAGAGCAAGGCTGAGGGTTGAAAGCTGAGGCTGGAAAAGCACTTTGTTTGGATCGAGTCAGTGTTTGTTTAAACAACGCTGATGCATCCCATGACAGGCAATTTCCTCTTCCACCACGCTTCTCACAGCGGGTCCAACGACAGAACCAACCAACAAGCGCCTGCGCCGGTGAACAGTGTGGATTTGCTCCGCGCTTCAGCATTGCAGCGCGTCTCCTCGGCCAATACGAACAGAAGCAACCTATGGTCGACTGGGTAGGACATGGTGCATGTGTATCGTCTCGACGTGGCCTGGACACGATGAGTGTTCGAATTGCAGCTATGCTGGCATTCGCGTCAGCATCCTACCTCGACCGTTGTGGAATGTGTCAAGGAAAGCACTCGGTAGACAATGACGAGCGTCATTGCTTCTTTTGATCTTCATGCTGGAACCCCATACAGATCATTGCCGCAAGGTTGGATTGAGATTTTGAGTTTTGCAGAACTGGAGACGGTTGAGAGAGACACAGTTGGAGATTTAGTTATTGAAACCCCTCAACACAAATCAAGCTTTTTTTCCATAGAGATTAACCGGCAGAGTCCCATGTTCATTTACCTGTTTGCCTTGAACTATCGGGAGCACTAAAAGCGCATTACCCGTCCGGCGGGATCTACAGTCTTCAATTCGGCCGATAGCGTAGCATCGGGCTGTCGGCCGTTGCGCGCGAGCGAGCGCCGTCACACCTCGTGCCCGCCTTGCGGGGCTGTTGAAACTATGCGCGCAGTGCTGAGTGGATCGTAGCCCTGTACAGACGTGCAGGCAGCCATAATTTAACGCCATGGCCATGGTAGTGTCTCCATCTATCTCGCGTTCCTCGGGGGTGTCGGGAGCCGGAACTTGGAGTTAGACCCGCCATGGAAGGTGGGAAAGGTGTTTGTGCAGTACGTAACCGATGGGAGGTGTGAATGATGATCGTCCTGGTACGAAAGTGCACCGATGCGAGGGTTGGGAATAGACTTGTTCCGGCGAACGCATAAGTGTTTGCGATGGCCGTTCCTTTTCTTCATTCTGCCGCTTGCTTCCTTTGACAACAAAAGATTCTTCGAAAAAAGACTTGGTTCCTTCTTCCCCACCAAGAACGACTTACAATAAGTTTATCAAACATGCCGGGCACACTCCAACCCCAGCAGCCTAATGGTGACGCGCCTCAACGCCGCGGAGTCTACCTCCTTACACACCCTCGCTCGGCATCCAATCTCTTCCAAACCATGATGGCCAAGCAACCTGGCTACCAGAACAGTGGATACAAACTCTTCGATGCTGGTTTCACCACGTTGTTAGAGCTTGACAAGGGCAAACTGAGTGAGTGGAGCGAGGAAGAGCAGGAGAAATTGTACGATAGTTTCCGGGTGGCGTTTGGAAAGCTGGAGGATGAATTGGATGATTGTGCGAAGAATGTAAGTTTTCCAGCGTCTAAACTTTTTTCCAACGGATAGAAAAGAAGAAGAGAAAGGAGAGTTGAAGAAAGAGAGTTGAATCAAAGTCAGAGGTTGTGGGGTTCGGAGATATATGGGATATGGGGCCGCCGCCACAACCGTACCGCACGTTTGTCGCGATCCTGCCGTGCGATGGCGTGCTCGGGTCGGCCCATCTATGGATCTGATAACACACTCCAACCCCGACTTGTCTCTACGCAAAGACTTACTGACCTCAACCACGGCAGGGCAAACAAGCCTTTGTAAAAGAACATACCATCTTCCTCTCCGCCCCAGACAAGATCTTCCAATCCATCTACCCCGACGACGTGCCCCCCTCCCTAACCGTCCACCAACGCAACTCACCCCAAAATGCTGAAACCGTCCACACGAACCCGACATCCGTGCCTGACAATCTCCTCCTATCGCTACAGCCCATTTTCCAGATCCGGCATCCCATGCTAATGTTCCCATCCATGTTGCGCGCCCAACGCGACTGGAAACCCGATGCACGACCTCGATCGCTGTATTGCAGAGCCACGCTCACGCTCAAGCACTCGCGCGCGCTATACGATTGGTACGCCAAGCATGGAGATAAAGCTGGTATCACACCGCGTGTCATCGATGCCGATGATATTATGAATAATCCTGCTGCTGTAAGGCAGTTGTGCGAGCAGACGGGGTTGAGTGCAGATGACGTGCAGTATGAGTGGTAAGCTGACACACACACACCACCCCTACCCTCCCTCCGTGACTGACTGTTGTTTAGGGAAGAGCGCAAAGTGGAAGATCCGCTCATGGCGAGGTTCTTGAGCACAATCAATGCTAGTAAAGGGATCAAGCCTGGGCTGGGCGCCGAGGGGAAGACGCTCGAGGCGGAGAAGAAGAAGTGGGTCGAGGAGTGGGGTGAGGAGGATGCAGAGGATATGGCGAGGTTTGTGAGCGAGGCTCTGCCGGATTATGAGTATTTGCATAGTCGAAGGACGGTGGGTGAGGGTGTTAAGGCATAGGTAATGAGAAGAATCAGGTTCCTATCTGCATCATGATTATATTCCCAACTATATGATATAGAAGTCTTCATCTGAATAATCATTAGGGTCGACATTCCTGATTCCGGAATGGAAATTCGTGAATTCGGTGAAGCCAATTCGCTCATACACACGAGCTTTTTCAAACTGTATGTCAACTGCCTTTAGGACCAGACATAATGTACTTCTCGACTCTTTGATCAGCTCGGGCTCCTGTTTTCCAAAGGTTACGGCGAAGGACACCCCGATTTTTACCAATGGAAACACGTAAAGCATCGCTGCTGGGTGTAGCTGATTTGGACCGGGCTTAGCGATTGCATAATCCGGAGAAAAGTTCACGCCCACCCGGTCTGTCTCGCCAAGTATTTGAGTACCAACAATGTCTTTAAGACGATAAACCGACATATTCTGAGCATCACTTGTCAATTCCCAGGAACTAGTCGTGATTTTCCCTCTCAAATAGAGGTAACAGCCTTCTTTTACTGGTCCAAACATGTCTTCAGTAGCCAAGTTGATTTGCGCATCTAGGAGAGTGAATTGCGGATCTGGATCATCCAGGTGGAGATATCGTATGGGATCCGATATCGAAGCCCAAGACCAAGAAGGTGCAACGTAAGTTGTAGACTTGGACTTGCGCACCCTCTCTGTCCCTATTGCTTCAGCTCTGGAGTTGTTGTCTTTTCTAAAGATCATAGTCGATCCCACAAACCATGACATATCTCTGGTGAGATCCATCCGCCATAGTCCAGCAAGATACAGCGGCAGGCTTCCGTGTTCACCCCCTTCATTAGGGTTGTATCTCATATCGTACAACGTAGATGCCAGACCAGATATAGCAATCAAGCGATCCGTGTTGTACGTAATTCTTAAAGCGCTGTATGTCGTAACGAAGTAGTCCCACCCGATAGCTGCAAGCTGTGCACGCTTGGCTATCAGCCCCTCATGTGATGTTGTTGTGTATCGTACATCCGTTGACGGTTTTATCATATCCACGAAGGATTGTCTTGCTTGACCACACTCGCAAGTCGTTAACTGAGCACATTCAAACACGACTTCAGAACCGCAGAAGTGAAGTACCCGCGGGGATAGCCAACGCTCTTGTAAGACCCATGCACGGGTAAGGAGAGGGAAGCTTTCAAGGGCAGTTTCCATATTGTTCGAGTGGCCAAAATGAGGCTTTTCCTCCATCAAGTCGAAAGGGTAAGCAAGGAGACTGAAAGGCCCACTTTCGGGATCCGTACTAGATGAGCTTACCACCGTGGGTCTTTCTGCAATCTCGAAACTCTTCTCCGAGTTGGCAGAGCTTGTAGCTGCGATGCATACGGTGCAGTTGCGATAGTATGGCCCCATCCTCTGCGACTCATAACGCCAGTCCTCTTTGCTGTCTTGCTGGATACAGAGCGAATCAATCCAGAGTCTTCTCAAAGCAAGCTTCTTGCAAACCTTTATGGCGTCGAGGAACACTGGTGTGAGATCGCTTTTGCGAATTTTCTTGGTATATTCTGCTCTGGTTTCTTCTGTCAAAGTGCAAGGATGTGAACCACCCCAACAATGACTTAGGCACGCGTACTCTCCATGTTCGCCATTGGAAATGACTAGTCTCACGGGATCCGAATCTCTCACTCCGATGTCTAGATACCGTGATGGAAGCTGAGGCGAGGCCGGAGTTGAGCAATCTTGGTGTTCTGTTTGACAGAGTTTGATCCAGCTCCGAATCGTCGACCATCTTAGACCTGGATCCAGCCAACAAAGATCATGCGTATTCCGTGGGATAGTTCGATAACGTTTTGGAGCACGGGCTTTTGCCGCCCCTTTCTCATCCGCTTCTTCATGGTGCCCAACTTGAAGCATTATCGTGCTATTTATGTCGACGCATTTTGGCACATTTTGCTTTCCATGTACTAGCCGATCGTACAACATTCTTCTCGTGCTAGTTTTCATTCCATAAGCTCGAATTACAAGCAGCACCTCCCTCTTTGCAATAGTTCTTAGAGACCCGCGGGTTTCCCAGCGATCGCGAGCTAGTACCCACGTTTCGTGCCAATCACAAGCAGGTGTGTACTCCTTGATAGCCTTTTCGACCAATTTGCAAAACGTACAGTGACGAGTTTTTGACACTACTGGTCCGTTAAGTTGTATACTCGATCCCGAGGAAGGGGTATAGAGTGCGCCTGAATAGAACAAGTTGCTACACCGAGGACATTCTGAGCCAAATCTGCGTCTGCAACACTAGGTCAGATATGTTGCCTAGGAAGCTTGTGTCCCAAAACGATGGATTCTGTTCAAACGAAAAGTTCACTTACTTAGCTAATGCGCCTCCTTCATTAGTCACCAATTCGGCCAAATCGAATGATCTCTGAATCCATTTTTCATCACCTGCATCGAAGCTAGCAGTTAAGATGCCGTTCTCAAGTCTTGTTTCGCGTGCATGTTCGGGTATTGGCCTTTCTGAGAAGAAAGTAAACATCTCATCATCGCCAGGGCCGATTATATCATGGAGTCTGATAGTCGATTCCTGATATGAACCACGTGAATTGAGGCAATTTGCAATGAGATACCATGCACGCTTTTGTTTGTAGTTGATAAGTTTGGGAGGAGAATCCGCGTTGGATAGCCATCTCCTATCTGACAAATCCGTCAGGACTTCATAGTCCAGATCCTCGTTCTTCGTCACTCTGAGAGGCGAAAATGACCCATTTTTAAACTGTAGCACTCTGGACAATGCGATCGAGATTGGGTGGCCGTCATTATGAGTCGCGCACAGAGTCGTGCCAATCATGTGAGCATTTTGAACGCTGCTTGAGAAGTTTCGCCCCTTGCTGTCGAAAGCACCATCTTTGACTCCGAGGTAATGCTTTAGATCAATATATATGTCCTTGACTTTCCCATTCGGTCCAGGAAACTCGGCTGCGAGGAGTCTTTGATCTATAAGTCTGATATTGTAGCATCCTTGCAAGCGATCAGGATCATATCGGCGGAATTCGACCGAGAAGCTCACTGGCGTACGATCCGTTGAAACGTTAACGATCACCTCGAGCTGATCGTACCACCAGTCCCCACGACTATTCTTCAGCTCAGCGCATAGAATGTTCTGCTCGAGAACGATGTTCCGAGCACTGAACGAAAAGTGGTTTCCACCAGGATGGAAGCTTCCTTCGTGGTTGCCGATCTTGGTGTCTAAAGGTAGGACGTATCCGCTTAATTCATCTAGCGGGGTCTGATATTCAACATATAGTTGACATCGATCGACAAGCGCTAGCTTGAGCACTGGAGTAGGATTCATCTTTGAGAATACTCGATACTAGAGATGGAGGCTTGCTATGAGAGCCGATGGTCTGTATAAGAGGTCGATGGCTAATATCGATATTGGAGAGTTGATGTTCTATATAACAGCCATTTTTGCTTGCTTGCCGGATTTGATGTTTGATATTGGAGATTAATGCTCAATGAATACCTCAAACCAGAGATAAGCGCGGAAAAAGAGATACCCCGCTTTATCGGAGTGTGAGGCGGTAGCGAGTGGCAGTACTTTGAAGCTGGCAGCCTGATTCCGGCAGAAAAGCTCTCGACTCTATACAAAACCGCTTGTCGCATACGTTATACAATCGTTGCTCTGGAATTCATGCCTAGCTTGCTACTTTGTCGTCTGGCAGTCTTGAGTCTTGAGCCACGGGCTGGACGGACCCCGCTTAACGCACAGCCCGTGCTCTATTGCGGCTGGGAGCCGCTCACGTGCACGACCACTACCACTACTACTACCTCTCATTCTAGGCCTTTGCACCAAGCGATGGCTGCCACAATACTTGGCAGATTAGCCATGAACTCAGCCACTTTGGTAGGCTTCTACTTCCTGAAGGCTGCGCATCGATTTTGCGTGAGCTGCGCCTTTCGCCTAATAAGCCATTGCCAGCCACAGCTGACTTACTTTCTCAGCGTGGATGTTCAGCCGCAGCCTGGTCGACTTCTGCCTTAGGCTGTCGCAACTTCTTCTTGGATGCCATGATCAGTCAATACTACCAGGACAGCTGCTACAGCGCTACGTAAAGGCGTGTAATCATGTGTTCACCCGGTCTAGAGGCGCAGCCTCTGAGTTTCTGATCTGTTATCACGGTACCTTACACACACATCACGGCCTCCAAACGACAAGGCTCCGAAAGCCTATCTCGGACGCGAGACTCGAGTGGTCTATTGGCCCCCAAAATCACTTTGGCTTTACGCCACCACTTGACGGCTGGGGAGCCACGATATTTGAACCTGCCGCTCTCCTTTCGCTTCTTCGCCCCTCGTTATTTCGCGGCCTTCTCTTCTTACTGTAAGCTGAGTGAGTAGCGCTAGTACATGCGCGATGCCCCAGCTTTGTCTGCTTAATTCCTGCACCCCAGTTTCCTGTTGTTTCCAACATGGCTTCCACAATCTCTCAGCAAGGCGTTTGCATGGATCCACGATGTGACGATAAAAACGATCGGCAAAGACAATTGTTCTTTTGCTCGGACTGCAAGAGCTGTTTGTGCGACAGATGCTGGCCACTCCAACCTACACATGTATCCTCGGAGCACAGGCAGCTAAAGTACCAAGAGTACTTACAATGCGCACGCCTCGAGAAGATCTTGATGATGCCAACGACAGAGTTGGATCTCGAAGAACTCCATAGCCAAGATAGGAACACAACATGGTTTGGTGAGTGTCGAAAATCACTGAAGATTGCGTGACATGATATTCATCTATTGATCTCAGCCACCGTGAACTGAAGACAAGATGAACAGGCTAACGACCTTCTAGGAATCGATAGATTCCAGGACGACGGGCCCTTCTTGCAGGACTTTGACACCTTCAAGCAACTGATAAAGAACTCGCCAAACCCGGACCAGATTAGGTATCCACAACTCGTGTCCTTTATTGGCGAGACTAGCGCCGGAAAGAGTACTCTAATCAAGATGTTGATCGAGTACGACCAGGCGAAATACGAAGCCAACAAGTCCATGTTTAAAGCACCAGTCCCAGGGAGCCCACTCCACGATTCCACACCCACCTCTGCAGATGTTCATCTATACGTCGATCCTGCTACTTGGGAAGAAGAGAGACCAATATTCTACGCGGACTGCGAAGGCCTTAATGCAGGAGAGCGCATCCCAATCGGGGCTCATTCCCGGAGACAGACGAAGATAGATACTTCTCGGAAACTGGGCCTGCGAGCACGTTCACTAGAATGGGCAACGTCAGACCAGACACGAACTCGTCAATATGCTGTTACTCAGCTCTATCCTCGCCTTCTTTATACGTTTTCCGATGTCGTCGTTTTCGTGCTGAACAACCCGAAGTAAGTTTGCCCCAAGCCAGTGGATCAGAAGGTATGGCTGACGGCTTAGGACGTTCGAGCATAACGTACTTCCAAAGCTGCTCGACTGGGCGTCATCCTCGCTCGAAGCTAGTACTAACCAAGGTACACTTCCTCACGCCATCATCGCACTCAACTTCTCAAACACACGCATCCCATCCAACCTATGGATGGGTCGAGATGCAACGAATAACTTGCTCGAGAATAATGACCACTTGATAAATCCAGCATACAGTAGCGCTCAAGTCACAAAGCTTGTAGAGAAATGGAGGAAAAGAAACAGGCCCATCAGAAGTCTTCGCGATCTTCTTCACTGCTACTACGCTTCGTTCCAAGTAGTGCGTCTCCCGGAAGCCAAGGATATGCCTCGTCTCTCGAAACAAGTATCACAACTGCACGGCACTATCGTGGAAACATGCAAAGCATCGTATCTGAACAAGCAGAAAGTTGGCCTTCTATCATCAGCCGAGGACCTGAGCTTTTATATCCAGAAAGCGTTCACACATTTCTCGAAAGACCTAAACCATCCATTTGACTTCAAGAGTTATTCCTTGATTCGGAATCCGATACCTCAAAATCTGGGTGGCCACATCCTCCGCGTTGCTATCGTGATGCAGCGGCAGTATCCAAATAGAGCAGGGGAATGGATATTCGAGAACTTGAGTTTTATGGTGGCCTCTTGCTTCCTCTATGACTGCGCAACTTACAGAAAGGGGAAACCACACGATCTGTTCGCGGACTATCAGCCAAACTTCGAAGATGCTCTGGTTGAGTTTTGCTCGTCACATTGGCCTTGCGAATTCTCTCACGCCAAGAGAGGACGATGTGTCAACGTAAGCAAGAGTCATGAAAAGGGTCACCAAACCGGTAACCGAGGCAAGGTAACACATGGTCACTACATGTCCAGCTTTACTGCGGAAGATTACAAGAACGTATGGCTAAACTCGCTCAAGTCCAGATTGCATGATGTGCAAGAGGAGTTAGAGAGTAAGGACGATAGCTCAGAAGAGACTGGTCCCTTGAGTCCTATTCGAAGACTGCATGCCCGCAACATATCGAGTTTCTACCGTGCCGTCGGTGGCGCGTCAAAATTCAATAGTCACGCTACGTGTCTATGCTGTCTCATGCGGCCTCCTGAACATGTCCTTCGATGTGGTCATGTCCTCTGCACTGAATGTGTTAAAGCATTTGGCACAGTCAGAAATTGCACGATGGAGATGAAAGAATGTCCCTTGCATATCGACGATTGCAATTGGAGATACCCTTGGAGGATTCGGATGAAGCCTGATTTTGCAGGCGTTCGTATTCTGTCTCTCGATGGAGGAGGTATCCGTGGAATCGCCGAGCTCGAGGTTCTCTGCCAGATTCAAGAAAAGCTAGGTGTCAATATCCCAATCAGTGCTTTCTTCGATCTCATTGTTGGGACGAGTACCGGTGGAATCATCGCACTGGCTCTTGCTGTAAAGCAATGGCCTGTCAACAAGTGCATTGAAGAATTTAAGCGTCTCGTCAAGAAAGCGTTCTCGCCACGTGAATTCCACGGCATCGCCCCTCTTCAATACATCGCTACAGCTAGTCACGGCAGCACCTGGAAGACTACTCCGTTCCACGAAGCTTTGCTTGAGTCACTTGGAGATGGGTATCTGTTTGGCGGGGCCGAGAGCTCAGACAATGTAGCTCGGGTAGCTGTGACAACGACAGACGAAGTGGCCACCAGAGGCATTGTAATCGCGAATTACTGCCGGAAAAGTCCTAAAGACGACAAGCAGAGTTACGAGTTCCTGAGACCTAGCGAGCCGGATGCTGAGATGAGAACATGGCATGCTGGAGCAGCGACTGCTGCCGCTACGCCATTCTTCAAGCCATTCGTTCATCCGTTCACCGGAGAGACCTATCTTGATGGAGCATTCTACAATAACAACCCAGTAAAGGTGGGAAATCGAGAACGGCAACTGCTATGGCCAGATGTGCAAGATAATCACCCGGACTTATTGCTATCTATCGGCACATCGCAGCATCAACAGGCTATGGTAGAGGATTTCCGCTCTGAGAGATTCGACATGCAGCGCAATATCATATCATCTCTCAGTCATGGCAAAGCCAAGATAAAGGCGACCAGTAAGGTTAAACACCTCGCCGGTATGTTCCAGTATGGAAAGGCAGCGATCAACAAGTTGGGAGACTCAATACACTGCGAGCGTCAGTGGGAACAGTTCTTGGACGGGATGGAGCGAAGCACTGCTCATAGTGAAGATTCTCGCCGCTACGTTCGCATAAATCCAGATATTGGTAGAACGCCGCCACGGCTAGACGACGTAAACGAGGTTGATCGACTTCAATTAGATGTCTCCCGATATCTCAAAGGGTCTGAGGCCATGGCTGATCTCGAGGATGTTGTCTTCCGCTTGGTCGCTAGCAGCTTCTATTTTGAACGAACGCACGCGACAAGAGATATGTCTCAGGGAGTCGCCAAAGTGAGAGGTAGGCTACAATGTCGCTTCGAAGAATCATCAGACTGGGCAAAACAGATGGGTTTGTTCTTCAAAAAGCATCAAAGAGCAGACTTCCAGCCGTACTTCGATACCTGGGATGGCAATCAACAGCATGGAAGGGAAAAGATCAATTTGGACTCCTCGCGCATCGAGAGGATGGCCAGCCATGGTGCACTTGACGTTCAAGAGGTTGAGCTGACAGTAGCAACATCTGGGAGAGATGCGGACATCAGACTCCATCTCCACACTTCAACAGGTCGGACCAAAGGCTATTCTATCAGCGGCTTCCCTCGCGATTTCTTCAGGGAGATTGACCGAGTTGAAGTAGACAACGAGGTAGAAGAATCGCCCAAGGATAGCATACCGAAACCTGCGACCCTTCCAGGCATCCCATCAATCAACGTGTTGAGTGGAAAGGGAACGGCGTTGCTAAGACCCGGAGCGCCGGGCAGCACCTCGGAGCAGAACCTCAGTACACAACCGCATGTCTTGAACGAGGAAGATCGGCGCAAATCAGATGACGTTCTGTCTCGAGCTACGCCCGAGAAGGTCTCCAGAGATTTGAGTTTGAAAGAGAAATTATCAAGCCTGAGTCTGCGCGGCGAGGAGCGTCGATCTCACTGGATTGGGTCATCCAAGGGCATATGGCGTGATAAGTCTCCTCTCACCCAGGAATATGAACAACAAGCATTGCCCAATTCGCCACAGCATCGTAGAAGCTTCAGCACAAAGTCCCCACCTGAACAGCCACAAGGACAACGCAATATGGCCAGTCCTCCTTCCATGCCCCGAGAAACAGCTCAACACAACGGAGGCTATGACATACCATACACAACTCCCGACACGATTATGATCTCTTCCTTGCCCAGCTCGATCCCACGGATGAGTATGCCACCAGCAAACCCAACGCCTTCGCCAATGAGTAATCCCCAGTGGCAACCAATAAATCCTCAGTGGCAACCGACAAATCCTTGGTCGCAATCAATATACCCTACACACACATCGCAGCCATCACTGCCACCCGCGACTATTCCACTGAACCCCCAGTGGCAACCGACACATCCCACACACACATTGCAGTCACCGCTAGCACCTGCGACCATCCCAGTAGAATTCACCAGTACCGCTGCTCCCTCGAGTACTTACGAGTTCTATTCCGCCGACAAGGTCTACCTGTCGCCTCATACCACAGCCGCCAAACCACCGACCACACATACCACTCCTGCTTTCAACAACACCCTCCCCCCTCAAGCTCAGCCAAATCATACAGCCACTCAACATCCCCCTTTAAACGACCACTATCAATCGCCACTGTATAAAACTGATCACAAGGCGGATCTGGAACTAGAATTTGCGCTACAGATTAGTCTTGCGGATCAGGAAGAAGAAGAGCGAGAAGAGCAGAGAAGATTGACAAGAGCTTTAGAAGAAAGTCGAAGAGAAGCGTATTGGTGCTAAGCCATCTACCATTAAAGCAATACGAGCAGATATAGAAACCTCACCATGTGGGAAAATCACGCTTGTCGCTTCCAAGAGCGCTCTGCATCACGTCCTTGATACAAAACATCATTGCTCCATACTCGAACACTCCTGTCCCTTCACTTTCTAGCGGTCTATCCAGCAGACGCGCATGTCACGCAATTTTTTCCACGTTTTAGTTGTTCACAGGAACTTTCTATTCCATGATTTCTTGCAGTACATAAGCCCATCTTAATGCGAGCAAGGAATTGTATAATATCGTTCAATACATCGTCGTTCTTTACTCGATCTGGAAACGTCCTTTCAACACTATCCCGAAATATCGTCCGTAACATTCTTCCCAGCAGAAGAAGCTCTCATCACACTAACAGCACAAATCATCCGTAATCTAGCCGCATCGCTGATACCCTCTAACGACCATTTCTTCTGGTGGCCAATCTACCGCTACTTCCAGCAAAACTTCTATCCACTATCCTTTTCATCTTCCTCCTGCGATACATCCGAGTTGTCACTAGTCTGTACGGCATATATAAATACCGGCCCACACCCATACCTCTATCGCCCACCTACCACACCACCGACGTCACAGTCATCATCCCCACAACGGATCTCATATTCTAAATTCCATTCCACGTCCTCCATAATCCGGAGACCAAAACAACTAACCGTCCAGGGCGAAGCCGAAGCCATCAACAAAAAAGGGGCAAAGCTGTGCAGTCCATAGGCAATGGGGGCCGCCAGATAGGCCAGGGTCTTTACATCTTAAATTCGTTCCAAGCCTGGGATAATAATGCCGTTGATGGGTCGGTTCGATGGGATTGCGTGGTGACGGTTGACGCCGACGAATGGGACAAATAGAATAAGGTCTACCTCCCCGAGCTTTACACGTTTCCCCAGGACGTGGTGGATGAAACAAAGGATATATACAAGCCCCTTGGACTGTGGTACCCGAAGCCAGTTAGCAGTACGTGTTCAATTCTTTCTCTTCTTTTTGGATTTGTTATTAATACTGACGCATCGGACACTGCAGAGAAGATCAAAGCAAGCTTCATCGATTTCGTCCTTCCAGGCGCGACGGTCGAGAACACGGTGATTTTCGCCAAGGTGAAAGGCCCGCTAGAAAGGACCCAAGGATTGATCCCGCCGGCCCTTATCGACACCGGCAAGGTGTATCTCGCGCAGTGTGCCGAGCGGGAGACCGAGGCCAACAAACAGATTGGCAAAATCGGTCCGGTGGATTGGGGTTTCGAGACTTCCCTTCCAGGCTACGGAAAGGGGACATATAAACCGTAGAAGCGCTAGTTAAGAGGAATTAGTGATTAGCGGGCGACAGGTGAGGACATGTGGGCATCGAAGGGGAGGCTTCGGGATAAACACGGGTTGTTAATTGCAAGGTAGACTTACTGCGGTAGCGGAGTTCTTTGCACGCAGCTAGAATCCTCACCGAATCTAAGTCTTATGCCTGGAAATCAGAAGGAACACGAATGACACATGGTCAGCGGGTGATTGCTGGTCCAAGCACGATAGTTTCATACCCGTAACTACGCAGGCGTTCTGCATACTACGCAGGTTGATTCACATTTTAAGATGATCCCTTCATGTGGTCGTCGGCTCGCTTGAGAAACCTCAAGAGCTTATCAATATTCAGTCTGACTAAGATATCGATATTGCATGAACTAGTTGTGAGGGTAACCACGGTTCCAAGGTTCAGTAGATCTTTAGCCCGACTAGGCCCAGCCCCTATCGGCATCTTGTATATAGACCGCGCGATCGCCGACTTTGCCTATCACCCAATATTGTTACTTTCCCAGCCCTAGAGGCAAATTCCAAAACATCAACTCCAGTAATTGCATTCTGCGTACGACAGGCACTGCAATGGACGATAAAGCCAAGGAATTTCTGGCTAATGTGGAAGGCGGAATCGTGCCAGTGACATGTCACAATGATGTCTTGCGGATCGCATACATTTATATTGATGAGGGACTGTGGGACGGCCAGGGAGTATTCAATGTTGTGGAGAAGCTGCACGCGCATGGCTGGTCTTTTGGTGAGGACGAGCTCCGCTTTAATCGGTAAGCTACATCCTCATATGAGAATCCCTCATACCGATGTACCCAGCACACAGTGTGTGTGACTAAGATAAAACAGTACCTTGGATATATTTTATCTCGCCCAGATCGCAGCAGCCTACTACCATTGGACCGACCAACTAAATGGAGACGACCCTCTCACCTTCTCAGACTTCGACGCCTTCTACACTGCGCACCATGCCCTCTTGAATCCCACAGCCTGGCGCTCCTACTACTCCACCGCATTCCTTACCCAACCCAACACAGCACGCTTCTACCGCATGCCCGACCTCCAGGATCTTTTGGACTCGTCCTCCCCACTGTGTCTGCCGCGTGATAATCTGGTATCTGAACACGTCCTAAAGCTCCCTCGCTGGGCTTATACTGTAGGGCGGACTTGCCACAGGCAACCGTTCCTTCCATTTGACACGATTACTGAGATAGCCCTCCGCACGCTTGACACAGCCTTAACACGTCTACACGCGGTCTACCCCAGCACACCCCCCTTTTCGGAACCACATGCGCGCTTCTGGCTAGACGAATACTACAAACCTCCCATCGCAGAACCGAAACAAGAAGCGTTGTCCACGAATACCAACACCCAGCTGGACGGAGAGGAGAAGATCCCTTCATCTTCAAGCCCTACATCTGACCCATCGCCTCGCAAGGACAACCGCGAAGCATGGGGGCCCCATCACTTTGGGCTCAATGTTGCGTCGGGATTGTATGATATACACAGTTTGGAAGCACAGTACCTCGCACAAGTTTCTTCGGGTAAGGTTGTCGAACCAGAACCTAGCAAGCCGGTGTTTTTCTGGTGTGGGATACCGGATGGAGGGACTGCAGATCAAGCGTTGCAGAGGGGGTGGCAGGAAGAGATTGGGAGTGAGGAGGAGGTCGAGTTCCTAGCCGCTGTTGCGATGGAGGAGACAGCCGGACTAGGAGCTGGAGCAATCAAGGTGAATGAGTTGGACTGTTCAATCCGGTCACATATCCTACTAGCGGTCATGCAGGCTGCGTTGGTAGAGAACATGCAAGAGAGAGAGTATTTCTTGGGGGAGCTGGAGAGGCGGATGGTACAAAAGGGGAGGATTGGTGAGGAAAGAGCAGGGAGGTGGGTTAGGGAGGCCTTGGAAATTATGGTGCCTTATGTACGCGTGTGGCAGGGCAAATGGCCTGGTGCAGAGAAGAGAGGAGAAATGCTGCGCCGGATCTTGGTGGAGAATCCACTGCTCTTTGCACGCTGGAAGTTGTCGCCTGTTTTGAGGCAGTTCGCTTTTGACGACGCAAAAGTTGACTGTCTCGGCTGCCAAGCGGCGTACTGTTAACTACTGCCAAGATTTGTGTACTTTCCCGCGTATCTTCTTTTTGGCTATTTCCATTCAATTATCAAGACTTATGCTTTGGTAACTTGCATGAACGCATCTTGGGCTACTGCGGAGACGGTCAACGCGAATCTTGGGGAAGTGGTGTTGGAGAGAGCAGACACGGACTCGGAGGAAGAGAGAGGGACCTCCGGAATGGCTACAGAGACCATCCTAGATGTGACTTTGAAAACGGTGTCTGTTGGCAAGCCGCTAGCTGGGCGTATTGCTCGGAAACGGCCAGCTTTAGTCATGCGCAGATCGTGCTTTCGTAAGAGTCAAAGACAAATACAGTTCAGTAAACGAGCGAATCTTCGAGGTTGAACCACCAATGTATAAGTAGTAAGTGCTGTAGTAGTAGCAGTGATCGTGGGAGTGTGAGTACACGTGAGCGCCTTCCCGCTGCAATATAGCACGAGATAGAAGCTGTCAGGGGGTTTGACGCTAACTCCGAAGTATATGGTACATCCATAGACAATCGTTGCGCGGCAGCGATTCGTCTAAGTATAAATACAGTTGCTACCGTTTGATGTCTAAACACACTACTATATCCCATTGTACCCAATGTATCCTCACAGAAGCGGGGTACTCTCAGCACAAGACTCAAGATTCATGACTGCCAGAAGATAGAGTAGCGAGCAAGACATGACTTTAGAAATATCGATTGTATAATGTATGTGACAATCGAGCTGCAAGCTCAACTAGCGATAACATAGTAAGTAGGTATTAAGCAAACAAATTTCGAGCTATTAGCATGATGTGAAGGGTGTCTAATAATGACAAGAAATTCTCTTATACAGTAATCCACTCGTAATTTTGCAGCTTCGAGTCATCAGGCTTATCTTCCGGGAGCAACTTGTAAGCCTTGGTCTTCCCGATAGTCCAGGCAAGCGTGTCGCGCACTTTGATCCCCCAGGCGGTCTGCGGGAAAGCAAGCTGTGGAAAGCCAGGCGGCAGACTTTCATGCTTTCCTTGGATCTTACGGAAATTCTCCTCCCAGAGCTTGAGCGCTGCTGGGATGCCATCGCTGTTCTCTATCTTGCTGAGCTCGCCTGCTAAGTGGTATGCACCTTCGACCGCGAGAGTGACTCCCACTCCGAATGTTGCGTGGGCTGCATCGCCGAGGAGTACCGCACGGTTGTTCGTCCATGTGGGGAGCTTGACGTACGCTGCACGGCTCATGTAGAAATCGTCGCACCCATCCATACCAGCCAGGATTCTCTTTGCCTGCCATCCTGCATCATGGAAGGTCGCGTGTAGAAATTCCTTCTGCTTTTCGGGCCCTCCATCCATCGCTGCTTCGGCAAGCGGATCACGATGTCCATGTGCTGGTGTCGTGACGCACATGTAGCATCCAGTGGTCTTTCCGTTGCGGTGCGGTCGTGTCATGAGGCCTAAGCCTTTCGGTGCGTTGTACCAGTACCAGTGCTTTGTGTCTGAATCTTCACGAGGAATGCTGAAGTACGCAATATACTGGCCAATGAAGTTGTAGCTATCCTTCCGCGTTTCTTGGTCCAAGATAAGAGACCGTATACGTGATGCTGAGCCATCTGCACCAACGATGAAGTCAAAGCTATCTTTTGCTCCACTGTTGAAGATAACATCGACTTTCTTATCCGTTTGTTCCACGGCTGTGACGTAGTCCCCGTACACATAATTGACGTTCTTCATGCTCTTGGACGCATCCACAAATAAACCACATAGATCGGCTCGCAAAATCTCATACTCAGATGTGAAGCGATTGTCGCCTTTTCCGAACTCGGCGATGATCTTATTGGAAGCGTTGACAAGGCGAGTGCCATCCTCTGTGGTGTTGCGTGCGAGCACACTTGGCAACAAGCCCATCTTCTCGACGATAGAGATGGCTGCGCCGCGGATCTCGATAGACTGTCCAGTCGGCCGAGGAGATGGTGATCGTTCTACAACCGTGATGGATGCATTGAGGCGGGTCCTAGCTAACCAATACGCAAGGTTGGATCCTGCGATGCCAGCGCCGTTGATGAGGACTTTAAGCTGAGGAGTTTTGGAAAGAGACATTGTTCTTATGAAGTGTCTAGAGATAAGTGGATAAGTGGTTGCAGCATATTGATGGAAGCGACAGTGCTCAGTTATATACCTTGAGGTTGCGACGTTGTCGCATTCAAGGCGTCCCTATCACGGCTTGGTGGGCTGGAGAGGACGCCTAACCCGAGCTCAATCTGGCCCGAGATGCGTTCAACCCGAGCACGATGACACGCGCACTGCAACGAGGCTTACCTGGCCTGAGAAGTCTATCGCGATTAAGCAATCGTTAGCGCAGCGCAGCGCCATGTCGTGCGATAGAGTATCGATGACCCAATAGCGTTGAAGAAGGAGTGCCGCCTGGAAAGTGGCGGGTGGTTGGATCGGTGGTTTTTCGCCGGGCCAGCTCGTTTCTTCCCCACGTATTTCGATGTTGGCATGTACGGACGTCCGTAGCTCCCGAAATGTCCGGAGTTTGTGACAATGATGCAATAAAGTCATAAAGGCTTTCGCGATAGCCGTTTCGTGTTCCTTTTGCAATACCTGGCTTTCTCTCAAGCTTCTTCACACCACCGTACTCCAATCCGCTCTCCACAATGGCGCGAATTCTCATAACAGGCTCTTCTGACGGTCTCGGTTTGGCCGCTGCTAAAAAGCTTGTTGCAGATGGACATTCCGTTGGTTTGTGCTACCCTGACCCTGCCTATCGCTGGCTTGCTGACGCGACCAAGTCCTCCATGCGCGCAACGCTCAACGCGCTAAAGACGCCGAATCCGCATGCCCTGGCGCTGAGAAGGTTGTAACGGGCGACTTGTCGAGCCTCTCCGAGACCAAGAGCATGGCAGAGGAAGTGAACAAGCTCGGCGCATTCGACTGTGTGATTCACAACGCTGGGTTGTATCAGGGCGATTACCGCAAGACGAGCGAGGGCATTCCTGCACTTGCAGCTGTCAACACGATTGCGCCGTATGTGCTCACCGCGTTGATCAATCGCCCAAAGCGCTTGGTATTCATGTCTTCCGAGATGCATCAGATGGGCTCTCCTAGTTTGGACGACATCCTTTGGACGAAGCGCGGCGAGAGCGAGTATACCGCAAACGCGGCCTACTGCGCGAGCAAGCTACACAACGTCCTTTTCGCCAAAGCTTTCGCGCGCAGGTGGCCCGACGTTAAGAGCAACGCACTAGACCCAGGCTGGGTGGCTACCAAGATGGGCGGCAGTTCAGCATCTGGCGACCTTAACGCGGCTGTTGAGAGCTATGTTATGCTTGCTGAAGGAAAGGAAGAGAAGGCTAAGAAGAGTGGAAGCTATTTCCATCCGAGCAAGCGAGAGGGAACCCCCCACAAGGCGACATTAGACGAGAAGAGCCAGGACATGCTACTCGAGATCTGCGCTGAATTCTCTGGGGTCAAACTTCCTTGAAACTTGCCACCACTACATCAAAGAGAAAAACTCAACATCATCTTAGAGCAGGGTACTTCTTCCTACTACAATAAAGCGTATTAAGATTGATGTAGATATTAATAGAAATCTAGAAGTCTATAACACTATTAGTCTTTAAATAAAAAATTGTTACGAGCTAATGTAAGCTGTAGGGTAAAGCTTGTTATCTCTATACATGTTCGGTTTTTCCATTGTGTACGGTGCCACTTCACATCAATCAATCAAATGTCCTGGAATCTCAAATGGTTACACCAAGGACCGTCCAAATCTACAGTCCCCACTCAATGCAAGGGAATGATGGAGAGGCTCTCGTTGGCACTGCGTCTATGTGCAAATCTACCTCGAATCCAGACAGGTTCTTGAATAGGGTTGTAGATAGAATGAAAAGACTATATTCAAGTGGCACAAATGTCCTATTCCTGAATCTTACTCTCTAAAAAAAGCTACCAAGGAATCAGCAAAGACCTCAGGCTCAAGCATGTATGAGATATGACCCCCAGGAAGCCGCATTACCTCCTTGCCAAGCATGTGAGCAAGCAGGGTAATCGGCCCAACGCCAGGCCCATCTCCAGACGTGGTCCCGGCCGCCGGCACAAATTTCGTCTTCTCGGCCTTGATGCCCTCCAGATCCAGCAAAGCAGACGTATATTGGCGTAACTCGAACTCAAACCAGTACATGGAGTTTGCACGGATCTCATCTCCCCGCGTAGGATCCATGCAAAACCTCATCTTTGCGCCTTCCTCGCCTGCAGATAGGCCGCCAGAGAAGACTTCCATTGCTGCCTGTACGCCCTGCTCACGGTACAAACTGTAGATGTGCTTAATGAGGCCAGCGGCTTGAGTACGCGATTGCTCAGGCAGTAGCGCAAATGCTGGAGGCTCATGGGCGATAAGAGTGTGCACTCGGTCCGGGTGTTGAATCAGGAGCTGTGTGGCAACGATCGCGCCGGAGGATGTGCCAAAGACTGCAACAGCTTCGGTGGAAAGGTGGGCGATCAAGGCGCTGGCATCATCGGCATCTGTCGAGAGCCGATTCTTGAAGTCTTGTGCACCAATGTGTTGGCTCTGAGAATAACCTGGGCGGTCGTAGCAAACTACCTTGAAGCTGCGGGAGAGGTGTCTAGCTGCGTCATGGAAAACAGCTCCACGGCAGTCTGCACCCGGAATGCAGAGTAGCAATGGCCCGTTGCCAAAGGTATCGTAATGTAGTTTTGCATTCGGAAGATCGAGGAAAGGCATCGTCAGAAAGTGAGTCGTGAATTGGAAAGATATGTGCTAGAGGTGAGCAAGGTGTGGACTTTTCTTGTAGTGCGTGGGCAGAACCAGGTGGACAAACCATAAATATATACATAGCTATGTACGGGGACTTCGAATACGGTTCGGGTTATCCGGCATGCCCGCGGTAGGCACGATAGCAGCCCAAATGCGATTTATCATGTCTGCAATGCAACTTAGCTCAATAGAATTCTTCGTGGGTACTTCGACGGAGTAAGTGACGTCGCGGTTCCTCAGCACTGCCGAATGGCCAGTAATACCTTGCTCCGGTCCCGATTCCGATCCCGATCTCCGCGGCTTGGCATAATAGCTCACAAAGTCACCTGCACCGTCAAGTCTCGTTTTTCCATATCCTCGATACTCAGCCAGGTTACTGGTTTCAATTTGTCATAGCGATGCAGCTCCACAAGCGTCGCAAGACATTGCTTGCCTGTAATCAATGTCGAGACCGCAAGACCCGTTGTAGTGGAGACCGCCCCCTCTGCAGGTCCTGTCAAGAAAGACACTTGCAATGTCGATATGAACAGGCTTCGATGCGAACCTCATCGTAGGTCTTTGACGTATATGCACGATTCTACCAGATCCATCTTCTAAGATAATTCAAGGTCAGCTTACGATACTGAGCGTCGCTTGAGATTGCTTGAACGACTGAATTCTCGAACCGATCGTTGGGCCAATCTCAACCCTTCACCGCAGCTCTACGTTCCAGATACAGGACAGGAAGCTTCATATCAGCCTCCCACTATACGAACAGAAGTGATAGGTGGATCTCCAGAAGAAGGCTTCATTAGACAGACAACCCACGCGGATTCTTCAACAGATCCCTTCCCAAGCCAAGTCAGCTCTACTGCACATAGACTCGAACGGCCAGTATGGCCAGAGACCATATCGTCGCCATACAGCGGAAACGCCGATCACTCTTCGCGGTTGTGCGATGCACCAACAGTGAATAGCTTTGTTCCAGAACCAGACGTTGATATTGATCTCATGGAAAGCTTCTGGAACAACATTCACCCCATATTTCCCCTCTTGCATCGGCCGACTATTCTGCAAGCATACGAACATCTTTGCGAGCCACACAGAACTGGAACTCGCAAGAACAGCGAGGAAAGCAACACCTTTCAGGCCATTTTGTACATTGTGTTTGCCCTCGGCATTCAATACGACAAACAACTCGCTTTCGACCATCGTGTTACAAGAGCAGACGCATTCTACAAGATGTCACTTGATCTCGTATCTTCGAACGCCATCGATAATCCTACACAGTCGCATGTTCAAATATTTCTACTCACGAGTATTTATCTGCATTCTACTGCATATGCCAATCGCTGTTGGGACATGATTGGTACTGGAACTCGTATAGCCATAGGGTTGGGCTTATTTCGAGAAAGCGCCTCTTTTCACGGTAAGGAGTCTCAACTGAAGCGCGAAATGAGGCGCAGGATCTGGTTCTGTTGCGTCATCCTGGACAGGTAAGTCATTCAGCTTTAAGGTCATTCACATCGACAGCTACTAAACGAGAAATGAAGAATGTCAGCTGCGACCTTCGGACGGCCTACGACTTTGCCCAGATCATGGAAGACAATGCCTCCCAAGGCGATTGATGACGCATTTCTCCAATGTGCAGGTGAAGGTTTCCAGCCGCTAGGTCTTCCTTCTTATGTCGAAGGATTTGTGTACTCTCTTGGCCTGTTCGAGATTCTTGATGATGTTCTAGCCGTGTCTCACGACTCACAAGAAGAAGATGAAGAAGAACACACTGATGGTCATAGGCACCGAGATAGAAAGCCTATGTCTAGACTTGTCGACACTCTGTCTCTGAATTCACAGCTTGAGGATCTAGTGAACAGCATGCCGGATCGCTTGAGGCTATCAGGGACTCATGTGGCTGTATTAGCCCATTCGAGGGACGCGTTACATGGACAAGCGCAGGTGCTGCATTGCAGGTAAGTGCAACGCCACGATTAAGGAGGAAGGTTCAGCTGACCAGTTTTAAGGATACATTACGTTCGCCTCCTCATTCTTCGACCGTGGTTGCTTGAAGGAAGCGGCTCTGACTTAACTATGTCACTTGGTGCTAGCACTCTCCGAGAGATCCGTAGTCTTTGTATCTTGACGGCGCAGCAGACTATCGACGTACTTCACAAGGCCGAGACATGTCGTGCAAATCAGTCTAGTTGGCACGCAGTATATTGTAAGAAAGGCTTGGAGATGTTTTCTCAAATAACATGCTGATTTAGACAGTTCTCTACACCGCTGCTAGCGTTCTTCTTGCGGCCGCGTTTCTTCCCAAAGCCAGCGGAGGCATCGACCTGTCTTGCGAACCATATCTGAGTTCCTGGCATAAAGCTCTACAGACTTTGAGAAACAATGAAGTGCAACTACAGGCTTGCTCACAGGCTGTGAAGTTGTTGGAGAGCTGCCGAGAAAAGCTTCGATCTGAAGTTATCAATAGGGTCTCGGAAGGTATGTTCGCTTGCCTTCTACTACAACTCCAATCATGAGATATGGGAATGTAATGACTAATTCGAAAACATATAGAATCGCGAGGATAAGATGCTGGAGGCGAACACATGCCAAGCACGGAAATCGATATTGATTGGGCATTTGATTTCGAGAGTCTGGACTTTCTTAGGCCCAGTTACTGTTGAAGTTCAAGTTTGTGTATTAAAATCATGTCCATTTTCGATACTACAAGCAGCGGAAAATGATCGACTTGTTGTACAATACGACTACTGACGCTGGCCTATCTATCTGTTCAGGCCGGGCATTCAACGACAAAGAGCAGCCTATCAACAGGTTTTGCTACGAAACAAGCACTAGGCACGAGACATAGTGTACAGAAAGCAAAGAGCTATTTGTGCACGTGATACTGAAATCTGGTGGTTTGAGACAAGAAGACACCGATTAGGGCAATAGTTCTGATGGGCACGGGCGGCGACATTAGCATGTGATCTTCGAACATCTGAACCCGAAAATGCAGACTGAAGTTACTAGAAGACTTTCTAGCTATCAGGAGATGACAATGAAAGCTCTAAAATCTCCCAGTAACTTCATCAGGAAAGAGAAAGGGTTCTGTATGAGGCAGCATTCAGGCACTTTTGAGTTGTCGAGAGACGACAGAAAGGACTGTGATTAGCTTCAGGCTGAAGCTACTGATGGATGTCAAATTCCGGACGTGCACGATCTTGTCTTGGCCTATTACTAATGCCCATCGCTCAACTTGCATACCATTAAGACTATTTCATCAAAGCTTAGAGAATATGATATGCGAGGCTGCATCCAATATGAGTCCAGTGCCGCCAGCCTTTGCTTGAAACCTTATGGGAACCTTCGAAGATATGTATGAACCCTGCCATGTGTACAGCATGTTGTCTCGCTGTTCCGTGTCGAGCAACACTGTGAAGATCGGAACATTGATCTCATAGCGGTGGCACATGGCCCCAGCGATGATGACTAGGCTTTTGTAGAAACGATTCCATATCATGACCTTCTCCCCAGGGCATCTCTTCTGTATGTCCTTGTAGGGTTCCATAAGTGCCTTGCAGCGAGGAGTGAAGACGTCGATATCTTTCATCTTGCCAATCCGATTCAAGAACAACTGATGCTTGGTCAAATTCTCTGGACCTTTGGCCTTCTTGTTCTTCTTCGTCTTGTCGTCTCGTACCTCTATACAAGGCGAATTTGGTGCGTCTGGCTGCTGGAACTCGGCTGTGTCATCGTCGATGTCCTCCATGCCCTCCATGTCTTCCACGTCCCCCATGCCTTCCATATTCACGCCATTCATTTGGCGTGGGAGTTCTTTCATAGACAGCTCTCTCAGTCCCTGGAAGCCGCCCTCGAGTAGCCAAGTCGTCATGGCTTCGGCATACTCCCTTGTGTCCATGGCGTTCTCGTCTATGCTTGCCCAACGTGGCAAACTCATAGCCTTACCAGACGATTCCGTGTTGGCATTAAGATCGTGAACTGCGCGGATGAAGTGTGTTGTAGCCTGCTTTAGATCGATTGGCCGCTTCTTCATCGCCGCCTTCTGTCAGTCGTTGTAGGTCACGAGAAGAGGAGATCCCGACTCTTGCTCGGCCCTAATGCAAAGTCCCATTGCGAAGCTGGGATCACCATTGTCCAATGCGTTTTTCTCACATTAGTTCTTGCGTGCGACCCCACTAAAGCTTTCGCTAAACCAGACCTTTTCCTACTACGATAGCATATGTTGAGAGTGACAGTATGAATACAAAGGGTCTAGAAGCCTACAATGCTTCTAGTTACTATTAGCTTTCCTTTCGAGAGTCAATGTAAGCTTCAACGTAAGGTATAGTGACGCTGTTTATGTCCCGATCCTTTCAGCTTGAGCGCTTCGTCGAAAATATTAGTGACGATGCAGAACGGCAGCATGTACAGGAGGCTCGTGAACAGTGATGTGACGATTCGTGAGGCAAACACCTCTCAGGACTTCTCGGCCATGGCGACTCCCGATCTCTGCCATGCGAACCTCTCTCCGGAGGCATGTGGGGGGTCTTCTGGAACCGCGAAGTTCAACTCATGCACGGCTGTATGCCATCTGTCGATTAGGTAGCCGTGTGATACATATTGATAAAGGCATGCGATCAAACTATCCCTCTCTGTTTCCAGGTAGTCGTGCACCAATAAGCGCCCACCATGGACCTGCATGACACTGTCTTGTGCGTTTCTCGGCAATTTGTCCTCTTCCTCGCTCTCGCCCATAGCGTCCATATTACCAATGTAGTCTTCTTCCCAATGAGAACATCAGAGTACCTCTGCCGTCCGGCGGGAACAATCTATCGTGGGCATCATCACCTACATCTAATCGAGTTTTAAGAAGGGTATAATTCACTATGGATTGGGTCCAGCGCTCAAGATGGGCACTGGCCGACGAACAATAGCGTCGGTGACAGGTGTCCAAGAATGCCCAGGCCGACTCGGAAGTGACAACCGGACTAACCCTTGCTTCTAGGTCTTGCATCTTCTTGTGCCTCACACTCATAGCACTCGCCCTTTCCACGCCACAGAAGTCGGAAGGCGCTCACAGGCTTGGAGAGGTCGCAGACTGTGCATAAAGCTCCCACCTCTGACAAGGGCTGCCTCAATGCGCCGAGAGCTTCTCCTTGTTGTTCCTGTCCTCCTCCTCCAACAGTAGATGAGCTGGCGTCGCCTTCGGGGTAGACGGATGAATCCGATTCCTGGCTACCCGCCTCAACATCGACATCGCCGTGTGCATCTTCGTGGTCGCCATGGCCATGCTCCTTGCTGTACTCCTCGACATCCGCCATCTCGTCATTGCCAGTCTTCCTTTTGTCCTCCGCTATGGCTTGCCCGGTTTCCCGGACATGATAGTACCGTCGGGGTTTACCAACGTCTGTGTCTTCGGTTTTCGCGGTTCTCGATACGGTAGGAAAGCGTCTTCGTCCGGCTCACCATCGTTGGTGATAGGCTCAATAGGATCCTGCATGCCTAGAAACTGACATTAGCACACGGTATTGGAGCAGCGAAGATGATGGTACTCACGCTGATTCTGCCCATCCTCGTCGTCCTTGACAGATGGAACCCATGGCTTGCCCACCTGGAATCCACCGTCCTTGGTACCAGCCTCCACAAGAGACTTGGCAGCCATCTGCATCAGCTGGATGCACTGTGTCTTCACAAGGTCTGTCTCGGCCTTTCGATACTGTTGCAAGAGATCTCCCAGTTTCAGCAGCCCCAACTGTACCTCATGACTCTCCTCTGGGAGGCTTGGCCGTTCGAGGAGTTGTCGCGTCGCCAAATTCGTGCCAGCTTCTATGAGAGTCCACTGTGCCGCTGCCGCCTTTGCTGTTTGTTCATCCACTCCCGGATCGCCCTCCGTCATCTCATTCAGCCTTCTGGTAGCTATCTTTGCTTCTTTGCATGCAGCGAGAGGGTCAGATATATCTGGGTCGACGAGTGGCGCTGGCGCTTTCGCGCTCTTCTTCCTGGGCTTTGGGGGCATTCTGGTTGGCGGTTCTGGTGTTGCTTGCAACTGAAGAGTTTGTGGCAGAAGAAGAAGTGAGACCACGTGAGCAGCCACGAGTACCGGACGGATTCGATGACATCCAGCCACGATCGCAACAAGGAATGGCGCAGGAACATTAAGGCCCAGCTTACCCAGGTCTTGAACCACTCTCTCGATAACGGCGGCTTCCGGCCCGCGAGGTCCACTGAACGTGCTCAGTGGTTGAAAGACCACATTGGCATCATGCAGCACATCGTGGACTCCCAGCAAGCCGGCATCGATGCTCTCATCGACTACCACAGCGGCACTGCGATTATTTACGATAACTTGGACCAGCTGTGGGACAACCTTGGGAATTCAGCTGATACAGATGCCACCAAGCATTTTGCACTGCAGGCTACCCGTTACTACGCGAAGGAGATTACTTCGCAGTGCCTCAAGCCTACGAGGCTCATGGAGGAGTACATTGGCACCCTCAAGGAGCAGCACAAGGAGATATCAGACACACAGACTGTCGCTGATGACGATGACATGGATGAGTAACTTGAAAGTCATCTTTATTAGCGGTAGGTGCGGCGCGGGCAGGCTTATCGGGGAACTGGAGAATGTACGGTGTTCTTCTTGCTTCTTGCAGCTCTTGACGTGAGCAGGGTACCTTCCACCACGTACAAGGAATGACGCAAACATTAGGTCAGTCTCTAGCGTACTCTAGAATTAATAACAGTCTTGACCCAACTTTTCTTCTTCACCTGCAAGGCTCAAGACATGAAAGAGCTCACCGCAAAGAATGTGCGCTTCTATTGGGAGAACGAGTGAGGTAAGGGGTATAATATACTTTTGCATTGGTAAAACCCTACAGATACAATACCCAGAGGACCACAATGCTATTAATCCGTACAAGTTTTCTTATCGAGGGATGATGTAGGCTGTAAGGTAGAGCTTGTTATTCCTCTATCTGTCTGGTATTCTCCTTGTATGAGGTATCCATGACGCGGTGTTGACGTGTCCCCACCGCCGTATGTGACAACATCCGCGCAAAAGAATAGAGCGTTGCCCTGGTCCTGTGTATTTACTCTTCTGGAGGTGGAATCTCGACCGAGTCTTCGGGGATGTTATTAACGTCGATGCCAGGATACACGACACCGCGGAATTTGGCCATTTGCTCTCGCATCCTCTGGATCTGTCCGGGCGTGAATTCGTACCGACAATGATCGTCCGAGTACGACATGTAGTTATCTAGCGTAATGTCAGCAGTAATAGCCGATGTTGTTGTTGTTGCGCATGTTGCTGATCGACTGCTTACGAATGGAATCCAGACCGGGCTGGTCAGGACATGAGTCGCTGTTTATGGAGTCAGTCAGTTGGCATTGTACAAAGCGCGGTGGAATGAGCTGTCTTACCGTCCGATATCGCATCCACCTGAGGCATCGGGTGCTTGCTGATTTGGCGTGTCTGCGACCTGAATATTCAATCAAAAGGTGATTTGAATGTGAGATGATGATGGAACCTACGTAGTCGTAGCTTACAGCGCAGCCAAAGCTGAAGACATGGTAGAGACCACACCACTAGTAATCGTCATATGAGCACTTTACGCAGGAATTTTGTGAGAGTCGAGGTGGATGCTGTACTTACATGACCGACTTCGTGGACAAGCGTAATTCCCTCATTGAGAGGGCAGCTGCCCCCTAGGAATGCTGTGTTGTTCTGGAAGACGCCATCGTAAGATACCTGCGAGGCAGGGAGCGTCGCCCAGGCAGTCTCTGTGGTGTTGACGACACTGTTACGTCGACGTTAGCTCTCGTTGCAGAGCATGTGGGTATGCTCACTCACCCCATACTGTATATGTTCAGCGTAGCGAGATCGCCCTGGCGCAGAGCTGCCGATACCTCTCGTTCAGACGGACGTGCTTCTAAAAGATTGTTGTACCTGGGGAATATCAGTTTTTGCACCTTTACAACATGTCTCCGCTGGCTTACCAATACTCGTTGATTGTGCGCGTCGTATTCAGAAGATTGAACTGGAATCCAACAGGTTCGAACGCATCGTTCAGGACCTCCAGCTGCGCACTGAGCGCCGCGTCGCTTGAAAGGAAATCAGCAAAGACTATCCGGCGTACAAGATACGGGAGCATACCTAATGTATCCCTCCCCTTTGACGTCACCAGGAGTTATAACGTGCATATAAACCTGCGAACGCATTAGCATCGCGCGTTCCCCATACTTGACCTCCGGGAACAAGCGCACATCAATCGGCAGTAGCAAAGTCGCATTGTCCGCACGTCTTGGATGGGGTTTCCGGTGCAGGTTGCGACGCTCAGCATTTGCAAAGACTATAGTGTCTTGAGTGCCACCCACCGAGGCTCTGGGACGAGTGTCAGCCAACAAATCAATCTAGAAATAGTTTCCGACCGCTTACAGGACACCTCCGGTGATCGCGAAGAAAATGGCTAAGGCTGATACAGCAACCATGTTTGCACGACAGAAACTTATTGCGATGGTTAGACATAACAGCATGACGAACGATACTTATACGACGATTGGAACAAGACGGACATACATTGTATGAACACTCCGAAGCGCCTTGGCAAGTGGGGCAAAGTAGCCTTGTTGGTTAGGTCGTAGCTATAATTACTTCTGTCACGTGGAATCAATGCCGGCAGCGTTGGCAGCTTGGCAGCAAAGACAAGGCAATAACTAATCAGCCCGTTGAGCTATGTGGCGTGCACGGACCAGTAGCTGCGCAGATCCCATCGACTACAATCTTCTTCTTCTTCTTCTTTACTTGCATTCCAATTTAGAAGTGAGTTCTTGAGAGTGTTGTAAGACTCTAGCTCCAAAGCGACAATGTGTATTGAGATGGCTAATTTGATCATTTATCGTCTACGTCCTCTTGTGTATTCGTAACAATACCTTCCAGGAACTGGAGGACAGGTCGTTCCTTTCAGCATGGGCGAAAACCAAATCCCTTTTTTGTCTGTATTCAAAAGTGCTGTACTAGTCCTTCTACACTCGATCTATCCCCCAGTTTCTCCGACTCCATCCCCTTAACAGAAGCAACCGAGGTTGCGAGGAGCAAGGCATTCCACACGCACAGGAAGACCTTGGGGAATGCACCTGTTTGTACAGGGGGCACGAAGAGCCGCGAGCTGAGTATTGCATTCTTCGAGTGAAAAGCCGCAAAAGTTCGGACCGGGGTCGCAGGAGCCGATAGGGCGCGTTTGACGCTTTGTCAAGACGTGCACACCTTCGGATGATGGTAGGGGTCCTGCGACAGCGAGACTGAGCAGAGCGGGAGCAATGAGAGCAAGCTTCATTGTCGTGGAATTATGTTCTTCAAAGAAGGGTAGTGCTATGTGCTGAAGGTTGGAAAAGTCGTGTGTAGGAGATGTTTGATTGAATAGATAGACTGTATTGCAGTCGCGACACAAGACTTTATAATCTGTAGAATTAAACATGACATCTGCCTAGAAAAACGTAAGCCGCAAGCAACCGGAACATACGAAGTATCTTCCAAGGTTTACAATGCAAAGGTCTTGGGTGTAAGCGGACAAGAGTGCCCGTGCGATGTAAGACGATATTTGTCATTATTCTTCCCTGAATGCGTTCGATGTTGTAGTGGGCTATCTAACAGCACAGCATTGTTGCAATGCTGAGAGTAACTATATGAAGCTGTTCGCAGCATAGACAAGATTAGATACTAAAGCTACGACGTGAAGATAAAATCACGATCTGTGCGTTGCGACGTCTAGCGCCTTACAGCGCTAAGAAGCGATGGAGCTAGCTTACTTCCTTGACTACTCGAGAATCGCCGAACCGGTAGTCGTCCGAGCTATACAATTTTCTAGTATAGTAAGCCGAGGTGGGATGCCCTACCTCAAACAATGTAGATTAGTGTTCATTCGTTACAAATCTATTACATGAGTTATTCTTCACAACAGAGCAGGCGACACAGAACAAAAGATTGAGATGCGCAGAGCTGCTAAGGTTTCGAGACTCAGAAACAGAGAAAGTTCAGTTTTGTGGGTTGAATGAACACAAAGCTAATCGATTATCAAAGTCTTACGTAGAATGTAGAGAAATAAAGTGTTTGAAGATCAAAGATCACTAATCCTCTTTTCTCTCAAAGTTGGTGCAGCACTGAAGAGTCAGACTATCGGACCGCGGAAGGGCGGCCTACTGCGTCACCTTTTGCGGAGTGCGGAGTGATAACAAGATGCTCGGTCAATCTGCACAAGCTGTCCCCCCAATGTCACGTGAATCTTCTTCCTTGCCTGGAACTTCAAAATTCAGATACCGGACTTGTTCTCACCGACATCGTTCCCGCTCTCTGTCCGGGCCGTACGGAGACGAGGCACGAGATGATGCATCCAGGAAAGGATCGACCGGAGTAGCAACGACGCGATCTGCGGGGGTCATCTGGATAGGGTACATTTCCCTGCCGTTCTCTAGTTCCGCATCATCTACCACATGGTGGTGATGAAGCCCGAAGTGGCCTAGCTTGCTATGGCATTCGTCGCAGCGACGTTTGCGACAGCAGCAGCACAGATGGCGAGAAAGCCATGAACGCGGCATCTTCGCGCCATCGCCACGAATGAAGCGACCTGGATGAACAACGTTCCACACCAAGATGGCCAACCACATTGGTGTCGACTCCAGAACGTACAGGAGAGGCTCGTTGCTCGGAAGAGGATTGCTGTGGTCAAGACCACCAGAGAACTCAGCGAGGCGGTAGACGATGCGAATTGTGATCGCCAGCAAACATCCGTAAAGCGCCCCGATCAACCATCTCCAGCAACCTATCTTGTCTGCAGTCAGGCGTCCGACTCTTTCTGCCCGTAGCTGGTCGCGGTGAAACTTGATGACCAAGCCCAAGAAAAGAACAATGAAGCCCTCTTGCATACCAATTCCGCCCATGTATATGTTCAGGCCCTTCTTTTGTGCATCCGCGCTCGCACCAGGGCCAGCCATTCCACCGCCGATAAGTTGAACGACGAAAGAAGCGATATCTAGAGTGACGAAGACCAGAGCGAGGATAGAAGGCGAGAGAAACCAGATTTTGCGAGTGGGCGAGTAGAAGTGAACCATTCGAGCAAAGACCATGTATGCAAAGGCGTTGACCCAGATGGGAGCCACCAGAACTAAAATCTGAGCAACAGTCGCAATGCCAGAGGATTGCTGGTTCTTGGATCCAAGAGCACGGAAAGCATATGCTCCCATCTCCCAAAGAGAGGCCATGATGACGACCCAGCAAAAGCCGTTACGATACACGACTGCTTGAGTCAGATGTACGATTGTGAGGACGCCAAACAAAATGGAAAAAGCTACTGCTGCAGCGAAGTTCGGGAAGTACACCCATAGCGCATTGCATGCATCCGCAGGGACGTAGCCATCAATACCTGGAGTTGCGTATGAACTGAAGCCAGGCGTGCATGTCTGGGTCGGGAGGTCGAGGGATACTGGTGGTATTGACGGCGCAGCGATTGATGGTAGGTCTAATGAGAGCGGAGGAATACTTGGCGCGAAATTATCATCGCGGCGAGAAGGCGGTATTGCAATGGAAGGAGGCGAGGTGATTGTGTTTTGAGCGGATATCACTCCAGAGGGGATGAATGCTAGTGATGCGGCAGATTGAAGGACCAGCAGCAAGGTGTTGAGGAATAGAAGTGAGAATCTCATCGCATGAGCAGCACAGAAAGCAACCTGGACGTATGGGTGTAGTATGTAGATGATGATCCGATGCTGAATGCGATCAATCTACATACAGAGACATACTTATATCCGCGATATGTTGATGAAGAGACATCTTAGTCATTACCAATACGGGTAGCGCAAGTTCAGTCGTCGTGGATGGTGAGGCTGAGAGCCTGAGGCGTCTGTGCCGCAGATGGTAAGGCGTGCAGTTTTCGAAGTTTCAGTAATTGACGATTACCCGGCTCGCAAGGTTTACCTATGTCGTGCTGCAACAACGTTGGCGACTGCAGGTGCCCACCAATAGGCAAGTTAGATTTGATCAAATACGGGTACATGCGAGTAGACTTCATGCAATGGCCACGCCGGTCCAGGCGGCTGCGACTGAGACAGCCTTGCAGGGAGCGAATGTGCAAGGATCGCGATCCTTCAGCCCCCACATCACACACCAACTCTACTACGATGCGTACTGCACCGCGAAGCTAGTAGACTCTACTACATCCCAATCGTCAACTTTCTCTTCGTCACCGAAGATGCGGAGCGCGCTCACTTTCATACGATACGAGCCCTCATCAAGCACCTCCCCACTCGCCATTAGCCCATTGAAGTATGCGCGAACTTCACTCCTTGCGATGTACGTTTGCGGAAATCCAGCCAATGCACCCAGGTTCTTGTTGCCCTGGACGATCTCCACACGCAGCAAAGGTGACCCAACTGTAGGATTGATGTACACGTTCGGGGTTGCGAACATATCACCGCGATCAGTCATAGGTGGGTTCTGAGGATCCGGTCGTGGAATGACGTAAGACGCGTTGGCGGGAGCGGGCGTGTATCCTTGGGCAAGGTAAACAGTCTCCGATGTGAGAACAGGAATGGCGTGCATACTACCCCCAACACCAAGGTAAGGGAGAACGAGCTTGTCGCCCAGGGCGATGAAGCCACTGTACACGGGCAGTAGAGTTGCGTTAAGGCCGACAGGTGCTGTGAACCCAACGGTGATGTTGGCAGACTGGCCGGCAGGAATGGTGATGCAATCGGAAGAGAAGGATACGGTCGCCCACGACTCTGCGATGGCGTTGGGGAATGAACCGACACGCAAGACATCGGCTTTTGGATCCATAGTGTACATTGTGACAGCTTTGCGGTGTTCCAAACCAAGAGCCTCTTCTGCGGAGCCAGTGTTGGTGATAGTGAAGGTATGAATGCCAACGAAGTGGTCCGTGTCGTTCAGCATCAGACTATCAACATTGATCTCGAGGGTAGTATGAGCAGCATTCCAAGCTTGCACAAGCCCAGATCCCTGTTGTGCGACTGGGGCGAGGATGTCGGGATGAGCAGTCTTCCCGTCGTGCCAGGCCAGTGGCTTGGAGGTATGTGTGAGAATCCTGCGGAGACGCTTTGGTTCCAGCTTGCCGTATACTTCGCCGAGTAATGCGTAAACACCCGCGACCAATGGCGTTGACATGCTCGTGCCAGTCATGACGCGGTAGCTACCCAAAGCCGTTGGATACGTGCTCAGGATGTTCTCTCCAGGCGATACGAGTTGCGGTGACATACCAAGCTCCCAGCTTGGGCCCCAGCTGGTCAATTCACCTGCGACATAACCACCTCGCTCGTTGTTCTCGAGCACCTCAAGGTAGGTCTGGGTTCCGTTGGCTGGGATAGTCACAGAGACTGTGGCACCTTGTGAGAGTAGAGAGATCCAACGCTCAGCAACATATGGCACAGCCTTGACGACACCCTGAATACCATCGGCGTATACATAAGGTTCGTCGCGCATGGTCAGATTACTGCGCTCGTAATATACCATGAATCGCGCACCCTTTGCGGCGAGGTTGGCGCCCTGGTCTTGCGGGTAGCATTGAGTTGCTCGTGAATCCTTGAACTCCAAAAGTACGATGCGCTGGCTTAGATCTGGTGTGTCGTCAGGTAGCGGCGTGCAAGCATCTTCTACATCGGCAGCAGACCATAGTTGAAGTGTTGTATCGTTGGCGAACTTGGGAACGCCCATCAAGAAACCAAAGTTGGCGGTGCTGTTGGTAGTAGCGTTGGAATCCGTTGTGTAAGAACCTTGTGCTAGGAAGGTAGGAAATTGTGTATTAGAAACCGCTCCTGTGCCCGTAATACTGCTTCCTGTTGCTGGCGTGGAAGCGTAGAACATACCCTGGCCACCGTCATTACCCTCAGAAATGACGACTGGAATGCCAGAATCAACGATGCGCGAGATGATGGTAGCGCGTACGTCCTGCGACCAGCCTGAGGCGTCGCCATTCGAGTAGGAGATGATATCGGCCCCATCCTCCACGGCACGAGCAAATGCCATAAGTTCAATCTCATTGGTAGATGTTGATGCGCAACCCCACATTCGGTACGCGCCGAGCTTTGCCCCGGGTGCAGATCCAGTGAAGCCATACTTGTTGCCCTCGAGCTGAGCGGCGATGGTACCTGCGACATGTGTGCCATGTCCAGCACAGTTGTCCATGGGATCGTCATCGGGTTTCAATGGGGATGTGCCGGGGTTGTAGTCGTCGCCTGTGAAGTCATACCCGATCTCAACGAGACAGCCTGGACCAAAACAGCCGCCAAGCGCTGGATGGGTGTAATCGATTCCGCTGTCAATAATAGCGACACGATATCCTTTGCCTGTGATGCCCTCTTTGTGCAGCTTGTCAACCTGAGTCATGACATGAGGAGAAAAGTTATTTTCAGATGTAGTTTGCCGCTTGATGTGTTTCTGCTGAGCGGGTGCCGCGATGTTGTCCTCACGCGAACGTGTCGTGATACGGGTCGGCCATATGTTTTCCACCTGTGGTTGTGCCCCCATCTGACGCAAGAAGTCCCACTCGCTCGAATTCGAGCTCGAGCTCTTGAGCTGGAAAGATACGCCATTGAAGAATCGAAAGCTCAGATTTATGCGATGTTCGACATTGATACCGCTGGCTGCGAGGGACGCGTAGAAACTCTCTGGTGTTTCATTTTCGTTCGCAAATTCGACGATGTAGGCACCCGGGAGAACGCCGCTTATCGCTGGCGCGTCGTTCGCCGTTCGTTGTAGGATCGCATTGGCGTGTCCACGAGCATGTACCAGTGTTGGGGGGACAAGCTGCGCACGCATGACAAGGGCCGCAATGGCAGAAGAGAACTTGCCCATGGCCAGCGATGTGAACGAGTGTGAGATTGCGCATGAGCAATCGCGCCCATGACGCCCATTATATCTGTACGAGCACCAATCCCGTAGCGGCGCGTGGATGCCGTAGAAGCTTTAAGAGCATGTCGGTTGTTATGCTCGCCTCGTATAGCAGAGTCACGTTGCCCAATGTGCCTCGTGTGTGCGGAGAGAATAGAAACTCCAGCATGGGGATCTTGAACAAGATCCACTTCCAATATCAATCTTCGGCCTCTTTGCCTGTCCAGGAATGCGACCGGAGGATCAATGCTACACGCGGACCAAGCCCCACCATTATGAGATGTTATCGTACAAGCCCCAATCTGACGTTCAGACCCAATCAGAGCAGCGACCGCGCATGTCGAATACGATGTCTCGTGACGCTTCTTCGTGTTCCTAATGGTGGAGGCCACGGTAAAGCTAACGGGCGGGAGGCGCCGAACGCGCCGCAAACGTGTCGTTGCTCGAGAAGCTGTGGGTCGTGATGTTCGTGAGATCAGCGAGCGTCGCGCGAAGTATCATCGAAGGTCATAGTGACTGTTGTAGAAGATGCGCATGCTAATGGAGGGTGTAACGGGCGGCGGTGGACGCGTGAGCTGCAGTGGTGTTGCACCTCCGTCGTGCCAAGACTCTTCCACACAGTTCCCCACTCAACCACCAGCCAACGCTTACGATATGTCATGGCTGGATGCTCTGTCACGCATTCATTGTCGCACAATGTGTGGATATGAAGCCTGCATACATATGCGATGATATTCTAGTGAATTATCTGCCGGTCAGGGAATACGGCCGCAGCGTACGATTGAGAACCAGGCACCGTCTCGACCCATCCGATCATGGCGATTGGCGATAATGAAGACAGAGTTCAAGCACGTCGGTAGCATGGAGGAGCTCACGATTCGACTAGGAGATAAAATCTTGACAGAAGGATGCGCACGCATCCGTTGAAGAAACCGTCATGCCATGGGCGAATCGCGCGACCTGCGTTCAGTTTTCGGGTTTCGGGTTTGCGCTCGGCCAAACGCGAAGGAAAGACTATCAACTGTGGTTGATGGACTTTAGCCGAAGGAAGAGAAGTCAAACCCGAAACTCGCCAAACCCGCGACGGCATGTAGTATCGCAAACGCGCCAACCGAGTTGAACGCCATATTGTGATCAGCTGAAAATCGGACTATTTCCACTCGAAGCTGTCTTGCAGAATTGCGACAATCCCGCGACCTCGGAACTTGCTCTCGGAACCTATACCCAATGTTCGGATCAACCCCGGAGCCATCGCTCCTGCACCGTTCTTTAGCGTACCAGCCCCATAGAGTTGTTTCAGCTTCAGGCCACTACCTTTTCCTAGAGGATGGAAGATCGATTCTCGATGCTTGTGGCGGCGCTGCTGTAGCCATAATAGGCCATGGAAACAAGGAAGTTATTGCAGCTACGGTAAGACAGATGAGTCTTGTCAGCTACGTGCACACGGGTGCATACACTACAGACTCTGCCGAAAATCTGGCCACGTGCATCCTCGAGCACCAAGGCGCAGCCGAACGCAGCCCTTACAGGCATGATCTGGCCAAAGCCTTCTTTGTTGGCAGTGGCAGCGAGGCGAATGACGCTGCAATGAAGTGTGCTCGTCAGTACTGGTTCGAAAAGAACGAAACACAGCGGAGGATCTTTGTTGCAAGGAAGCAAGGATACCATGGGAACACATTCGGTGCTATGTCTGTATCTTCCGTTATCGGACGCAAGGTGCCTTACGAGCAGATCCTGCTTCCTAATGTCTCTTTCGTTGGCCCGGCCGACCACTACCATGGCGCTAGGGACGCAGAAACCGAAGAAGAATACGTTACGCGACTTTATGAGGATATCGAGCAAGAGTTCCTGCGACTTGGACCTGAAAATATCATATCTTTCATGTAAGCTTTCCTCGTCATCAGCCATATGGCTTTGAGATAAGCTGATAAGTCATTACTAGTGGCGAGACGGTTAGTGGCGCAACCCTAGGTGCCATGGCATCACCGAAAGGCTACTGGCCTTCGGTTCGTACACTTTGCGACAAGTACGGCATACTCTTACATCTAGATGAGGTCATGTGCGGAACGGGTCGCACGGGCACCTTTTTCGCTTTTGAGCAAGAAGATATTCAACCGGATATTGTCACAATTGGCAAAGGGCTCGGAGGCGGGTATGCTCCTATCGCAGGCATGCTTATAAATCGCAAGATTGTAGACGCTCTCAAGGAAGGATCATCGGCATTCAACCATGGACAAACTTATCAGGCGCATCCAACTTCGTGCGCTACTGCTTTGGCAGTCCAGCAGATCATCAAGCGCGACCGCCTCGTAAATAGATGCGCCGTTCAAGGACAAAAGCTGGGCCGACGTCTCCAAGACACGTTCAAAGAGTGCAAACATATTGGCGACATAAGAGGACGTGGGCTATTCTGGTGCCTAGAGTTCGTGGAAAATGCTACAACAAAGAGGCCTTTCCCTCCGCAAATGGCTTTTGGGTCTACACTGCAGCTCGCTGCATTCGATTTGGGTGTAGCATTATACCCTGGTGTCGGTACGGTGGACGGCTTGGAAGGAGATCACATACTGATTGCGCCTCCATATACTGTGACAGATGCGGAGCTGGATGTCATCGTCTCAACTCTGAAGAAAGCATACGACAATACTGTGAAAAGGCTGGTTGGATGCTCATCAATACGTTCTGCTCCGATGATTTACAAACATTCTGTGTTTGGCGAAAGCCCACTGTAGACAAGACATCCACTATCTTCTTGATCCCATAACGGCCATAATTGACTCCACCCTATATTTGACTGCAATGCCATCTCCGACATGTCCCCGTCGCAATTCGTCTCGCACAGCCTTTGATCTTCTAGACGTGTGGAAGTGCTGTCCCGTGTGAGACTCGCGTCAGGATTTAGACCACGATACTCATCAACTGACGGCCTTCGACGCCGACAGTCATGCATGGAAGCCTCTAGGGCGTCGAAATCTGACCTTGCTCTTCCTTGGTACCTCTCCAGGTCCGCACTAGCATGATCGTACAATTGCTTGGTACGCTGGCTCGTCAGCCACCAGCGTTCTCCAACAGGCCATATCTTGCGGAACGTATCAAGCCAAACGAGATTCTTCTCTATAAGTGATCGACCGTCTTGAAGTTTATCGGGGCTCATCCATGGGAAAGCTGATCTGTACATATTCATCGTTACTGCTGAGAAAACACAGAAGCTTGGGAAAGGCGTGTGCAGCGAAGCACCTGCATTATCTAGGTCCTCCATGATGGTAGTTATAGAGCCTGCAGACGCGAAAAGCTCAGTTGCTCTGGCATCCCACCATCCCACAGGTGCATCTGGAGGAAGCAGTGGAGGATCGATTGGTCCAGAGGGTCGATCGCACGTTGTTGGCAGAAACGGAAGGTACTCGCGGTTTAGGAAGATCAGACTATCACCTCGAAGTCTCAGATGAATCTTCTTGCAAGAATGTATGTGTTTACGCACCTGATGTAGTAGACTAGATTGACGTAGGCGAAAGGCTCGGCCTGTTCGAGTGCAGCATGGCTCTCCACGGAGACTTTGGGGAAAAGCATCCGTTCTTCCAAAAGGCTTCTCCATGCCTGTAGTTCTTGATATAGTGACGCCCAGGGTGACGTAGGATTCCAGGGACAATTTGCAGGAAGACTCATATCAGGCAAGAACCGTCCTCCACTAATGACCCACTGTAGGATGCGCGCCCATATATCGAAGCCCCTAACGAGAACGTTGTAGGAGTTCGCCATGTTTCCAGGCATGTGCTCGAGGAGACTTCGCCCAGCTGTGGCATGACGTGACGACACTGGGGGCAGGCCAAACACGAAGTCTTCTTCTGACGAAGGCCAAGAGGTTCGCAGGGAAATGCATGAAAGCGCATATGGCTGAGGCATTCCTGAGAAGATTAAGCGATCCATGATAAAGCAGCTCCACAAGGTACGATTGTGCACATTCAAATCTTCAGGGGGATGTTCTGTAGAAGCGGTCATAGACTGTAGAGACTGCATGATCCTGATAGCCATGCCGCTGATCAGCCAGGCTTGCTGTCGGTTCCCGACTCCCCACTCGTACATGGAGAGTACCAACAGCGTTTGAACCGTTACCAAGCTCGGTGGCGTCAAGACCGTCATCCGGTCTCGTACTGCTGTGGCAAATTGATCTGCTGTAGGTAGTCTCGCCTTATCTTTCCCTAAAACAGCATGAACAGCCATAATAGATAAAAAGAAAGTTTGCAATGCCGGTGATTCTAAGCTTTTCAAGCTCTGAAGGTTACGAAGCGACTTTGAGATGGTGGGTAAATGGAGGAATCGTAGCTCTGGAAACTTTCGTTTGAAGACCAGGCATGCGCGTATCAGTTCCGTGCCATCTGGTTGAATTAAAACATCGTTCGAATCTGATGCATGACGCTGGGCATTTGCACGCTGTCTAAGAGGAGTTGTTCCGGTCCCAACAGCGGCATGGCTATCACCGGATACGGATGGAAGATTCGTTCGCTGAGAAGTGCTGGGCGGTCTGCGAATTTCAGCATTAAAATACTAGTATGAAGTGTTACTTTGTAGGTTGCTTACGGGCAACGTGAAGGCTGCGAAAGGATTGGGCTCGTCAGAACGCACTGGCCCGGTTCGATGCGGCCTTTTTTGGAACAACTACGACAGGGTGGAAGACCCTCGTGGATACATTTGATCTTCTGCCGGCTGTACAGCGTCAGAACAACTCTCCTCTGGAGTATTCCTCCCACCTACCGGCAAGAAGCGCATGCGATGGTTGTCCGCGCCATGACGCATGAACGACGCGTCGCAATGTGAGGCTTCGGGTTTCGGGTTCACCCAGGCGCGATCGGTTTCGGCTGGCGGGTGTGCGGCGCGCTCGAAAATACGAACGGCAAAGAGCTTTTCTGAATTTAGTTCTCATCTTCTACCAGCGAGGACGTCGCCACACGGGAAGAGTTCTCTTGTTGGCGATACAGGTTGCGACGAGAGGAAGCGCAGTTGCTGGTGCCTGCTGCTGTCAACCGCTGTGCGTGTGGGGCACGACTGTGCTTGGCGCTGCCACCAGCATGCCGCGAGCACTCAACGCTGGCTAATCTACGTACACCATACTTACTCTCAAACATTTGACTCCTCACTATGTACAGAGGTATGTTCGATTAATGGGCGCATTCGGTATGCGCTCGACCATGTAACACTCAAAAGTCATAATAGAGGTGGAAGCTTGAACACAATCCCGTACGATCATCCTAGAGGAACAGGAAACAGCGTCACGAGGTATCGCGTCTGACATGCAAGACCGCTAGTCTGATCGGAGCTTAATGTCGATCCGGGGTTTGTACTCTCATGGCTCAAAATGGGAACTACGTTCGCCAAGGCACAAATGCGATTATTCTCAACGATGATCGACATTTTTGAATTTGGAACCCATGTCCGTGCTCCCAGAGCCCTTTCATGCACGCCAGACAGGCATGATGATTGCCAAGGATGTTAACCAGTGGTTGCCGATCATCCGTCAAGTTTAGTGGACCCATGAATTGGAGGTGGTTGAAGCCTGGGAGATAGAGGCATGCGGGAAGAGAATGCAGATGGTAAAGCGAAGGAAGTTAGCGGACGAAGGCCGCCATACCGTTCGACGGCGAGCCAAATCGTATGGTTGTGAGAAACGAGCAAGTCGCAGGTAAGGACAAGGAAGGACCTGAAAACGAAATCTGGAGCCGAAAGCCGAATCCGAAAGCCGAAGACAGATGGCCGTATGATTGTATGCGCACAGCCTACTAAACTTCTGTCGTCAGAAATTGCGTATCCAAGAGAACACGAGCGATGCGAGCACAATGGCCCGAGGTAGTACCGCTAGGTAACATTAATTGTTTTCGTGATTCTCCACACTTGACACGCAATATCCCCCACACTGTAGAGGTTGTTGCCTAGCTATCTTTTGGGTACAAAAGATCTTCACATCCGACTTGAGGATTGATACATACAACATTTCAACCACTTATCTACGATACCCAAAGATCTCTATCTCAATATGACCGTAGTCGAGATCGGCCTCATGGGCGTCAAGCCCGACCACGACGTCCTGAACCCCAAGACCCCCGAAGGCCAAGTCCTTGACTTAGCATGGAGTACCGTGACCACTGCACCGGGCGGCCCGTACTGGGCATATGGAGGCATCGAGCCTGACGACACTTTGCGACTCTGGTGCTTCTTCTGCTTCGACGATGTGAAGCATCATATGGACTTTGCCAAGACGTAAGTTAAACGCGTTTGAGGACTTTGCTACTGGAGAGCCAGAAGCTGACGATAGTTGGGTACGTGTAGAGGTGGAGCTGAAGCGGTCAAAGACCTACCCAAAATCTTGTCTCACCCAATCTTCGGCTGCCATGTGGAGCTCGATGGCGAGGCCAGGGACGTGCTGAATGCGCCTGTGGTGCAGGTCACGTTGTTGTACTTCTCACCCGACATAGCCGCTGCGGAGAAAGAAGGTGTCAGCAAGACGTTCACGACCGGGATCGGAGGGGATCTCGATTCCAACACTGACATGCGAGCGGTGCGATCGGGCTGGAGTGTCGAGAAGGATTGGCCGATGTTGGAGGGCCGCGAGAAGGGCGAGGGAACGGGCACTGTGTTTAGCATCCTCGTGGGATGGTCTAGTGTTGAGGCGCAGAAGAAGTCTGGAGTCATTCAGGATTTGGTCGGGAAGCTTAAAACGGGTGGGAACGGACAATTGATTCATTCCGCGACCAAACTCGTCGAATGCCGAGAATTTGGCACTGCGAGAATTTGAATCGATATATCTGGCATTCGGTTGATAAGCTCAACACTTCTAACGTCAAGTGAGAAGTCACGTATCATAGTTGAGTAACATCCAATGGTGCTTCAATTCAACACATACACGTCACTGTACTGCACGGTTCTTGTTGTTAGCGACCTACACTACACGCGCACTGTCATACTACAATTTGTTGTGTCAGAAGGCTACCGGGAGTGCATGCGGCGTAAGGATACGGACTGCAAGCTATGGCTGTATGGTTTCTACAGTCAATAGCAATAAACACTACGATCATCGGGAATCGAGGAGCATTACCGTAAAGCTATCGCGTGATGTCCGCTATCTCGTAATGCCAGGAACGTCCGAATCACGAACGTAGATACAACCACCCCTATCGCTACCACGGGAACGGATCGATGGGCTAAGCCGCAGCAGTAGCCTAAGGGGAATAACACCCAGGGCTTATTTAGTGATCGTCCTATTTTGTCTGACAAGCGTTGTAGTACGTCTGACAGCGCACAATATACGTACACATAGTACAAAGGCATGCAAAATGTGTCTGGTGATGCGTCAGAAAGAGGCTCGCCTAGCATATGGCAATCGCTTCACTCCATGTTAATACATCACGCCCTTTTATTATAAGTCAAGCATGACGGCCTGCTTGAGACCCTTACCTCCAAGAGGGGAAGACGATAAGAGGGTTGAAATGAGTGAGCTTGCTGAAGTTGACGAGCTGTGCAACCAAACGACTGCGCAAGAGAAGCGTGATGCGCGTGCAAAAGAGAGGAGAGAACGCGACCGGCTACAGGCTGAGCAGGTCAAGGAAGTTGCCGAGCGCAAAGCAGAGAAAGAACGTCAAAGGCTAGCTCGCGACTATTAATAAGCTATTCAAAGGCCGTCTTCAGGCAGGTGCAGGGCTTTTACACTAAGCAGCACTGAGGAAAAAGCAGAAAGCTACTTATAGGAGTGAAGGCGATGGTGCCTCGCGCACAGCGCGTACCCTAACACCGCTACACTAACACTCGCGGCCGCAAACTCCTCTGACTAAAGATGTATCAGTAAAAGACTTGGTCAAGAAAATTCGTAGAGTACCCTGTTGAGTTGCCTTGTAACAACGACCTGTGTGTGTTGCTTTACAGCCTTAATTATATGAAGCCTGTTTTGGTGATGCGCGTCTATTAACTGACGGTGTGCATTGCTTGCACGAACACGGTATTTGTGGAGCCGCAGCATCATTTGTTTCCGATAGGCGTCCGGCTCGTTCTGTTGGGAATAGGAGAATAAATGCTACTTCCGTCGATGTACAGGGATTACTGAAAATGAAAATATCGCTGATCGTGGTTGTTCAGCGTCTCCGGGAAGCGCGTACCACAAACTGGACCGGCCGGTTGTAGAGACGCCAAGTGCCCGTTCAGATGATCGTTTGCCTCACGATCTTAGATCGGAATTCTCCACGGATCGTAGTCGGTCGCATCCTATTTAATGCTAGTCATCCTTAGCCGGCCATACTGTACCGATTTCCCGCACGCGCATCCCTTACGTGGTCGCTACAATTCTAGTACTTTTACAGCGCTCTGAAGCCATGTTGTATCCAAGGCGACACTTCCAGTCCCTATACCTACTCAACAACCATGAAGCGGCGAGGATTCCAATGTAAGCGGACGCTCATCGTATGTATCGTCACTAGTCATTGTCTATAGTCATGTTCTAACTTGTAGGTCGCGGCCGTATAGAAGATTGCCTCCAAGTTGGTCTCCCTCAATATCTCTACGCCAGAACCGATCCCCTCACGGCCCTTATCATTACACGATAAGCATCCCTCTAGAGACAGCACATACGATCAGTCGCCTTGGATCAACCGCCGTATTCTCGACGGACTTACCGAACAAGAATTACACCTAGCATGTCGCAACATCCTGTTAGACTCCAAGCCGTCCCATCAGGGCCTGAGGAGCAAAAGCTCTGAGCTTGACTTTGGTGGGCTTGGCCGACAGAAGAAGAGCACTGTACAAGCCCCCGAGATAAGCGTACACATGCCCATCAGCGCGCTCGCAGAACTGTCGTCAAGTTCCTTGATCGGCGGACGAGGACCCAACATCAAGACACGAACTCGACCGAAAGCAAACATGAAGGCAAGAGCAAGGAGCTACGGAGGAGCCCCTGCATGCGCGGATAGTAATGGCAAGCGACCCGCTTTCAGACGAATTGATGAACGGGGCGCTCAGAAGCAGGGGAAGTTAAGAACGCACGACAAGGTTCCCAGCTATGTACCGCGGTGGACTAACGACTGCGGCCAAGACGTTACGCTACCCGTAGTAGTCAATTCATCCCTCACGAACGCCATTATGTCGTCATGACGACCAGCTGGTCTTCTGTAAGCAACCTTGACCAAGGTCTCGACACAGGCTCTAGCAGTCGCACTCGATAATCAAATGAGGGTTGTGACCCTACCTCGCAATGCAACAGGAGCGCCGAGGCGTTCAATTCTTCTTGCAAGATGATCTTGAACAAGATCGCGCATAAGATCCATCAGAACCAGTCTAAAACCTAGGCCGAAAATAGCGAGAGTTTAGGGCGAAGATGGCATTTAGTGAGTTGATGTCTAAGAAAGACCAAAAAGTAACTAAACCTACAGAATAGAGAAGGGGAATGTCGAAAAGGATGTCTCAGTGCAGGAACGCAGCACAGGTGCATCACCTGTGGCACGCTATAGATCTCGTTTGTTTGTTGTAGTCTAGAACAGCATCTTCCTTTCTGAGCACTTGTATGATCTAGATTAGAATATTTATGATACAGAGTAACTTTAATGTAAAATACAGAGTAAGACGACTCCACATTCTGCACTGCGAGAATTTGGAACGACAGGTGCTATCCATTATCTTACAATTTCAAAACTACCTCCCCTGTGCTCTACTCTTGCTCTTAGCCCTCCTTGTTGCGATTTTTGGAGTTCTTTTGAGATCTCTGGATCGGTCTTCTCACTTGCGCCTAGTATATGCTCTTCGACCTCTTCTGACTCGAGAATCTGAGCCAGCGCAGACCATACGTTGCCAAGAAGGGTTGAACGCGTGTCTCGAACGAACATGACGATCAGAGTTGCCATGATGACGAAATGAGCTGCCAATACCCACAAGACGATTATTAATCCCACATAGTCTCGCGGAAACAGAACGTTCTCAAAGGACGATACTGTGATATTGTCGATCCTGTCAAAGGCGGGCTGTTGGCTGTAATAGTTCGACATTGATAACATAGTAAGAAGGCTAGACATGGCCCAGCTTACAGAAGTCGTCTCTAAGGTGTTTTTGAAGATGGCAGCTAATGCTGGATCAGCAGCTATGGCATGCGATATGTTCGCATAATTGCCTGGAAACCGGCGCAGCATGGTGATAAGGGGGTCTCCGGACATGAACGCCGTCCATCCGCCGGGAAGCGGCCCGCTGCCCACTTTTGCAAGTGCAAATTGGCCTCCCATGTCGCTTTGAACTACAGGCCGTCGGCGCCTTGGTGGCAAATCACCAAGCAGACTACGCGGCTTCTCCATGGTCATAATTTGACGTACTGTGCTGTTTCCAGTTGGTAGGAAATGTTGAACTACCGCTGATGTTTCATACCTTTCGATCGATCTGTCGTACTGGATCATGGGCTCGGTCCGGTTTGCATCGCTGATTAAGTTGACGTCTAGGATAGCAGCGTCCCATGGCGCATAGCAGATGGACAAGGAAAGATTCTTCGTCGGAAGGTGCAACCACTCCCCACTATATCTCCCCCCCAGAATCTTCTATAGTGACCAGAAAGACTGCGCCGGGCGCAGTTGAATTCTCGAATTGGCTTTTCAACAGATCACTGGGCATCTTGATACCTTGACCCAGCTGACAAATCGTCGTGCCACCACGTAGACAAGATACTTGATATTAGGGTTAGGGTCATCAGAGAGAGTTACAGTGCCGTTGATAAGACCGTAGGTCGAATTCGTGTACAGGTCAGTGGCGGAAGGCGCCTGACAAGTTACCCTGGCATCGACTATGAGAGCATTACCGGAGTATGATGATATCCTTTGCCTGGCCTCAGCGGTAGCGAACGGGAGTAGGGCTCGGAGTAGAGTTCCGGTGCCCACTGTCACATCTTTGCCTGGTTCGTGGAACTCCGCAAAGACAGGATAGAAAGGTGGGTTGCTTGTCCACGCAGAGTCGCGTGGAATCTTCTCCGCAGATCTTAGTTCAGAGTGCGACAGTCCGGGTCGAACTTCAGAAGCATATTCGTATCCGACCATAGCCCCTAACCTGATGTCAGACAGCAATATAGTGGAAGAGAACTGGAGTATGCTTGTCGTGATGATGAGGAGTCCTGCTAAAAGACAGTAACGATAGTTGGAGTGGCGATGAGCCGTTGAAGACCACAAGAGATCCTGAAAGACACATCGACACGTAGTCCACAGACTGGTAGTACCCCCGCGAATCGAAGATATGGCGGCAAGATGCCGAAGATCAACGCCGGTCCTAGACTCTAGGAGTAGCGAGGCAATGATAGCGGAGCCTGTAGCGGCTTGTAAGTCCACTGCGGTTCTAAGCACTAGTGCTATGATAGCGACTGAGCGCGTAACCCAGCCGTTGACCATGATCCGTTTCCAGACATTCGAGTTGTCTGATCCAAACCAGAAATATGCAAGAAGTCCGCAAAGACCACCTAGAACCACAGTGGTGCTAGCAAGGATGTATAATATTTTGGTAGATAGCCTTCGTAGGTCGCTCGGTATACTGCCGTTGGGCATGGCATGACATGTCGTCTGGCCTCTGCGGTCTCCGTCTTCATCTGATCTGGACGGGAGCGGCTCACCATTACTAGTCAGCTCCAGCATTCGAGTGGTTCTGCCTCAAATTACCTTTCAGTATATGCCCCATACCTGCCGTAGCGATCCCACAAATGTCGCCAGCAGAGCCACATGGCCAATGCAATGCAAACTGTACCTGTGAATGCCATTGCGATCGTCGTAGAAGCTGTAGCAGCAGAACGAGCGACTACTTGGACATCGACAGTAAGCTTCGTGTAGGTGAGCAGAGAGGTCGCAAGGACGATCGGCGAAGTCACGACCGGAGTGGCATTCTGAACATTTTTCGGAAAGAAGTAGAACTGATCCGGTCGGTCCCAAAAAGCTGGGTACAAGTCCTTTCTAGGGCAAACCGGTGGCACATTCTGGAAGGGGTCGCTGTCGCAACAGCCATAGAAACTGCTCTCTTTCTCCGAACCACTCCAAAATGGTACTGATCCCCCGCAAGAAACGCCAGGGATCTCGCCGACAAACTCTCCGCGAATCGCCGCAGGAAGTAGATTCTCATCGAAACAGCCATGCTCGCAGGCGTTGAGTCCATTGCAACATCCCACGAACTTCGTTCCTGTTTTGCACACCAGGAAGTCACCGCCCTCAGGGCACGAGAAGATTTCATCCGAGAACTCCGCATATGATGGGTTTGCCATGGGGTCAAGAAATTGTGAAAGGGTTGGGGAGAAAATGCTAGGGCAAACGGGCAGGCTGGAAGGGAGAGGCAGAGCAGACCCCTCGAGGTGATGGGTAGCCTTGTCGACACACCGGCTGCAGGCCAAGAGTTGGGGGCCAGATGCATGTACAGGTGGAAGGCTCGGCACCACTCCTGTGATGCATGCCACATTACAGGTCTGGGTCTGAGGTCATCCTAGCGGCCCGGAATACAGCCCATGGGACACAAATATAGTGAAATGAATCACCACTGGGTGACACAGATGGTCAGCTAATTAGCGCCAGCCTAGGCCGCCTGCATTTCGAGGTTCAGAGCTCCTTCCTGCCACCCAACCTCGTTCGCGTCTATTCGGAAGGTTACAAAACCTAGAATGCTGCGCCACAACAACTTTATCAACTCGTGTCTTTCTGACCTGCACTGTTCTAGGCGGGTGTGGCATGGCGCACTTGCCTGAAAGAGTCCGAGCTTCGGAAACCAGAGTATATCGGTGAAGCGCAATACGCGGTGTTGATTGGAGCCTCGAGCAAAGTGCATGTGCTTTGTGGATGGGCATGAAGACGCAAAGTGCTGTAGGAAAACAAAGGACGAAGGAAGGACCACCGTGTGTTAAGATTGGAAGTATACCCCGCGCAGAGGCTCTAGTCGCAGCAAATCCGGCATTTACAATGCCTATCCGAGCATGTTTCTCTTTACTCAATGTACCTCACCAACAGAGTGTGGACGATTGGGATAGCGGCACGCGAGGCCGCTGGTGGGGCACGGTCTGCAGCGCCCCACCCGCCATCGCCTCAGCTTGTCGTTCAGCCCCCAGGGAGAACGCTCGGCCGCCATGGAAGCAACCTGTCCCTCTGACATTGACAGCGCAGTCCATCACCAGGCATCTCGATCGCGACGCGCCTCGCGACCCAGCACGGCGGCAAACCCGACCCTGCTTGACACAACCGGCCTCTGCCTGCTGTCGCTCAATGGCGGCGGCGTACGCGGACTGTCGTCCTTCTACATCTTCAAGGGCCTCACAGCGCGGCTAAACCACCATCGCCAGAGCAAAGGTCTTGCTCTAGTCAAGCCGTGCGACATCTTCAACCTCATCAGCTGGCTGCTGGTACTTCGGCCACCCGTCTCTCCGATGATTAATCACTCCACACACGAATGCCTCTTCACTTAGTCCTGTGCGACAGACTCAGCATGACTTGCTACCAGAATGTTGTTCGTCTGGGGTTCCAGTCCTGTCGGTCGTCTGTTCACCATCGCGCTCTGCAACCTTCGCTTCTCCACGCATATGTGAGGTCTGACGTCGGTGGCGTCGATGGAGAACTGGGCGTGTGACGTGCATATATCCTGAGGTATGTTCTCTGGAATCATCGCTTGAGTTGGAATATCCAGTGTTGTGCCGATCGTGGTGTTTGACGCACCATGTCTGCGTCGCTGCACCTCAATGTCCGGGCATGAAGTCAAGGGCTCGCTCAGCTACATAATTCAGAGAACTTACTCGAGTGTCGGATTTGTACCAAGAGTGGTTGGTGGGAGAGCTTAAGCGTGTTGTGGGTATAAGATAGGAGCAGGTGAGCACCTTCCTTCGATCCAACATAACTGGCCACACCTGTTCTTGTCACGTTTCACAGCATGTTAAGTCTGCGATCCAACAGTATCACAGGCCGCGAGCCGCATAAGCTACTATCGGGTTGGGCTGACTGATTGCGGCACAGCAACCTGTACGTCACTTGACCCAGCCCCGCTTCTTGACCCTCTCCAACTTCATCACCTGAACTTAGGGTTAGGGACCAGTTCTACGATCTACCACGCCGCAGACTGACATCTCCGAACGGCTTTCTCGGACGTAATTTTTACCGCCAACCCTGGAAACCCACGACTCTGTCGCAGCATGGCAAGCTCATCCAATAAGTATGTTGTTTTTCTTTCCTAAGCCTCAAAATCGTGTTTCAAGAACATGATTGGGGCCTACTCCTCGATCCTTTATCTATTCCGGTAACTGTTTCCTTGATCGCGATGTTTGTTACCTATGTTTCCACGCCTCAATCACGGTTGAGGCGAGGCGTCAGCACGACGAAAACTTCTTCTTCTCGATCCGAACTTGTTTCAAACCCATGGCAGACTGCGCTCGTGGTGAACGCCGACTGGTATTAATCGGCTCTGCGGTGATGGCACAGTTCGGTATGATTTCACCGTATGATTGCGATGTGAGACATTCGGCGCAGCTCAATGATGCCTTTGAGATATCTTGCGAGAGGTATTGAAGCAACCTGGCACGTCAGATCTACCCATGGAGGCCAGTGGGGTATAAGAACTTCTGGAATACGCTCGCTATCCTCAAGACAAAACCTTCTTCAGACCATCTACTACTGGCACAATCAACAATGCACTTCCTTTCAATCCTCCTACTATGCACCTCGTTCATACTAGCAATGACTAGTTTGGGCGATCCCTCTGACAAGTTAATCAGCACTCCCGCTGTCACCCGCTATACGGTAGAAGCAACCGATCACACCAAGACCGCCGAAACCCAAGCGCAGCTAAAAGACCTCTATGGCGACGACAACGTGGTCATCAACGATGGCTACGACGGTGCGTCATGGACCATCACATCAGAAGGCGACGACATCACCCAAAACATTGAAGCACTCGACTCGGTTCGTCTGGTACACTGGGGTCAAGATCGTCGCCGACTAAGCCGCCGGGACGAGGAGGTTCACTACATTGTCTTCCCCAAGTTGCCTGATGGGAGCACTGACACCAATGCTACCGAGGAGTTTTTGCGATCCAAAATTCCATCCGGTTCAGAAATTTATCACTTCAGCGATAACGGGCAGATCACAGCTTGGTGGGGTTTAAGTCTGGATGACGACGCAAAGAAGGCGGTCGAAGACCATGAGGGTGTGGAAAAGGTGATTGAAGATCCTGGACTGAATTACTCGAGAGCTCTCCCGCGTAGTGACGAGAAAGACACCCTCAGGATCCCTATATCAACGGCGAGATCAAGCGCGCTGGATGCAAGATCTGGCAAGTGGGAAAAGCAGGAGGCCGCCGACGACTCTCTGGTATATGTCAGCCAATTTGAGTAAGTATAGATCGAGTCACCAGGGCTTTCTTGAAGCTAATTCGCCATTGATAGAGGCATGGATGTAAAAGACAAGCACGACTATGTTCACATCCCAGATCCTGGTGAGGGCATATACGTTTACGTCATCGATTCGGGTGTCAACATAGATGTTGAAAGCGTAAGTGCATGGCTTGGTGACCAGGATGACAAACGCTGACCTTCTGAAATAGGACGACATGGGCAAAGAATTCATAACGGACAACGGATATATCATCCAAACCTCAGCGAGTCTTTCAGAAGGACTCAAAGCAGGGGACGACGATGCCCCACCGCAGGTTGACTCCCACGGCACCAAAACGGCGTCTAAAGCCGTTGGTAAGAAGTTTGGCGTGGCGAAAAAGGTACGTGACATATGATCAAGGCTATCGCAGGACGCGCGTGGTTCCTGTCGTATTCGTTACTTCTCCTCTTGGCTACTGAATGCTTAGCCACTCGCTATCGATGATATACCCGCGAGCCAGTGGTCTATGATATCGATCGCAGACTTGCCAGCGGAGAAGGGCTTCTGCTTTGTTATCGCGAAGTATAAGTAGTGTGCTAGTGCTGACAGACTATTAGGCTATTCTGATACCAGTAAAGATTCATAGACGATCCGACGCTATGGACTGGTACGAAGGGTTGAAGCTCGTCACAGCCGACATCAAAAGCAAGGGCCGCGAATCGAAGAGCGTTGTTCATACATCACGATCTATGGGCTACGGTTGGGTGGCTTCGGATGTATTGAAGATATCGGCCGATGTCCAACTGGACAGACTTTACAACAAGCCGATAAGGGATCTGTTCGCTCTTGGGGTGCCGTTAGTCGTAGCTGCCGGGAACGAAGCAGATCCCGAGCCACCCAAGAAAGGCGCATTGCTTATCGACACGTTTCCTGGCATCCTGAAGACTCCCGACCTTCCCATTATCAATGTCGGCGCTAGCAACAGGGATCGGGGACGCATACCTTTCTCGCAGTACGGACCTCTCGTCGACGTGTATGCACTTGGTTATAGGATCAGAGCGATGACTAAAGTCACGAAAGTGGACGCTACTGTCTCGGGCACATCTTTCGGTAAGTCGAGTTGGACGCAATACAGATGTAATATGTTCTGACATGGTGAAATAAGCTGCACCTCAAGTAGCAGGCGTCATTGCGACATACCTGTCACATGCAGAAACTAGCGAACAATGGAACGGCTTGACAGGCGTCAAGCGGGTGCAGGAAATCCAGAAATATCTCATCAGCAACAAGTCGAGCTGGATAGAGAGCGGGGCCAAGGATCCGGACGGCTATGACCTTCGTGTGGTATGGAACGGTGCGAAAGAAGAAGACCACAAGAGCTCAGGTGCGAATGGTTACAGCGACTCGGCAGCTCCGGAGCCAGCACCAGCGCAGCCACAGGGCAAAGCACTCACAGTCATACTCCAAAAGGCTTATGAGGTCACTTACGGCATCGATCACAACCCCGCGATGGGCCCTCACCCTCTCCCGAAGATCGAAAAGGACATCTGGTCCTGGCGCTACTTCGCCACCGACCAAGGCGTATCCAAGCTGTGCGACCTAGAAGCCCTATCAGCCGATGTATCATTGGAAAAGGACCCACGAGACTCAAACAAGCCACCGTTTCCCACGGGCACAGTCGAGATGAAGGACCTCCACGGACAAGACTGCACGTACAAGAATGCTGACTGGGGGAATCCCGGTACACTGTGGTGCGGCGACGTTGGCATCGCGTGCAGGGGGGAGAACATGAAGAATGATGTGGAGATGAAGGATTGTGGGAAAATGGATGATGCAGTGGATACAACGGTGTATCAGCAGCCTGTAGTGGTATGCGAGTGGTGAGGAGACAAGTAGGATAAGAATGTATTGGTTACGTTAGCACAGCTCGTAAAGAAATACTTAGTAATAGAAGCAGAGGTAAACAAATACATAGCTATGCGTAGAGCGTAATGAAATCGTAGAGAGGAAGAGGAAGAAGAAGAGGAAGAGAAAGAAGGGGAGGAAGAGGAAAACAAAAAAGAAGAAGATATAGAGTTAGGTAACGTACCCCACGGGCGAGTTGGCCACACGCCCGAGTTGCCCACCTGTGCTAAGACCCCACCAAAACCACGACTATTCAACTTTTAAGCGCGATGTTACAGCGCAATTACGCTTAAAAGCCTTTAGTTAAAAACTAAATCTAGACTGCAATCTAGGCTATCTAACAAGACGCGACTCTTACTTAGCGACGTACTGCGGCTATCTATAGAGTCTCTTAAAGTACGCTTAAAAATTAACTTATAAAAAAGATACTTTAATTTAACTATAGACCTAACTTAAAGAGACTATTAGATATAGAGAAGGATATACTTATTAAATATATCCTTAACTTTAACGCGCGAAGATTTCCTCCTTAGCTTACTACTATTAAAGATAACATAGTTCACAAGCGAGTAACGCACCTAAGCAAGTAACGCACTTTTGCTAAAACCTTACTAAAACCACAACTACGCACGACAGTGCAGCACTGTATAGAACTGTAATTAGAAATCGTAATAGACTATTCTACTTAGAATCTACTACTATATCTTACTTATATGTGCGCGAGT